CACCAGTGCAGAGCTTGCTCAGGAATGGCAGCAGGCAGGTGTGAGTGCAACAGCACGCACAGTGAGGCGAAGACTTTTGGAGGATGGCCTGGTGTCAAGAAGGGCAGTGAGGAAGCCACTTCTCTCCAGGAAAAACATCAGGGACAGACTGATATTCTGCAAAAGGTACAGGGATTAGACTGCTGAGGACTGGGGTAAAGTCATTTTCTCTGATGAATCCCCTTTCCGATTGTTTGGGGCATCCGGAAAAAAGCTTGCCCGGAGAAGACAAGGTGAGCGCTACCATCAGTCCTGGGTCATGCCAACAGTAAAGCATCCTGAGACCATTCATGTGTGGGGTTGCTTCTCAGCCAAGGGAGTGGGCTCACTCACAATTTTGCCTAAGAACACAGCCATGAATAAAGAATGGTACCAACACATCCTCCGAGAGCAACTTCTCCCAACCATCCAAGAACAGTTTGGTGACAAACAATGCCTTTTCCAACATGATGGAGCACCTTGCCATAAGGCAAAAGTGATAACTAAGTGGCTCGGGGAACAAAACATTGACATTTTGGGTCCATGGCCAGGAAACTCCCCAGACCTTAATCCCATTGAGAACTTGTGGTCAATCCTCAAGAGGCGGGTGGACAAACAAAAACCCACAAATTCTGACAAACTCCAAGCATTGATTATGCAAGAATGGGCTGCCATCAGTCAGGATGTAGCCCAGAAGTTAATTGACAGCATGCCAGGGCAGATTGCAGAGGTCTTGGAAAAGAAGGGTCAACACTGCAAATATTGACTCTTTGCATAAACTTAATGTAATTGTCAATAAAAGCCTTTGACACTTATGGAATGCTTGTAATTATACTTCAGTATACCATAGTAACATCTGACAAAAATATCTAAAAACACTGAAGCAGCAAACTTTGTAAAGACAAATACTTGTGTCATTCTCAAAACTTTTGACCACGACTGTACACCCCTGATCACACGCAAACATAGTTCACTTTCATAGCAGCCACATAAAAACAGCATGATTACTTTGCTCATTGTATATACTGTATAATTCCTTCTCGCAACTATCTACGCACTCTCCTCCTCTCACCTTTTCCCTTCACTTGTGGACTTCAGTGCACAAGTGAAGGCAAAAAAAAATATCCAAGCCAAACCTTCATATCATGACCGCTAACCTCTACACACAGCCTACATTGTTGTCATGTCAAAGTCAACATAGCTACTAGAACTAAGGCGTTAATAAACCCTCTACAGTGTACAGTCAGACAGCAGTTTAGCAGTTACACCGGCATGCCCCGATGGCAATAAATTAATAAAACCAAAAGCTTACCTTGACTTGGAAGAGTTCCAGTATTGGATAGCCATAGCCAGCTAGCTAACATAACATCCATTGATGCTATGTTTGAGCTGGGTGTTTGAGTAGGCTAAACTAGCTAGCTGCATTTGCTAGCTAAGTGAAAGTTTAAAAAAATACAACCAAATATAGCTCTCTATCTCTCTCGCTTGTCCTTAATTTTGGAAGAGATTAATTTGTTCAAAACTGTTCAACTATTGTCTTTCTCTCTCTGAGTCAACAACTCATCACATTTCATGCACTGCAGTGCTAGCTAGCTGTAGCTTATGCTTTCAGTACTAGATTCATTCTCTGATCTTTTGATTGGGTGGACAACATGTCAGTTTATGCTGCAAGAGCTCTGATATGTTGGAGGACGTCCTCCGGAAGTTGTCATAATTACTGTGTAAGTCTATGGAAGGGGGTTATAACCATGAGCCTCCTAGGTTTTGTATTGAAGTCAATGTACCTAGAGGAGGATGGAAGCTAGCTGTCCTCCGGCTACACCATGGTGCTATCCTACAGTGGGCTGCTGAAGCTACTCTTGACCTTCATTGCAAAACAGTGTGTTTTAATCAATTATTTGGTGACATGAATTGATTTGGTTTGTTGTATCTATATAAAAAGGATAACTTTTTTTCATGTTTCACTATTTTTATTTTTATAAAATTCACTGAGGATGGTCGTCCCCTTCCTCCTATGAGGAGTCTCCACTCATTGAAATATATTTATTCATGATTAAGTCTACTGTGCTGTATGTTGAATTTGTCTCGTACCCAGACCCACCTCAGCAGGCCTATCAGTGTTGTATTTATGGCAGAGCAAACACTTGACTGTGTACCCATTAATAATCACCTCTGATGACTAGTATCAGCATGACTGCAGGTGTGTGAGTGTGTGTGCGTGCACACGCCTTTTACCCCACAGAGATTGGGCACACAGTACTGTAAATGATGGTGATAAGGCTCTTTAAAACGGAGATGGCTGCCATGGAAAGTACAGTGGATGACAGAATGTACCCAGCAAACCAGGAACATTCCCAGGACATTAGCTAAGATTCCCATTAAGTTTTAGTTAGCGTTTTATCTAACATTAGGATGATAACATCCCAAAAACATTCTTTTTTTTTTTTAATGAAATTTTCTCCCAACATTCACTAAAATGTTGTGCACAACATCTGGAACAACAGTCCCGAAACGTTCTCATTAGGTTTCCAGTTAATGTAATAACACAATGTACAAATAATGTTTTTAGAACATACTGCGGCAACAAAATGTGAGAGCAACGTTCTGGGAACGTTCTTTCAACATCAAGCGAATTTTATATAAACATTTTATAATCATCAGCACAACTGGAGTTTTTGTGTTATGAGAACATTTGCCGCAACCTAATGAATGTTCTGGGAACTTTCACAGAACCAATTTTGGTATGCTGGGTAGTGTAGAGTTCAGTTCAACCCTGCTCTACATTAATTACATACTGCCCTGCTGTAGGCAGCCTAACTAGAGAGCTTAGCCACGAGAGAGAGAATGAGTGAGAAAGGCTGCACTACAGAAACTATATGGAAGTGTGCAACAGGTAGGCTTATAAGATTACATTGCAACGTACTTACAAAGCCTGAGCTGTAATATTGTTTAGAACGTAATGCAAACTAACCAAACACATGCTAGTTTCCCGTGAGTCAGTGATCCTGTGGCAGCTAGTGTTTTTGTTTGCGTGATTTGAAAGCTCTTTGTGACTGTAGTAGAGAGAGGCAGGGAAGAGATAAGAGTGGTTCTCTCATCTGATGGTACTCATACGCAGTATGTTATAATAAAAGGGGTATAGATCAGACAAAACCAATAGACACGCTTTACTTTCACTTTGCCTGAAGTTCGTATCCTTACAGTATGTTCTTTATCTCTCATTACCCTCTATCAACCTAACTATTAATCTTCCTGTTATTCCCTCTAACAAACGTTGGACTGGTGCTAACATGTAGACAAACTGGCTCGTCACACTGCTCTCCCTCTCTCCTCTCTCTCTCCCCTACTGTACAGTAGATAGATCATGGCAGTGATACTGTCTAATGGCTATGTGGTGCTAACGGGAGCAGCTACATTCTTCCTCATGTCTCACCTCTCACACAAGGTGGTTAAGGCTAACATCAAATACAATGTACAGGTGAGCGTGTGTACGTGAGAGACTGATTTTATGGGACTGATTGAGTGTGTGTGTGTGAGAGACAGGAGTCAGTAGTACCCCTGTGCCATTAAACCCCTACAACTCATCCAGAATGCCGCAGCCCGTCTGGTGTTCAACCTTCCCAAGTTCTCTCACGTCACCCCGCTCCTCCGCACACTCCACTGGCTTCCAGTTGAAGCTCGCATCTGTTACAAGACCATGGTGCTTGCCTATGGAGCTGTGAGGGGAACGGCACCTCCGTACCTTCAGGCTCTGATCAGCCCCTACACCCAAACGAGGGCATTGTGTTCATCCACCTCTGGCCTGCTGGCTCCCCTTCCTCTGCGGAAGCATAATTCCCGCTCAGCCCAGTCAAAACTGTTCGCTGCTCTGGCACCCCAATGGTGGAACAAGCTCCCTCACGACTCCAGGACAGCGGAGTCACTCACCACCTTCCGGAGACATTTGAAACCCCACCTCTTTAAGGAATACCTGGGATAGGATAAAGTTATCCTTCTAAGCATCCTGTAGGTACAACTACATTCAACAACACACAAATAGCATAGTTGGTATAGCAGGGGTGGTTCAGTAAACTATGCTAGCGTGATGATTAGTATTCATATTTAGGGTCTGAAACGGTGCTAACCATTGTGTGTATGTGTCGCAGCATCTGCCCAGTACTCTGGGGATGGTGTGGCTATTCAGTAGGGTTGTGTTTGCACACGGATACACCACAGGAGGTAAGACAACACACACACACTTTAACATTACATTTACATTTAAGTCATTTAGCAGACGCTCTTATCCAGAGCGACTTCCAAATTGGTGCATTCAATTTAGGATAGCCAGTGGGACAACCACATCTTGATCACAGTAAGTACACTTCTTCAAACAAGCAGCTGTGAGCAAAGTCAGTGCAATCAGGGACAACTACATCTCGATCACAACTTTGTCACGTGTGTGTGACGTCCCAGATGTTGCGAAGAGGCGCGTTTGGAGACATTGCTCTAGTGGGACTGTTCCTGGAATCAGTGGACTACGGGATAACTCTACTGGGCTGGGTTAGTTCATAGTCTTCATTATCATCATAACCCTACTACTCCTCAGAAGAAGAAAGACTTTTGCATCAACATCATTTTAGTCATTTTTTAGTCATGAGCAACTGACTAAAAGCTACAGCAGAATATGAGCATTCCAGCATTATTCATCCGATTGATGCATGTGTGTAGTTCCAACAATGCTTTATTTTTAATAAAAATAACAGTTTGATGATAAAGGACAGCGGTACAGTCTCTTTTGTGCAAAAGCTCAGGTCGAACTACTTAATGTCTCCTCCAGAGGGCACTAACTCACTAACTCAGTACAACTGTTCATTTACATTTTTAGTCATTTAGCAGACACGTATCCAGAGCGACTTACAGGAGCGATTAGGGTTAAGTGCCTTGCTCAAGGGCACATCGACAGATTTTTCACCTAGTCGGCTCGGGGATTAGAACCAGCGACCTTTCGGTTACTGGCACAATGCTCAAATGTTTGTGCATTTATTAATTCCTTTACCACATTTAAACGTACTATTGTTGCTTTTCCATGAAAGACATCTCTCTTCACTCTATCATCTAACTCTAAACATTACAGCAGCTTCATAGGCCAATAGGCAAAGGCAGATAAAGTACAGTAGCTCTCACAGTGGAACACTGTCTGTGAATACAGAAACACCACAGTACCAATGAGCATGTAGGGATTGCATGTCCAAAATGGCCTCAAACCGTACCAGAAGTTCCCTTAGAGTCAGTTACCTCAGAGCCAGCAAAGTCTAACTGTAGCGTCTCCTCTCACGGTTATCATCTGTGTCAGTTCTCCTGTGAGCTGTCCTCTTCTCCCCCTGTCAGATAGCCCCAGTCTGTGAGCAGGTCTTGGCGCTGGGCTGGGGGGGTGGAGAAGTATTCTCTCTGTTTCTGGGAGTAGGTTTGGACTGGGGGGACGATATCTCTGTAACTCCAGTCCTGTCAACACAGATTAGAGAAGATATAAACTTTGTGTTTATCCTGTTTAAATTCATCATACATAACTATATGTATTAATATATGCATCATTTGCACCCATTATTGATATAGATACTGCAACAGTATATAGTTGCAGACCTACCTGCCATGCTATCCATATTGTTGATCTATACTTATTAATCCAGTATATTGTAGCAGGGCTATCTGCCAACCATATTATTGATCAATAGTTATTACTATAGTATATAGTGTGAGTCCTACCTGCCATCGGAGGTTGAAGTCCTCCAGTAGCTGTATCCTATCCTCCCTGGTAGGAACACAGTCTGGAGGAGCTGTCTGCTGCAGCTCAGAACCCACCTCAGACCCAACAAACACTAACAGAGCTCTGATAGCAAACCAACCCCCCAGCCGCGGGTGTATACACACACCAAACATCTTCTGTAGAGGTGACAAGTGGTAGGGAGGGGGGAGAGGAAGACAAAGGGGTTGTAGTAACAGTTTTATAAGTAATACAAATGACAGTCCATCTATGAACCAAAGAACACACAGCACCCTATTTATCCATTTATTAGGAAATTAATTATTGAAAAACCCCTTTGGTCCTGTCACTCACCTTGTCCCCCCAGGGGTGGTCAGGTACATCGGAGCGTTGGTAGTAGTACACTGCTCCAGCCACATGGGCGGCGCTCTGGGCCAGGAACTTGGGCTTCCTGCTGGGCAGCATCTCATAGTCATAACTCACATCTACCTTCACACCTGGAAAACACTACAGGAGGGGGGAGAGAGAGAATTATGTGAAGTGTGGCCCAGGGATGTGTGTATTAATTTAGTTTTGTAACAAAATCAGTTTAATAAGAACCAAACGGAAGCAAACAGAGTAAACGGAACCTACCTGAACTCTTGTTTTTGTTGCAAAACGGTTTCCGTTTGGAGTAAACGGTTTCTGTTGCAAAAAGTCTTTCAACAGTCTAAATGTTTTGCAACAGAATCGGTGTAATGAATACACCCCAGCTGTTGATGCAGTGAGTGATGCACTGGTCAAGCACATACACACACACACACACACACACACACACACACACACACACACACACACACACACACACACACACACACACACACACACAGTACCTCAGAGACTGTGTTGTTGATGCAGTATTTCATACACTGGTCTATGGGGTCTGTAGACACCCCCTTCCAGCCGCTGCTCTCCATGAAGGGTAGGAAGGCCTGTTCAAACATGGATGGTGTGCTGAGCACCACTGCTCCCAGGGTGTCATCAGGGTAGGACAGGTGGAGAGGGGGGGACAGGACAGCATTGTACCAGCCAATCTGGGAACACATGCACAACACAGAATAAAAAGGTGGGTTACTTTTGTAGCGATTGAGGGGGAACAGCCAGGAAGGGACACGTTTCAGCAACCCTATCGTTATTGGACAGATATAGTGTCACCTGTGCCATAAGTTCCAAACCTGTTGGCAGACTACAGTATAGTATGGTCAGCTTTGATCATTTTTATATTAACAATTGTTAGAAATTGCGTAATTCAAATCTGGTATTGGAATAAGAATCAAGAGATCTTCAATCCAAGCTTAATTTATTATATGCAAAATGTATGTATGATAAGTATGAAGGTTCGTATATACGGGTCCGCTGAAATACCACGCAGGGCACTCAGAGAACTGATCCATTGTTCTAAGTTCTTCTTCAAATACTCTGACAGAGATAGTTCCCGCTCCCTGCTGGCCAATCAGAGTAGAGACTGAGCGTGGTTTAGACTTACTCAGCCAATCCGTTGGTGCACGGGTTAGTCCCACCCCTTGGCGCTCCACCATTCCCAGGCATAAGTTTATCATAACAACCTGTAGAGTCAGCACCCAAAAGACTGTACGTTCCTACATCCAAGGACGGTTCACAGACAACGGTTCACAGACAACAAAGAGGCAGTGTTCGTATCTGTAAGAAATACAAGTCTTATCTGTCCTTCCCCTAACGTTCCACAAATGAATCACAGCCTGTTATGTGAAACAATTTATATCAGTATAGTACAAACCTATGCTCCTCATTAATGCATTCCTTCTAAGCTATTCATCACTTCAATCCAATTATTAGAAAACAAATCCCAACACAAGGCATGGCTGAGAAAGCTTGTATGTACTTTGAATTGGAGCTTGTCAACTTGCCTAGTTTTGCAATTGATGACACCTTCACTGACAGTCTGACACTGTTGCAAAAAGGCCACGTTTAAAGTTTTCGACTCAAACCCTTTTAACAAACAGTTCAGATGGAACAGCGGCCTAACGTTACCTTCAGCGGATAAACTTCAAATCCCAACTTTGACAGATGATTACTCAAAGCTCCTCTCACATCTTCCACATTGACCGTGAGCAGCGCCATCACTGAATTTTAGAATGTGTTGGATTGTGGGAAATAGTGTTCTCTATCACGTGACTCTCTCACTTCCTTGTCGAAAGAATTGTATCTATTAACTACAATACACAGGACCCATTAGGGCAACGTATCCTACGCAATCACGTCGTCCAGGATTTAAAAGTGGAACAGGACAGTCCGTAAGTAGCTAGCTAATCATTTACATTTCAGCTCAATGTTTAATAATGCATATGTACAAATGACGAGGAGATGTTCTGTAATGTTAACCAACCTTCGAATTGTTTCATCCATCGCTGAAATATTGACCTTTAGCCAGCTTTCTGTTCATGCACTGCTTGATTTGTGATTTTGGGTACTTGGTGCCAGGCAAATCAACAGTAATGCGAACGCCCGCCATCGTGTTCAATTTATAAACAAATCACTAGGGTGAATGTTAGCTAGTTAGTCAAATTCGAACGCAACGGTAACAACAACAAGCCAAAAACAAAAGCCACCTGCAACTGTACTTAGCTAGCTACTGTTAGCTGTGTAACCTCATCTGTCAATGAAGTGTCATTGATCTGTGTTAGCCACTTTATAATCAGCCACCAACCAACCAACCCGACTAGAGTTACAGCATCACACGTTAGTTATAAAATACTGGCCAATGCAATGGCCAATCTCATGTGCGTACTATATATATATATATTTTATAGTACCACTGTACTTCATTGTTGGGAAAGAGCAATAAAGACATTTCACTGTACTACAATAAAACTTGAAACTTGTTGAGATTAATAAGAAAAAGTTGACCGTGGAGATTTGGGCAGAGGAACACATTAATGAATACTGGATTGTGTAGGGATTTAGAGGGACAGTTTGAGCAGAGCATGGACAAGAGACCCTGCAGGTAGAGGGCAAGTGCACTAACTTTTGTGCCATAAATACTCAGACATCAGTCTTGGCACCCTTGTCCTATTGTTTGAGTAGAGCAGCCCTGACTGAGATGAACTGGGACAACCAGCTGAGCTCCATCCTCTCAGCAGCTGATGGCAGCGTTGCCAAGATGAGGGTGAGTAGCCAGTAGATGGCACTATGACATAATTATACATACGTGGCAGTGCATTACCAAGGGCTTCATCAGAAGAGATGGCTGCTCATTCTTAGCAGTTGGCTAGATACTAGTTTTACAGTATATGATAGGGTATTTATGAACTTCAAGGTTTCTATGTACTTTCCCACTGTGTGTGTTGACGGTGTTCATGTTTCCCCAGGAGAGACTGACCACGCCAGGGAAATATCCAAAAGGAAGAGAAGGTGAGGGGAGATCTCTGTTGTCTGTAAGATGGCTGACTGACACACTTTGTCTGTTGGCGATTCCCCCTTTTTTTCTGCTCCTTCTTATTCTCCCTATCTCTCTCTCTCTCTCTCTCTCTCTCTCTCTCTCTCTCTCTCTCTCTCTCTCTCTCTCTCTCTCTCTCTCTCTCTCTCGCTCAGTAGATCTCTATCCAGTGAGGGAGGTGGCTAGTGTGTCAAATTTGGAGCTCCCTCGTCTCCCCCCTCTCCCCGAGCCCTCCACCTCTCTCCTCCCCCCTCCCTCCTCCGCGGTGCAGTGGGCAGACCTGGCAGCCGTGCAATCACAACTGCAGATCCAGAGGCAGGTCCGTGTGTGTTGTGTGCGCGCATACGTGTGTTCATATATAACTCGAATTTCTATTACATAAAAGGTGCATAAATAGCCCTACATTTTAGTTAATTTCTTCTTCTTCCTCCTCATCTTTTTGTTCTAATGGTTGACAGGCCATAGAGTCTCTGACCCAAGGTCTTCATGATATGGACAGAGAGAGACACTCTCAGCAGCGCCACATACAGGCACTACAAGGTACATACACCTGTCATTATCACACAACACTAACATTTACTGCTCACAGGAATATACCAATCTTGATTGGTTGAGTGATTGATTTGTTGATCGAGTATTGTAGATGTGTTATTCTTCTGTCTCTCACAGACGAGGTTCGCAGGCTGCGAGAGCAGGCGAAGGAGAGGGAGAGAGAGCGGGAACAAGAAAGGGATGGAGAGAGGAGAGGGTCAGGGATGACGAGTCCGGGAGTGGAGAGAAGGATGGAGCAGTGGAGGAGAGAGGTGGGCCGTGAGCTCAGCACTCTGAGAGGGCACATCACCAGAGCCACATCGCAAGGCAACCTGGAGGAGAGGTGAGGGGGCTGGGTTTTACTCACCTGTGAGGTTCAGGTGCTCTTTATTTCATGCGTAGCCCAAATGCAAATCAACCATTAGCCCCTAGTATGGAACCATACCAGTTTGGATCAGTTTGGTGAAAGCTGATCGTTGTCCTTTATAGTTTCAGCTCTAAGCTGCGAAGGGAGGAGTTGGATCATTTGAGGAGAGAGGTGGACACACTCAAAACCCAGCTCAGTGAGTCTCACATACACAGTCTGTTCTCAGGTTTTTCTGCAGGACTACACATGTCTCAGACTCAGAGCTGTAGACAGGGCAAGCACAGTCTCGCTTACTCCTACTCCTTTTCTTTCATCTTACGTGTGTTTGTGTGTGTGTGTGTGTGTGTGTGTGTGTGTGTGTGTGTGTGTGTATGACAGGGAGGCAGGAGGAGGACGTGTTTCTTCAGCAGTCGGAGGCCAGAGAGACGAGGAGGCAGTATGAACGCAGCTGCAAGGTATTAATGAATGAAGGAATTGAATGAATGATTGAATAATTAAAGAAGGTAATTTGAGTGACTTGTTTTCTCTCTGTCTCGTGAACTCTAAACTTTGCCTTTCCCCAGACAGTAGAGGAACTGACAGACAGCTACAGAAACCACAGCTTTGACCTGGCCAAGACTGTCTCACAACACATACACACAGAGCAGGAGGTTCGCCAGATCAGGTGTCCGTGCGTGCGTGCGTGTGCGTGCGTGTGCGTGTGTGTGTGTGTGTGTGTGTGCGTGTGCGTGTGCGCGTGTGTGTAATGCTATCACTGTGTCCTGCAGGGTAACTGTATCAGAGCTGAAGGATGAGATCAGGAGTCTGATTCTCCGGGAGAGACAACACACACCTACTGTTACACTACGCACAGCAGGTAAGAGACACACACAACACACACACACATATATACTCACCTGAGTAGTTTAACCCTGTTTGTCTATAACCTTCTCCCCCCTCCAGTTCCAGCATTAGCTGCCTTCTCCCGCCGCAAAGAGGTCAGGGGTCAAAAGGAGGAGCCAGCCTCAGACTCTGATGACTTTAGTCCCACCCCCAGTCTGGCTGAGGTCAGCTCTGATGACCTGTCCTGGCTGGACGATAGAGAAACAGGTACACACACACACATGTTGCTCCTCTCTGTGAGGAGCAGAGTGAGTCCCATATGGGTACAATTTGTTTCAGAGGAACAGAAAGTGTTGTAACCCTCTCCCATACCCATACACACCACACATGTACATTTGGGCTGTAGATCTAACTGTTTTAGGGACTCATCACAACATGTCTGACTCACCAAAGAACAGGAGGCTGGTTTAACAGCGTCTGTCTGTGTGTGCATGCGTGCCTGCCTGATTTGTGTAGATAGATCTAGCACAAAGGAAGAAATATATTTTATAGTTGTTATTATGAGTTTGAAATATGTTTTATTAGATTTGTGTGCGCACACTCAGATATTGGAGTTGGATGTGGGCTCATGTAAGACACACACCAGTGACCTCCATTGAATGTGTGTTATGTGACTGACTGTAGCTCTGCTTGCCTAAGGAGTGGACAGAGAATCCCTCATTTCCTCTCCATCGATGTCCGCTGGTCAGCAGTTTGAGAAACGTGTGTGTGTGTGTGTTTTTGGATGGGATCCTAAACACTTCCTGTAGGATGGTAGTGTGTGTGTGTGTGTGTGTGTGTGTGTGTGTGTGTGTGTGTGGCATCATCTAATCTAATTATCCTGGCTGCATGCGTCTCGATTGCTCTGGGAAACATTTAGAGGTCTGATCCCAATCTCTCTTACGGTAACACTAGCCTACTGCTAAAGCCCTTGGGACTAGTATGCACACACACACACGTTGACTGGTCTCTCTTTCAGCTCCTCGTCTAGCAGTACCTCGGGTACGCCAGAGCTCCCATTCTGCAGGAAATTACCTCAGAGGACCAGGAAGTGGTCTGGACGATGATGATCTTGATGATGATGATGGGAACCTGGAGTTGGGGTCAGACAGCCCCCCCGACCTCAGCCTCAATGACCTTTGAGAGGCTCCGTCATGCCATAGTGTTCTAGAATGCTAGGAGTTCTTTCTTTGAGAAGTTTTAAATGTCTCCACATGTGGAGACTGATAAAGAATGTTTTGGGCACAAACCTCAAACCCTGACTAAAGAGGATGATGAAAAGGCTCAACTCAGCTTGAGAAAAAGAAAGAACCTTATTTTATAAACTCGTATGTGATTATGTGCTGTCTATGTTGTCTTGTCAGTGTTTTTGGGGGGGAAAGTGTACAATAGGGTTTTGCATTACACACCAGTAGTATTTACAGTGAGGGAAAAAAGTATTTGATACCCTGCTGATTTTGTACGTTTGCCCACTGACAAAGACATGATCAGTCTATAATTGTAATGGTAGGTTTATTTGAACAGTGAGAGACAGAATAACAACAACAAAATCCAGAATAATGCATGTCAAAAATGTTATAAATTGATTTGCATTTTAATGAGGGAAATAAGTATTTGACCCCTCTGCAAAACATTACTTAGTACTTGGTGGCAAAACCCTTGTTGGCAATCACAGAGGTCAGACATTTCTTGTAGTTGGCCACCAGGTTTGCACACATCTCAGGAGGGATTTTGTCCCACTCCTCTTTGCAGATCTTCTCCAAGTAATTAAGGTTTCGAGGCTGACGTTTGGCAACTCTAACCTTCAGCTCCCTCCACAGATTTTCTATGGGATTAAGGTCTGGAGACTGGCTCCAGGACCTTAATGTGCTTCTTCTTGAGCCACTCCTTTGTTCGCTTGGCCGTGTGTTTTGGGTCATTATCATGCTGGAATACCCATCCACGACCCATTTTCAATGCCCTGGCTGAGGGAATGAGGTTCTCACCCAAGATTTGACTGTACATGGTCCCGTCCATCGTCCCTTTGATGCGGTGAAGTTGTCCTGTCCCCTTAGCAGAAAAACACCCCCAAAGCATAATGTTTCCACCTCCATGTTTGATGGTGGGGATGGTGTTCTTGGGGTCATAGGCAGCATTCCTCCTCCTCCAAACACGGCGAGTTGAGTTGATGCCAAAGAGCTCCATTTTGGTCTCATCTGACCACAACACTTTCACCCAATCATTCAGATGTTCATTGGCAAACCTGTATATGTGCTTTCTTGAGCAGGGGGACCTTGCGGGCGCGGCAGGATTTCAGTCCTTCACGGCGTAGTGTATTACCAATTGTTTTCTTGGTGACTATGGTCCCAGCTGCCTTGAGATCATTGACAAGATCCTACTGTGTAGTTCTGGGCTGATTCCTCACCGTTCTCATGATCATTGCAACTCCACGAGGTGAGATCTTGCATGGAGCCCCAGGCCGAGGGAGATTGACAGTTCTTTTGTGTTTCTTCCATTTGCGAATAATCGCACCAACTGTTGTCACCTTCTCACCAAGCTGCTTGGCGATGGTCTTGTAGCCCATTCCAGCCTTGTGTAGGTCTACAATCTTGTCCCTGACATCCTTGGAGAGCTCTTTGGTCTTGGCCATGGTGGAGAGTTTGGAATCTGATTGATTGATTGCTTCTGTGGACAGGTGTCTTTTATACAGGTAACAAACTGAGATTAGGAACACTCCCTTTAAGAGTGTGCTCCTAATCTCAGCTCGTTACCTGTATAAAGGACACCTGGGAGCCAGATATCTTTCTGATTGAGAGGGGGTCAAATACTTATTTCCCTCATTAAAATGCAAATCAATTTATAACATTTTTGACATGCGTTTTTCTGGATTCTTTTGTTGTTATTCTGTCTCTTACTGTTCAAATAAACCTACCATTAAAATGATAGACTGATCATGTCTTTGTCAGTGGGCAAACGTACAAAATCAGCAGGGGATCAAATACTTTTTTCCCTCACTGTAACTCAAGTGTGGCAGCATTCTGCGATTGCCTTAATGAATTACATCTGGGGAAAGCTTTGATTTCACTGATGATATATAATACTATACTAATACTAATTAATAAATATGGTGGACTAATGTTTACTTTTACTATCTAAGGCTGATGCAAATCAGTGAGGTGCTATCTCTTTTATTTGGTACTGTATTTTTATCTATTTACTGTGAAGTATTGAGATGCAGCCCAGGCCACTCTTCCCTCTCGCCTTTGAAACACAGACAAGTCCTGCTGTCTAACATGAGTCAGTCTGTTTAATATTTCAGCAGTTAGAGATTGTCTAGCCAGATACCCCCCACGAAGGGGATAGGCCCATGGAGCGAGGGACCACAGACGGGCTGGGGAGAGAGAGTGGGAGGAGAAGAGGGGGGTGAAGCAGGGGGCAATGGGGAAGGGGTGTGACAGGGAGGGGCTTTAGCCATAGTGATGACCAGTTTTAATGTGGATGAATCAGGCCTTTCTCTTACAGTTCTATCACACAGCCAAGTACTAGACCGCTGCTTGTTTAAATGTTACATTGACTCACTGTACGGCCTGTAAAACAAATGTGGTGTGTTTGGGCTTCTGCAATAAAATTCTGGATAAAGAGCTGTAATAAAATAGTTCATTTGATGTAGTTACTCTTGTTAGTGTGTGTGTGTGTGTGTGCGTCAGCCACCGCAGCCCAACAACCGAGATCTGTAATGTGAGACAGAAACGAGGATGGTTTCATATCTTTAATGAAAAAACATCAACATCACTCCAGAATCTACGTCAAACAGTAAAACATAGCAACCTTATAATACAACCAGTTAACTTTTTGGCACTTCATATAAGGAACTACTAATACATGGGTGCAAATTAACTACCATTCCACTCCACATGGAGTCTAATAGAACCACTCTGTTTCAACTCTGACTTAAGTACTGTTAATGCAGATAACTGGCATGACAACAAACGTCAGAGGAGTCTGCAACAAACTAATCTGGTAGCCCAAGCAGGAACACTAAGGCCTAGATTAAATCCGGACCGTGGAAGATCCGCACTATAGCACAATGGAAATTTAAAGGCAATGTTTCCGCATTCACGGAGACTGCATTCACGGTAAACACAGCATATGTCTGCTCAATTGGAAATTACCTTTACATTTCAATAGCGCTATAACGCAGATCTTCAGCAGTCTGGATTTAATCTAGTCCTAAATCAGCTAACTTTGACAAACATTCAGAAATAGACGTAACTATTGCTTTTCTAATTTGTTTAAAAATGGAAACTTTAATATGGAGTCAATTATACCATGTCCCTTTCAAGTCTACTTATCTTTATGAAGTCGGAATGTAAAGTTATTTAAGAATATTATGAAATTTAGCTGGCTAACTCTTTGATCCTGCTTTGTGACATACCCCCCTGGCTGTGCCAGGTGCATAACAGGATGCTGCCTACTCTGCTAGACAATGGCCAATTTCTATCCCTGTGTGTGAACAATAATCATCAATACTGTCTCCAATACAGGCCTATGGCTCCAACTCAAGTCACCCCAATAGAGATTGGGGTAGGGAAGGAGGGGGGGGGTGTTATTTTCTCCTGTGCGTTTAACACACACAGACTAACACAGAGACATACACACAGACTGCATTCACCTCAAATCAATGGAGCATTATACTCATAAAAGCCTTACATTTAAGAGTTTCTCTCTCTGACCTCGTGCTATACAATGTCTGTGTTCATGGAGTAGTTTATCAGAGTTCCCTTCCCTTGAGGCAGTTAATGGACTGCATGCTAATGGTAGCGGCTAGCACTGACTGACTTGGGCAACAAGTTACCCTCATGTCATGTAGTTACATGATTAAAACAATGAATGAATTGTATTGAAAGACAACTGGCCAAATTCAGTTGGAAACAGACATGTCACCACTGACATCTCTGCTGCTGAATCTGCCCAAGGCTCTTCCTGACTAAGACATGTTAGAACATAGGTCTGGGCCTGGCTGTGAGGCTGTGAGAACTACAGTAACAGACAAACCAGCCTTAGAGTTCAGAACAAGTGCTTTGACATGTAGAATTCTAACAAGCATGGAATGTATTGAGCCACCATGGAGGATTGTTTCCTCTGTATTGTACTCTGTATATAGCTCTAGTGGGGATGAAGAGTCCATTAAGGCTCTATATAAAGATAAATGTACTAAAGATACTCAGAGAGACAACCTCCCCCCTTACAAGTGTGACTGACCGGGTTTGAACCCAGGTTGTCTGGACGCCACAAGGCTGTGTTAGCCCAATGAGCTAAAAACCACCAGAGACTCCCAATAAAGAAACAGGAGAATAACAAGCAGGATCTTTAGAGAGGAACTAGTTTCCATGGAAACACAACTTAAATACCCCAAACCACACCACCCCTCCCGTCCCCACATACACGCGAGCATGCTCGCTCAACCATGCACAGACACGCACACACAGACACACACACATACATGTCCTCTGTAACGTAAAGTGCAACTGTACTGTACAACACTATATAGCCAGGCACAAGTAGCCTACCAGGCTCTAACTAGTGATGAAAGAGAGGATCCCTTGTTACCGAACACTCAAATAAAACACAGCTGACAGAGGGCACCCTAGAATGTAGAAGGTAGAATGTAGAAGTGGGAACACTGCTGATGGAACTCAGATCCACATAGACCAGGAAAAGAGCTGTTCACACTCAGAAACCCCCTGTTGCTCACAGAGACACAAAGGTGGTGAGGGAACGCCAGGGGTGCATCTCAATGGTCTAAAATGGCGCCTCACTCTCCTCATCTCCTCCATCTGCACTGATTTGAAAACACAGGCTCGATAAAAGCAATATGGAGGGTGCCTACCATCGACTGGCTTTCACCAGTCCATGTCTCATGTCAGTGCGGATAAACGAAAGGATATGAGGACAGGGGACAAGGAGAGAAGGCCAGGTTGGACTATAGAGACGCAGCCCCAGTTCAGAAGGAGAAGGTCTGTGGGGGTCTAGCTGTTCCATCAGGTCAGACTGTGTCCTCTCCATCTCCATCAGTAGCTGTACATGGACAGGGGAGTATCCTCCATCATATCATCCTAAACAGGGGAAAACACAACAGGATGTAAGCAGGATGTCAACAGGAACACAAGTAAATGGTGAGCGCTGGTCCAGATGACAGGTGGTGAGTGAAATAAATGCTAATGCTAACAATGCCTACTTAGTGTAATAGCTCACAAAACAAGACTGACGCTTACGCAAGTCTTCAGGTCTCATTAATGTTAAGCGTGACACTGTCTCTTCACCTAACCACTTGTGTTTCACTGTCTCACCATAGGCAGGTCCTGGAGCCTGCGGAACTCAGGCCGCTGATCCCGTCGTCGCAGTTTGATGAAGAGGAGCAGGGTGATGATGGCTGCAGTGACGATGAAGGCTGACACTAGTCCAGCTAGGAGAGGGTCCAGGGCTGGAGCACCACTATGGAACACTGGCTCCCCTGCTCGGGTGAGGGGAACATATTATACTATATATACATATATAACCCAGGAGGTTGGCGGCACCTTAATTGGGGAGGACAGGCTTGTGGTAATGGCTGGAGTGGAATTAGTGGAATGGTATCAAAAACATCAAACTCATAGTTTCCAGGTGTTTGATGCCATTCCATTTGCTCCGTTCCAGCCATTATTATGAGCCGTTCTCCCTCAGCAACCTCCTGTGATATATAACATAATATATTAAAATATGAAATATATTATAAAATATAAACACAAGCTATTAACAGGATGTCTTACAAAGAGAATAAGACAGACTTGATTGTAGGGTAGTGACAGAGAGAGCGAGCAAGCCCGGGGCTTTCTGGGCATAGGACTAAACTGACACACCCAGCACTGAACTGGCATCCCAACAAAAGCTATGCTGTTCTTTGTTTCCCTGCACAAGTCTGTCCCCCCACCCCCCACATACACACACACTCCCTCCTAAACAGCTAAGGGTACTATCAGCACCACCACCCCACAATCAGCTCTCTGTCTGGCAAGAGACAGAGCCAGTCATGGGACTGACGACTGGACCGTTTAGGTTTTGAGTGTGTGTATGGTTTTATTAGACCGGGGTTGGATGTCTCCCCCCTTTATCCACCAGAGAGACCATAGTATATAATACTGTGGTTGCTGCTCTTTGATAACAAATAACAAAACACTCTCATAGCAACATAACACACACACACGCATACACAACGAATCCATCTACTCACCATCCACCACATTGAGCTGAGAGGGGATGTCGGCGTGTGTTTTAGCCTGGGATGGAGGGCTGCTGGCTGGGGTGGAAGCCGGGAGAGGAGTGGTGCTGGAGGTCTGGGGCTCAGACATAGGTACAGCTGGGGGAGAAGTGGTGGTAGTGGTGGTGGGAACGGGACTGACTGTCTGTTTAGGCTGGGTAGGGTTAGAGGTCTCTGGGTTAGGGCTGGGGGTTGAGCTGGGCTGGGGGTCAGCGGCGGTGTTAGTTGGATGGGTCTCAGGCCTAATAGGGGGTGGGGAAACGGTGGTGGTGATGGGTGAGTGGGTTTTGGGGTGTTGTGTGGAGGGATGAGGGGCATGGAGTGGTGGAGTGGTGGAGTGGACAGGTGTGTGTGGGGGGGTGGTGGAAGGATTGTGAACGAGGACTGTGGTAATGGGTGTGTGGGTAGGGGCAGTTTGGTTGTCAGAGGGAGCAACAGAGGGCTGTACGGTTTCTTCAGTGAGGTTCCCTGGGCCAGGGGTCTTCTCAGGGATGGGAGGGGTTTCAGGGACCCCCACACTGGTGGCTAGATCAGAGAGGAATAAAGGTTTTTAAGTGAAATTCAATACAAGGAAAGAAGGATACATTAATGTTTACAAATCTTTTTATCAATTATAAAAGCCATTGATAGGCGAAAAGCCACAGTCAATATCTGCAGAAAAAACATTCAACAAGAAAAAACAAAGTTGAACGCACACACACACTCCAATTAGCAGTGTTTCTTCTAACTCCCAGCCAGAGGACACAGAGGAGAGAGAAGCAGCAGTGTAGTGATGAGATAATATACACCTGTAAAACCTCCCAGAGAGATACAGATACAGAGTGAGTGAGGTGCAGGTGGATGTTTGCAATGAGCCAGTGTGTGTGTGTGTGTCAGGCTCCAAACTTTCTCACCTCTCTGTGCGAAATCACACTGAATTTAATCACCGTGCATCTCTCCTCCTTCTCCACCCCCCTCCAGTTCTACACTCTGCCCTCTTTCTGTATGCCTAACAACACTGTTTCTTGCCGTGAATTCTCTCATGATCTAGTTTTTTTGCTTAATTTCTCCATCTTCTGTCTATCTCATGTCTCTCTTTGTGCTCTAGTTAGTAAACCCAACAGTATCCTCCTTTTAAGGACCATGTTCTGTTTTCTAGTGTGTGTGTGTGTGTGTGTGTGTGTGTGTGTGTGTGTGTGTTTGTCATCACCTCAGCCCAGTCACAGCTCTCCACTCTGCTTGTGCTGTGTCTGACTATGTTGTGGCTTCTAAAAAATACCCCTGACCACTAACCCCTGAACTAAGGTGGCATGGCTCTAAATAGACTGAGAACAAGCTGAATGATTTATCTTAAACAAATTATATGTTTAAATAAATGTACAATTTGAAATTATATTTTATTCAATAATAAAGTAGTCCTCCGAACCAATACAATTCCATTCATTCCATTTTTTATGTTCTACAGTACATTTACCTTGGACCTCTTTCACTACGACTTCTGTGTCGTTGCTGCTGCTACTGCTGCTGTTGTTGTTGTTGGAGAGCCCTCTATCAGTGAGGTCGCTGGCTGGCTTTGGGGAGTCTGTGCTGGGGAGGGACAGAGAACCTCCAGGGAGGGGGGCCTGAGTAGCCGCGGACATACCCAGGGCCAGTGGCCCGTCTGAGGGAGAGGAGGGATCACCAGGGTCCTGGCCTGGAGAAGAGACAATCAGGGTGACATTTAGACTTTTAGTTAATAGGAGTGTGTTGCTGAAGCAGTGCACAGTAAGGAAAGACGTAAGGAAAGACATCAAATATTAAATTCATGATCTCTGAAATAAGCCGATCTGTGAATGATGCATTTCTTTCGTCAGATAGTCCTTGTTTTCCAGAAGAATGGCAGATCTATTAGATCCCCCTCAGGACCAGTTAGGATCATTTCTTCCAACTCCTCCTGAGAAGGGGAGGCTGCTCTATTTTTAAAGAAGTGTAGACAGAGAGGATAGATGGTCTACTGGAATAGATGGTAAGGCAGAATACAGATGTAACATGTATTATTCAACTCTGGTCTATGTCTGCTAAAGAGGAGACATAGGGGACCTGCTGAGAATCAGATTCCTTTTACATTTTAAAGGACTGCCATCACGAAAAATATGCATATTCAAACACCACTATCAGTGACTGTCTGTTGCGCTGACATTTGCAGTTAAACAACACAATTCCTATGCAATTAAGGAAAGCTTGATCCAAAGTGAGCTGACATTTGGAACCCATACAATAGCCAACCAGTAACACTCAATGAGCATCAGGTTAGATATTTAGATTCAGGAATCTCTCTTGTTTGTGTTCAATCTCTCTTGCCCTGCCTAAACAATCTCTAGTCTAAACAGTCTCACCATAGTAATCAGGTAGGTTTTGTCACTGTCAGCATTGGTACCAAAAACATTGTAGTTGTTTTTTGCATGGTGACCCACCAGATGAACAACCCCAGGTCTGTAAACACACGTTAGTGTTGAACCATTAGGGAGCATTAGTACCAAAAGAACTGCAGAATCGTGCTGATGTAAATGGGACATTTTTAGCTTTGTGTCATGCCTGTTGTCATGCTGTATAAGCAGTTCAACCAAGTTTTATTGCAGCCAGAAAGGTCACATGCTATCTGTCTGTCTCTCTTCTCCTCTGTCTGTCTTTCCCTCATCCTCATTTCCATCTATCTATTCCTCTCCTCCTTACCCTCTTTCCTTCTCACCTCCTTCTCTCACACTCCCTCCACCTCGCTCTCTCATACTCCTCTCCCCCCTCTATCTGATAAAGTCCAGAATACCAGTGTAATGCCATTACAAGCCAGTGACACACTGTCATGGAGCCTCTTATTCCTCTCGCCATCACTCACACAGCTCAACACACACAAACAAACACACAACATGCTGATGGCAAGAAAGCCCATGCACGTCCACACAAACATTTGACATAGCTATATAAGACCATGTACACACACGCGTGTACACATACCAGTGTGTGAAAAGTGAGTGGCTGTACAATACTGGCCCTGTTCCTCTGCCTCAGCTCTGTTAGGGCTGCTCAGGTCAAGCATTGGGGGGAGGGTGTGTGTATGTGTGTTGTGTATGGAGGGGGCTGGGGGAGTTATAAAGGGAACCACTGTTTGCCATGGAGAAACACTTTCCCCTCTTCACGTGTTACAGGGTCACACACATGCACACACACACACACTCAGGGCGATACAGCATGTACCTGGGGAAAGAACTTGACCCTTACGTCTGAAAGAACAGCCAACCATTTCTCTGCTAGCAGCTGGCCAGTTTTCCTTTCAGCACTGGGTGTGTATCTGTGTGAGCTATACTGTAGCTGTTTTCTAGACCCATATTTAGGCTATACAAATCTAGGGACAATCAGAATAACAAGAATATGACAATGCTGCTAACTGAAATAGGCCACTTATTTACAAACTCACAATCCTCCTGTATAAAAATAAAATAAAAATGAAAAACACATCTGTATATCCTCAGAATAAAAATGTAAATGTCAGAGTTCACATGGAATATAGCAAAGGAAACGTTGTGTGCAACAGTGGCCTTTTCAGAGCTCCTTATTCAGGTCTCCATTTTTGACCTGTTTGGCGTCTGTGTAGCCTCTTCTCTATTTCTCCTCTCCTTCAACCCTCGTCACCTCCTCTTCTCTCCTCTCCTACAATTTAATCTAACCAAGCTTGGAAGAAAAATGTCAGTTGACTACATGACTATAGACTAGAAGATGACTGGATGTCACTTTAGTGACAGTGTGGCAAACCTGTTGACAGCATATACAGCCAACTGCAGGCTTTGACATTCAACTGACTGAGTTTCGACACTCATTTACGAGCAGCAAATGCCATCCTGTGACTCTATGCTATTTCCAAGTTAATTTTCATTCCAGCTTGAAGAGCTTGTGACAGCATCGTGCTGCAATTAATAAAACATTTTCAAATGTCAACCTGTGTTTCCCTGTTCTTACTTAGCCACTGAAGACTATACACTCTGCTAAGTAGAATTGAGAGAGTCAGAAAGAGAGAGACAGAGAGAGGGGTGAGAAAGCAGACAGAGAGAGGGAATGTGAGATGGCAAAAAGAAGGATGGAAGGGTGAGAAAGGGAGAGAGAGATGGGAGGGAGAGGTGAAAGACAGAGTTGTAAGAGAAATGGAGTGTGAGTGAGGAGCTGAGATCTGGTAGAAATATGGAGGAGGAGGAGGAGGAGGAGGAGGAGGAGGAGCTAATACTGCAGTAATAAGTGCTCTGTACTTTTATAAAACACTAAGGCCTGTGCTGTCTATGTATTAGATAAGCGATATGCGACTTTAGTTTTGGGCTGGCTTCATTGCTGTCTAGGAGAGGGAGCAAAAAGGGAGAGACAAAGGGAGCTGGCCAGAACACAGCTAAGAGTGTGGCAGGGACATAAATGTTTGTTCTGAACTATAAATAACTGTGATTGTTCCAAAGCCTACTCAGTCCCTCCTGCTACACACACACACACACACACACACACACACACAGAGAGAGAGAGAGAGAGAGTGTATGTATATTGGACACAGAACATTGTAGCAATACTTGATACAATAGGATAGAGTGCTTGCCTTGCAACCCAAGACCTCAGTTCAAGTTGTGGTCAGGCACTGATTTGGACCTGAATGTGCAATTTTTTGGTAGGAGCCGTGGCAGACACACAGGGCGTCTGTAAGAACCTTACGAACACACCCAGCCTGCCTGCATCCTCCCTCTGTGGTTTGATGAAACAAATATAATTGGGTGCATCTCAAGACACTAGACAAGTGTCCTGGGGTACCCCCAGGGGCCGTGGTTGCACATTTTAGTTCCAGCCCAGCACTAACACCTGTTTGCCCTTGATTAGTTGAATCAGGTGTGTTACTGCTGGGCTGGAACAGAAATGTGCAACGCTGTGGGCCCCCCTTGTAGGAAAGGGTTGAGGAACACTGGTCTAAGGCAGCATCCTTCCCTCCTTTCCTTCATCTGCACCATAGAGAGAACAACTGTTACATTATCTATAATGTGCACAAAGATATAACACCCTCGCCATGGAACCAGGGTCCAACCCTACAACCCCCCATGTTTGTCCTCAGAAGATTACCCTGTGTGTGTGTGTGTGTGTGTGTGTGTGTGTGTGTGTGTGTGTGTGTGTTTGTGTGTGTGTGTGTGTGTGAGTCTGTGTCTGTGTGTGAGAGAGAGAGAGAGAGATAGCGACCCTAGACTGATTACAGCTAAACAGCCAGTCATTATTCTGACCGTTAAAAACGGATCAGTAGAAATATCTAAAAACAGCAAATTGTGTATGTGAACTACTGTATAGTTAAATAAAGGTAAAAAAATATATGCTTAACTGTTTGTGAATAAAATCTTTGTTCATTGCAGCAGACCAACAAGACAGCCTTTTAGTGACTGGTATGGCTCACTAACGGATTCAGAGAGAGTTAAAATGATCATGGTAGGCCTACCACTTATTAGCAGTGTCATAACCTAGGCATAGACTGTCTGCATCTCTCACACACTCCTACGTTTTTACCATGCCTGTGAAATGTTCACTAATAATGTGAGAGACAGAGCAGACCATCAAATTAAACAGAGAACAGAGAAAAAATATAGGATCAGCATGGGTTTGAGAGAGAGAGAGTGTGTGAGAGAGAGAGAGAGAGAGAGAGAGAGAGAGAGAGAGAGAGAGAGAGAGAGAGAGAGAGAGAGAGAGAGCAAGCAAAGAATGACATGATGAAAATATAAAGGTGGAGGGAGGACGGGAAGGGGAGATAGAGAGAAGAGGAAAAATAAATTGACTGAAATAATTGCTAGAGGCATAACTGTATTATAAACCTACATACACAATGACTTCGACATACAGCAAATAAATCACATGGGCTTTTTGCTTATTCAAACAGGCCACAATTTATCCATCATGCGCACGATGATGTAAGTTTAAAAAAAAATTGATCTGAGAGCCAGGACTACAATGTATTCTGTGTGTATTTATTCTAACAACCTCTCAAACTGCGAAAGAAAACACAGAAGTGCGAATCACAGAGCTTCTTACCTTCTACATTCGAACCCAAGCTGAGGATCAGAGCGCACAGAGCGACGAGTATTTTGGTTTCCATCGCTCTCTCCTATGATCTAACAGTAACTATTAAAAGTCGGATGCCGTCTCTTCCTCTTCGCAGAGGTCTGTTGTGGTTAGTTCTCTGTGGCCCTCTCAACTATAAATAACTGTTAGCGCGGCGGCCCTTTGGAGAGCAGGAGTGAGCTAGCTTGCTTGACGAGTCTCCGAAGTGCGCGAATAAAAAGTATTCTCCTAAACGAATACAAAGTGCCACGTGTTTAACGCAGTTCTTGGTGGGTCTGCTTCCCTGCTGACTCACTAGTTCAAGCTACTGTACCTCGGCAGTCTGACGAACACACAACGTAAAGAGATACAAGCCAAATAGACTGATTTTCCTATTAGCCTTTGCTCAGAAAAATGAGTGTCATCGCCGAACCATCACCACCAGCGACAAAAGTGCCAATAGAAGGGGCGTGATGGAGAGAGGGGAGGAAGGAGAGGCAGGGAGGGGCACAGAGACGCCCTGAAATTATAACTCATACAGCAGATTTATCATACAGTCTGTGACAGAAATAGGGGACATTATTTTCTCAATAAAGGATGCACCCCTGATATGACGCAGAGGAGAACAATGGCACAGATGCATGTTTGTTCTACATAATATTCTAAGGAAATAAGCCCAATATAGTAAACTTTGTTTTATTCATTTAGGAACATTTACACTTGTTGGCTCTCTGGAAATATTTTTATTTATTTTGTGTGTCTGTTGAAAAGCCATTGTGTATCTTTCACCGACAACAAATATAGTCATATTGAAAAATCATATCGAACAAATATTAAATGGATCAACTAAATTGCATTTCCCACCAAGGAAGTTGAAGGCTACTGTCCTGTCATCAACTGACACAACTGGCTATGACATAACAGGGCGTTTTACTGTAATAAAAATGTATGCAATGTTTTCAAACACCCACAAAGAGGCACTGTTGCACTGTAAACCAATCTACAAAGCGACGAGACTCCATAGACTGAGAAACCCATCACTTACCCCTCTCGGCTTGCCACACGCAAGCAACGTCAGATAAGAGTGAATTGCTGTCACCTTTTCATCAACATTAAGGTAGTCTATCTAGCCTATGTATTGTTAGGAAATAAGTGCAAAACATCCATGATTTTGAATACCATAAGAGTCAAATATATGGCTCTGCGTAGGGCTATTCAAATGTATATCACTACTATAGACTTTAAAATTCAAGACTGGAACATACGTAGAACATGTATCATTAAAGATTTTCATACAATTTTAATGCCTCATAATTTGTCTTTATAAAATTATCCCTGCTTTGAAAGCAGGGCGGTGGTTGAAGGAAAGACAAGTGGCATAATCGCTTCTCATTGGATGTGGGGGCAATGACGTTGCAGAGGCTGAAGTCTGTAGCTGGGAGCTGGCAGCATCTGCATCATTTCGACCGTCGTAGCAAAGACAGTGACAATATACTGGATATTTAGCCAGTAACAAGTAACACACATTTCTAATGCCAACGAATGTTTGGATGATAATTAAAACGGTAGGTTTAACTATCTTACTAGATTGTCTTTACAGACACATTTTCAAGAGGGTAACAAGATGCTTTGCTAGCTAACTTGTGACCCCAGACAGACAGACAGAAGAATCGGGGCCCACAGAGGCCGGTCAGCTAACAGGGTTTAGCTACGGAAGCTAAAATTATTTAGCTAGTACAGAAGAGCCAGTCATTCAAATCGTGGTTACAGACAATTGACTAGTGCCGCGTTCTGTAGCTAGCTAACAAGCTAGCCAGACAGTTAGCTAGCTAAAGAAGCGGCTCCGCCTTTTATTGACAGACAGGCCGGTTGGGTTAACATGGAGACATCGGGGAGAATAACAACCACGCCAGACGCCCTCGACTTCACAGTGGAAAACGTGGAGAAGGTAAGAATCTTAGTCTATGGACAAATTCACCAATCAAACATGTAGAATCACAATAATAATCACAATATCAGATGTGTGTAGCCTACGTGGGTCTCTGTAATGTATTTTCTATGGGGTAGTTATAATGGTGGGGGGGTATAGTTACAACATATACAGTATCATGACATGAGTTTATCAGCTAACCGTGGTGCAACAAACAAGTTGTGTTTTTGTCCCTGCACTGAATGAGACCAGCTAGTCTTTGCAGCTGAAACGGTAACAATAGCAAGTCTTTATTCTGTCCCCTTGCCTGTGTATTCTCCTGACCAGTGGTGGAAAAAGTACCCAATTGTCATACTTGAGTAAAAGTATAGATACCTTAATAGAAAGTTACTCAAGTAAAAGTCACCCAGTAAAATACTACTTGAGTAAAAGTCTAAAAGTATTTGGTTCTGAATATACTTAAGTAGCAAAAGTAAATGTAATTGCTAAAATATACTTAAGTAGAAAAAGTAAAAGTACAAATCATTTCAAATTCCTTATATTAAGCAAAGCAGACAGCACCATCTTCTTGTTTTTGAAATTTACATATACCCAGGGGCTCACTCCAACACTCAGACATAATTTACAAAATATGCATTTGTGTGTAGTGAGTCCCCCAGATCAGAGGCAGTAGGGGTGACCATGTGTTTTATTGATAAGTGCGTGAATTGGACAATTTAACTGTCCTGCTAAGTATTCAAAATGTAACAACTACTTTTGGGTGTCAGGTAAAATGTATGGAGTAAAAACTACATTATTTTCTTTAGGAATGTAGTAAAGTAAAAGTAAAAGTTGTCAAATATAAATAGTAAAGTACAGATACCCCAAAAAACGACTTAAGTAGTACTTTAAAGTATTTTTACTTAAGTACTTTACTCCACTGCCCCTGAATCAATAGCTATGACTGGTGGGCTAGTCTCTCTCCCGGTCTGTGTGATGCACTATATCATCCAACCCACTCTGGTGAAGGTTGTTGTGACTAAATGTAGGCTAGAAGAAAAGGGTAGAGTGGAGTGCATTGTGGGTACAGTGCAGAATATCAAAACAAAAGTAGAACTAAGTGCTCTTTGGTTAAGTCAAGGTCTAGAATGTAACCGAAAGAAGAGGCAAGTCACTCTTTATACTAGGGTTTTAAGTGCCTTTATTTCTATGGCATGTGTCTGCCCACTTGAGATTATTTATCTGATGATGTAATTTCTAGTAGCCTATGTAGAGTCTTACGCCTTCTGTCCAAATGTAATCTTCCTAACATCTCATACACACACTGCATCTATTCCTCTTCATCTGTCACAGACTGACTGCCTGGCTGGCAAGTGGTAGGATTTATAATCAGTATCTAGAACATCTAAAGTTGTTTAATGAATCCACAGCGGCTGATGTGTGTGTGTTCCGTATATTCCGCCACAGGGAATGCCCGGGCTTGATAGGCATGATTTAAACAGATACCATACGCACACAAATTCACTTTTAATATGCAGCAGAACACAAACCTCAAGGCAAGTTTTGATGTGTGTGTGTGTGTGTTCTGGAGCCTAGTGGTAGTCGGTGTGCTTAGGAGGACAGAGGAGATTGTGCAACATGCTGGTGGTCAATAAGATGGAAGGATCCATCTCTCCCTCTCGCTCCCTGTGTATAGCTTGCTCTCATTACTTGTCTTTGTCTAGGCATCTCATTTTCTTTCTCTTATCTCCCCTTCTCCATCGTTCTCTGTTCTTATCTTTGTGTGATTTGTTTTCTCTCAGTTCTTCTGCAGACAGTCCTGCTGCCGTGATCTTCTTACAATATTATGCCACCTGTCTTCCTGTCCGCCTGTTTGTCTTTGTCTGCATTTCTGTCTTTGTCTGTCTGTCCCATCCTGTCTGTGTCCCTCTGTCTGTGTCCCTCTGTCTGTGTCCCTCTGTCCATTCGTCCTGTCTGTGACCCTCTGTCTGTCTGGTCTAAACTCTGAGAAAGATACAATTTTTGTGTGCATTACAGTCCATTAGTCTTTGATCAGGTCTGGCTAATTGTATCCCCATACTACTGTGCACTGGAGCTCTCAGCTAATGATTAGCCAGCTGGGAGGGAGCGAGGGGGAGAGAGAAAGAGAATTCTGGTACTGGAGGTCATTATACCCACCAGCCAACTCTCTCCATCATCTAAGGTGTGTGTGTTGGCATGCTGTGGCTGCTAGGTTTCTGTGATGAATCTCCCTGTTGCTGGGTGGCCGGTGACCAGGGTCAGAGGAGAGGAGAGGAGAGGGGGTTGGCGGAGAGGGGGACGGGTGAAACAGAGAAAAAAGTGTGGATGAGATGGAGGAGCGAGTTGGATGGAGGTTGGGAGAGAGAGGGGTGGGGTGGGGGTAATGTCTGTGACATTGACAGTAAAGAAAGGAGGGAGTGTGGGATGTGGGAGGGGTGATTCCACCGTCTTGATTAGAGAGACAGTGGAAGGGAGTACGAGAAAGAGGGGGGAAAAAAGGGAGGTGGAGGAGGGGATATGCGACAGTCATGATTAAGAGAAGGCTAGAGGGACAGAGATATGGAGAACAGGAGAGGGAGAGGAAATTGAAGTGCAGGGGGAGAGGGAGAAATAGTAAAGATAGAGAAAGCTGTGGCTGCATCTCAATAGATACAGGTGGCTCCTTCTCATTGGCTCTTTTCTGATTCACACAATTTATAGCTAGAGTGTGTCTCAATTGTGTGTAGCTTCCTCTCCTTGTCTTCCCTCCTCCCTCTCCTTGTCTCCTCTCCTTAATCTCCTTGTCTCCTCTCCTACTGCTGTGAATAGGGAAAACTAGGCCGGTGAAAGCAGTCGTTGGCCGGAAGGTGTCCACCATATGTGCTGTTGTTTTCAGATCGATGCAGATGGGAGAGTGATGGACGAGGAGTTGAAGGAGAGCAAGACACTGTAGACCAGTGCTCTCCAACCCTGTTCCTGGTGAGCTACCTTCCTGTAAGTTTTCGCCCTAACCCTAATCTAGCGCGCCTGATTCTAGTAATTAGCTGGTTGATAAGCTGAATCAGGTTAGTTACAACTGGGGTTGGATTGAAAACCTACAGGATGGTAGCTCTCCAGGAACAGGGTTGGAGAGCCCTGTTGTAGACTGTTGAGATGTACATTGAGTGTACATAACATTAGGAATACCTTCCTAATATTGAGTTGCACCCCCTTTTGCACTCAGAACAGCCTCAACTCGTCTGGGCATGGACTCTACAAGGTGTCGAAAGCATTCCACAGGGATGCTGGCCCATGTTGACTCCAATGCTTCCGGCAGTTGTGTCAAGTTGGCTAGATGTCCTTTGGGTGGTGGACCATTCTTGATACACACGAGAAACTGTTGAGCGTGAAAAACTCAGCAGCGTTGCAGTTCTTGACACACCATTGTGCCTGGCACCTACTACCATACCATGTTCAAAGCAATTCAATATTTTGTCTTGCCCATTCACCCTCTGTATGGCACACGTACACAATCCATGTCTCAATTGTCTCAAGGCTTTAAAATCCTTCTTTAACCTGTCTCCTCCCCTTCATCTACACTGATTTGAAGTGGATTTAACAAGTGACATCAATAAGGGATCAAAGCTTCACCTGGTCAGTCTGTCATGGAAAAAGCAGGTGTTCCTAATGTTTTGTACACTGTGTAGACCTAGTCCCCCAGTAGGTAACTCTAATAACAGCTAAGTTCAATGCACACGCGAACATCTCTTCAGTCTCCAACAGCAAATCAATTGAAAGCTAAATTGTGTTTCCCATAAGTGGATAAGAAGAGGAGAGCAAATTGATACAGAAGTAAACTCTCTCTCTTGTGTGTGTGTGTGTGCGTGCGTGTGCGTTATGGAGAAGTACGTTCCTGGCCCTGTCTTGGTTCCACCAGTACAATAGCCTTTGTCCCAGCTGTGTGTGTGTGTTTATGTGCCCAGCACAATCTGTGTGTGTGATAATAATGGGTACTGTGCCCAGGCTGGCTGGAAATATATCCTCTCCAAAGATAATCCAGTTAGTGTGTTATTGCATCTGTTACCCAACCTAGAGGTAGCCTAGGCCATCTCATCCCATTGGGATGTCTGCCTGGGTGGAACTGGTGCCAGCACCATAAAGGTAACGCCTATCCAGTCCCTTTCTGGGAACAATGAAGACCGAGAGGGACTGAGACACACACACACACACACACACAGAGGGTAGAAAGAGCAAGAGTAGGAGAGAAAGGTACCGACTACCGAGATACACAGACAGAGAATACAGAGCGAGGGTGGTGGAATGTGACACTAAACCGAGAGTCATTGTGATGTGTAGAGGAGAGAGAGATGTGTTGTGCTATTTTAGTGCATGGCTGATATGAGAGAGGTAGATCACTTCCAGTTGACAGATTGAGCATGACGTCACAGTCCCCCCCCCCCCCCTCTTTCCGTTATCGATGATTGTTTATTTTATTTTAGAGCCAGGAGCAGGTACCATATCTCATATCATCTTACCTGTTCAGGGGTTGAATATCAGTATTCTCAATGGCAACCACATAATGATCATTAAATGGTTGTGGGGGCATGTGTGATGATAGGTTGTCTTATTGATGCTGAAGCGAGTGTGAAGCTTCAGTAATTGTGTCTTCATCTTTTTCTGGCTGGGATGCCGTCGTCATTGGCAACATGGGAGTATTTTTAATTTTTTTATCACTGCGCAGACATCAGACCCAGTCAACATCCGCCCACACCCCTACACACACACACACACGAACACACATCGTCCCAGCTTCATTCATTCATCAGTTCCACTCCTCCTTCTGCACGTTATTTGATCTCCATTTCACATCATTAATATAAATAAGAACAGTTATGATGATTATATAAGATGACATAGATCTAATCAATAATGATGATTGATTTATCCAGTCAGACGTGGATCAATATCCAGTCCTTCAAGAAGAGTCTCTTAGCACGGCTCTGTCTGTCTGCCCCCCAGGAATGGTACAACAGGACACGGACAGTACATTACAGTAACTTTACTGGATATCAAAACCCGGACTGCTGTGTGACTCGACCATGTTAGCCCGCAGAGCTAAAGCCTAGTCGCTAGATCTAGGAGCTACAATGAGTCTTCAGGTCTCAGTTTACTGAACCTCCACTATGTATACATTAGTCTGCAGCACCCTCACTGTACCATAGTTAGGAGAAGATTTACTATGTGGCTGGTTGCACCTGCACACTATTCCCCTAGAGGGAGTACATGATGGAAGGTAGGCTACTAGGACAGAACAGTTAAACAGAGGTCAACAGACGACCTGCATGTAAAGTGTTGATCGAGACAGATTCATGTTTATTTTAATATAGCAGGTATTTTAAATAGCAGGTGCTGTCTCTGAACTGCAGCAGTGCCAACTGCTAGGCCCTATACATACAGGTAGGCTAGCCTATATTTAAGCAATAAGGCACGAGGGGTGTGGTATATGGCCATTATACCACGGCTAAGGGCTGTTCTTATGCACGACGCAACACCGAGTGCCTGGATACAGCCCTTAGCGGTGGTATATTGGCCATATACCACAAACCCCCGAGGTGCCTTATTGCTATTATAAACTGGTTACCAACGTGATTAGAACAGTAAAAATTACTTTTTTGTCATACCTGTGGTATATTCTAATAAAAAGCATGAGCTGGTGCACACCCAGAGAAAATGATTTAGTGTAGCGGTGCTGACTAACGGCGAATAAACTATAAGCTATAAAAATAAAGAGAGTGAAGAAGGCACAGTGATGCCGAAACGTTGGTGTTTTACCCAATAAATTACTGGGAGTTTATATATTGCAACTAGCTAGCCGCAACCGAATGGATGTTGATGTAGGCTAATCACCACTGCTCCCGAAGCAAGCACCAGTTAGCCTTGTTGTCTGTGGCCTGCACTACCTACCAGCCAGCTCTAGCCTGGACTATTATCGGCCAGTCTGCACTGTCTGCACAGCGCGTTATCGACCCAGAACCTATCGGATTTTCTGCCGGAATCAATTAACCTTTAACACTGGATAATCGCAACTAGCTAGCTGCAACCAAATGAACGTTGTTGTTGGCTAATCAGCCTTGAGCTAGCCTTGAGTCAGGCACATCTCCCGGCTATCTACCTCTCTGTCAACCGGACAGGACCTCCTAGAGTCGACACGGAGCCCCGCCGATCCATCACGACTGGTCTGCCGACGTAATCGTCTGTGGTTTCAACAGGCTTCCCGTTGCGACGACCACGAATATCCATCTGCTAGCCCCGGCCCACTAGCACACGCAAACAACAGCCGTGCTTCCTGCTCGCTGTGCTGTAGCACCAATTCGAACTGCTCTCGGACTCAAATATTGCTGTTCACTGGACCTTATGATCACTCAGCTGAACAGCTGATGCCTGCTGGACTGTTCCTTTACACGGTATCCTGTCCTGTTTATCTGTTTAGCCTCAGCCCAAACTTTATCGCCATTACCAGTTGTTGTCTTAGCTCTCTCTAATAACACCTGTGATTGCTTTATGCCTCTCTCCCATTGCTGTTCCAGTTAGTTCTTATTATATAATTTCACTGTAGAACCCCAAGTCCCTCTTAAACTGCCTCAAATAGATCCTTTGTTCCACCCCCCATACACGCCGAGACCGGCTCAATCGGTGCCTCCATTGATGCTATCTCTTTCATTGTTACCCAACGCTTAGGTTTACCTCCACTGTACTCATATCCTTCCATATCCTTGTCTGTACATAATGCCCTGAATCGTGAACAAGTTACCTCTAAATACACCTCCGCTGTCTTCAACCAGGATCTCAGCGATCACTGCCTTATTGCCTGCGTCCGTAACGGGTCCGCGGTCAAACGACCACCCCTCATCACTGTCAAACGCTCCCTAAAACACTTTAGCGAGCAGGCCTTCCTAATTGACCTGGCCCAGGTATCCTGGATGGATATCGATCTCATTCTGTCAGTAGAGGATGCCTGGTTGTTCTTTAAAAGTAATTTCCTCTCAATCTTAAATAAACATGCCCCATTCAAAAAACACAGAACTAAGAACAGATATAGCCCCTGGTTCTCCTCAGACTTGACTGCCCTTGACCAGCACAAAAACATCCTGTGGCATACTGCATTAGCATCGAATAGCCCCCGCGATATGCAACTTTTCAGGGAAGTTAGGAACCAATATACACAAGCAGTTAAGAAAGCAAAGGCTAGCTTTTTCAAACAGAAATTTGCATCCTGTAGCACTAACTCCAAAAAGTCGGAGGGCCTGTTGTCTGGGCCTATGGCAGTCTCTATGGGGGTGCCACAGGGTTCAATTCTTGGGCCGACTCTTTTCTCCGTGTATATTAATGATGTCGTTCTTGCTGCAACAAAGCCTCCTTCACTCATGCTGCCAAACATGCCCTCGTAAAACTGACTATCCTACCGATCCTTGACTTTGGCGATGTCATTTACCAAATCGACTCCAACACTCTACTCAGCAAATTGGATGTAGTCTATCACAGTGCTGTCCGTTTTGTCACCAAAGCCCTATATACTACCCACCACTGTGACCTGTACGCTCTTGTTGGCTGGTCCTCACTATATATTCGTCGCCAAACCCACTGGCTCCAGGCCATCTATAAATCACTGCTAGGCAAATCCCCTCCTTATCTTAGCTAATTTGTCACCATAGCAACACCCACCCGTAGTATGCGCTCCAACAGGTATATCTCACTGGTCATCCCCAAAGCCAACACCTAATTTGGCCGCCATTCCTTCCAGTTCTCTGCTGCCAATGACTGGAACGAATTGCAAAAATCTCTGAAGCTGGAGACTTATCTCCTTCACTAACTTGAAGCATCAGTTGTCAGAGCCTTACCGATCACTGCACCTGTACACAGCCCATCTGAAATTAGCCCACCCAACTACCTCATCCCCATATTGTTATTTATTTTGCTAATTTGCTCCCCAGTATCTCTATTTGCACATCATCTCTTGCACATCTATTTATTGCCTTACCTCCATAATTTGCTACACTTGCACACACTGTATATATATTTTCTGTTGTATTTCTGACGTTATGTTTTGTTTTACCCCATATGTAACTCTGTGTTGTTGTTTTTATCACACTGCTTTGCTTTATCTTGGCCAGGTCGCAGTTGTAAATGAGAACTTGTTCTCAACTGGCTTACCTGGTTAAATAAAGGTGAAATAAAAAAATAAAATAAATGTAATTGTAATGTGGCACGAGGCTATAGGATGCTATTACCATCATACACTATATATACAAAAGTATGTGGACACTCCGTCAAATTAGTGGATTCGGCTATTTCAGCCACACCTCTTGCTGACGTGTATAAAGTAGAGCACACAGCCATGCAATCTCCATAGACAAACATTGGCAGTAGAATGGCCTTACTGAAGAGCTCAGTGACTTTCAATGTGGCAACGTCATAGGATGCCACCTTTCCAACAAGTCAGTTCGTCAAATTTCTGCCCTGCTAGAGCTGCCCCGGTCAACTGTAAGTGCTGTTATTGTGAAGTGGAAACATCTGGGAGCAACAACGACTCAGCCGCGAATTGGTAGGCCACACAAGCTCACAGAACGGGACCACTGAGTGCTGAAGCGCGTAGCGCGTAAACATCGTCTCCTCAGTTGCAACACTCACTACTGAATTCCAAACTGCCTCTGGAAGCAACGTCAGCATAATAACTGTTCGTCGGGAGCGTCATGAAATGGGTTTCCATGGCTGAGCAGCCGCACACAAGCCTAAGATCACTATGCGCAATGCCAAGCGTCGGCTGGAGTGGTGTAAAGCTCGCCGTCTTTGGACTCTGGAGCAGTGGGAACTTGTTCACGATTCACCATCTGGCAGTCCGAATCTGGGTTTGGCGGATGCCAGGAGAACACTACCTGCCCCAATGCATAATGTCAACTGTAAACTTTGGTGGAGGAGGAATAATGGTCTGGGGCTGTTTTTCATGGTTCGGGCTAGGCCCCTTAGTTCCAGTTAAGGGAAATCTTAATGCTACAGCATACAATGACGTTCTAGACTATTCTGTGCTTCCATCTTTGTGGCAACAGTTTGGGAAAGGCCCTTTCCTGTTTCAGCATGACAATGCCCCCATGCACAAAGCGAGGTTCATACAGAAATGGTTTGTCGAGATCGGTGTGGAAGAACTTGACTGGCCTGCACAGAGCCCTGACCTCAACCCCATCGATCACCTTTGGGATGAATTGGAACGCCGACTGCGAGCCAGGCCTAATCGCCCAACATCAGTGCCCGACCTCACTAATGCTCTTGTGGCTGAATGGAAGCAATGTTCCAACATCTAGTGGAAAGCCTTCCCAGAAGAGTGGGGGCTGTTATAGCAGCAAAGGGGGGACCAACTCCATATTAAAGCCCATGATTTTGGAATGAGATGTTCGACGAGCAGGTCTCCAAATACTTTTGGTCATGGAGTGTATCTAGCTGTCTCTGTGTGCTGTCTGAGAGTACCTCGTGGCTCATTATACACTCTGCTTTTAATGTTTCCTCTCTACCACTCCATCTCTGACACACACACACACACTGGGAGAGTACTAGTATAGTAGCTAGTTCTTTCAGTGCCAAAGCGCCTCCATCTGTGGCATATTTGTGTGTGTAGCAAGTGTGTGTGTGTGACCATATGGAGAATCTGCTGCAGACAGACAGTGGTGCTCTTCACCTGCAGCCTCCCGTCTCGCTCCCTCTCTGTCTCTCTGCATCAGGAGTGGATGATCAGATCCCTGACTGCAGCTGCTATCAACTGACAGACAGACAGACCGACAGATCTGGTGGCTAATGAAACAGTTGAAGCAACATTAGAGCTGCTAGTTGGATGCATCTGGCTAGCTGTAGTGAGATGGGTCTCACACCCCTGGCTTTTATGTACGACACACACACACACACTCTGGAGTGTGTGTCTGGGATGAAAAGTCTCCTTAGATCACACGGTGGACGGTGGTAATGATCTGCCTTCGCTTTGAACTCTGGAAAATCACAGCCTTGTTTAGAAGGGATGAGAAAGAGAAGAAGGGAGGGAGGAAAGAAAGAAAGAAAGACTGGGCAGCACAGAGTGACGGAGAGAGATGAAGAGGAATGAGAGCAATGAGAGATTTCAGTAAAGACACTGCTCCTCAGTAAAGAGGGTTTGCTTGAGCTGGGCAGATTCACTATTGGAGCAGCTGCGTGTGTGTGAGAGATGCAGATAGAGCAGTGTTTCAGCGTGGAACAGCGGAGGACTGGAATATGAGTCAGGCTGTGATCTGTATGACACACACAACCCGAGACCTCTCCATACTGCGTGTATCAACGCTGAGGGATTATTTCAAAGGAAACAAAGGGACGCTGCACAGACATTTATCCTTTCAGGTGCTTCTCTTTATTAGACAATGATGTCAATCTACACTAGCTTTTGGTCAGGGTGCTAAGTAGTGTTACACACCAGATACAGTATGTAACTGGAGACACCTCTTGATACTCTCTGTATTGATGGTGTTCTATAACAGCAGTCAGTCAGTCATACTAGAGTCTCCATACAACCTGCTGAGTCTAGCTATTGCAATTATACTGACTTTCTCCCTCCCTCTCTATACCTCCCCCATCCCCCTCTCTCTTGCTCGCTCTCGATCTTTCTCTCTCTCTCTCTGTCTCCCCCCCCCTCCCCCCCCCAGGCGCTCCACCAGTTGTATTATGACCCTAACATAGAGAATAAGAACCTGGCCCAGAAGTGGCTGATGCAGGCTCAGGTCTCCCCTCAGGCCTGGCAGTTCTGCTGGGCCCTGCTCAGCCCTGACAAGGTATGATATACCGACACACACACGCACACCAGGATTTCCGTTAGGAAAATGTTGCGCCGGACATTTGACCGGCAGAATTTTTATTAACGGACATTTAAGAAATTTACTGGACCTAAATGCATTGGGTGTGTAACCTGATTAGGGCGTCCACCCACGTTGCAACTCGAGGATGCAACGGTGTGCGTCCTTCTTACCGAATTCCGATGCGCAATTGTTAGAATAACTGTCCACATTTACTTTTCCTCAGCCAACAAGACAAGTAACGAACCGCAACATCACTAGCCTATGTCAATCTACTATCCTCCGTAGTAGAAATGTTTACAATGAGAAATGAGGCTCATGAAACGGATCAGAACGTTTAGCTTAAAATGTTGATAAACTATTATTTCTTCACATTATAATAGCAGCAATGCGTACAAGGCAGTAGGCTACACTCAAATGTTCGTTCCATAATTCAATTAGCGGGAAAACACCGTTGTCAAAAGCACATTGCAGATGCGAGCGGTTTCATGAGACAGAGATTAAAATATACAATCGAAATTTAGAATGAGTGGAGATCTAAAGATGTAACAACTAACATGGGTTGCTAATATGACTAGGATTGTGCCTTTGGCTACTGGTCAATGAAAGAAAGTTGATTTGAAAAGCAGTAGAACATGAGAAAAACTGGCTACTGGTTTCAATGGCATATGGAAGTCTTTATAAAATAATTCGCTACGTCGACTGGTATTTCAATCAATTAATGGGCTAAAATGCATTTTCGCAATGGGATTTTTAAAATTCTCCCAGACCAATTGGCCGACGGCAATTTTATTCAATGGCATTTCAGTTTTTAGGGGGGCCAAAAGCCGGCTAACGGAAACCCTGACACACACACACACCTAACCCTCTCTCTCTCCCTAGGTTCCTGAGATCCAGTACTTTGGGGCTAGTGCCCTCCATACTAAGATATCCCGCTACTGGTCTGACATCCCCTCTGACCAGTATGAGACCCTGAAGACTCAACTCTTCTCTCAGATCGCCTGCTTCTCCTCCGGGTCCAAGATGGTGGGTAGATGGATGGAGGGATGGATGGGAGGATGAGTAGATGGATGGAATAATTTATTAGATCAGGGATGGGCAACTATGATGGGGGTTGGGGCCACAAAAAAACACAACTCATGTGGGTCTGCGTACCCACATCCATACCATAGTTCTTTTTTGAATTGGTCCACGGACGCCAGTTGCCCATCTCTGAATTAGATCATTGAAAATACATATAACTGGTGGTAGCTAAATGCCTTAAAAACCATAAAGTATAATAAATGCAATGATGACAGTACGTCGTTGTGATCCTGTTTCCAAGGTGCTGACGCGTCTGTGTGTGGCGCTGGCCTCCCTGGCCCTGAACACCATGCCAGAGGCGTGGCCGGGCGCCGTGCCAGAGATGGTGCGTGTGTTCCAGGAGGAGGGAGGGGGGGTGGACGGCCGGGCCAGGTGTCTGGCCCTGCTGGAGCTACTGACCGTCCTGCCTGAAGAGTTCCAGACCAGCCGCCTGCCGCAGTACCGCAAGGGACAGGTGAGAGGCGCTAGAGACTGAGGGGTGCCAATGGGCACAATAGACAGACACACACACATCCACCTACTACTCACCACTCTCTGTCTGTAGGTGCGAGGTGCGTTGGGTCGTGAGTGGGGGTCAGTGTGTCCACTCCTCCAGCAGCTGCTTCGTCGAGGGGACAGTCCCGGGGCAGTGAAGGCTCGTGTCCTGCGCTGTCTGTCCTCCTGGGTGCTGCTGGACGTCCCTCTCAGTGAGAGTGAAGGACTGGTGGAGGACTGTTTCACTGCTCTACCAGACCCTGAGCTGTTTGATACCGCCGTGGAGGCTATCGTCAATGCCATATCACAACCCGACTCCCAGAGGTGTGTACGGGGCCAGGGGAGGGTGTGAGTGTGAGTCAATCCAATTACTTTAGACAAACACACAAGGTGACACGCAGTCAGTGTCTGCTTTAGGGAGGAGGTGGGGGGTATTGTTTGAAGAGAGCCAAGAGAGCAACAGATTCAGACATGGAAGACTGAGACAGAGCAGAGATAGGAAGAGCATCACGAAGGAGGGAGGGAGGGAGGGAGAGCAGGAGGGAGGGAAAGATGGCAGCCAAGAGCACAGTGGGCATGGGAAGGGCATATGAGAGAAAGAGCTACTGTAGAGGGGAAATGGGGATGTAGAGAGAGAAATACAGGCAAAGGAGAGTTGAGGGAGAGCGAGATGGAGGGAATAGAGGGAGAGCTGACTGCTAGGAGGGGAGAAGAGGGGGGAGGCATTTCTCGGTTGGCTGGCATTACCATGGTTACAGAGCTGGGGGGCGATGTCATTGCGCTCCGATTGGCTCCGATGGCAGGCACCCAGTACCCCCTCCCCAAAACAAAGAGAGCGAGCGAGGGACGGAGGGATGGAAAGAAATAGGGAGAGAAAGATGAGCGAGGTAGGGAGAGGTGCAACATCCACCTAGGGGCATCAGGTTGGAGGTGTGATCACACTGCTGATAGGCCTGTTCTGACACACACAGTACACACACAAGACACACAGTACTGCTCTAATAGCTAGTCTCCTCCTCAACATGTGGGTTGTTTTTATTGCTCTAAAATAAGGCCAATATTACTGGTGGAGGTATGAAAATGGCCCTCATATTAGTGCTGGGCGATATATCGAATTAATTTGATTAATTCAAATGTATGTATTGCAAGAATCAAGTTTTTTTTAAATATAGTTTTCGTTTTTATGAGCGTTTATGTTCTCATGTTGTCTTTTTGGTCTCGTCTCCTTTGCTCCATTCTGAGAAATACGGTAGATCTTAACAAAGTGGACAGGTTAGCGTGCTGTTCAAACAGTTGGAGACGAACAGAAGGGTTTGTTCATAACAATTAAACTGTGAACTAGCAAATAGATCCAAGTTGGCGAAACTTAAAATAAAAAGTATTTTATATTCATCAGTGAATGTGCATTATACATGGTTCTGGTTACATTTGTAACAAAAAGGGCATTTTCATGAAAGCCAGATCAGTGATTATTGAAAAAAATGTTTAGTGGGTCTTATGGTTGTGGAGGTCTTATATTTAGCCTAGGTATAATTTCACAATCCCTGAATTCATTAGATTATTGCTAACTGGTTGAAATGCAGTGTATTTTACCTTTAATTGTACAGCAAAGCGTATTACGAGAAAACATTAAAAAACAAATTGAGATATACATTGTGAAAGTTTGGAAAAATCGAGATAAGATTTTCAGGCCATATCGCCCAGTCCGAAAACACTCAATTAGATTTGAAAAGGACTTGGTGTGTGTTTGCGTGTGCCTGCGCATGTGTGTATGTGTTTGGCCACACGAGTCAGGGCAGAAGGGCTATCACTATCTATCCCCAGACCATTAGCCCCTCCTTCCTTCCTCCCTTTCCTTCACTTAAAATCTTTCCATCTCTCTCCCCGTCTCTCTTTCCCCCATTTTCCTCCTCTCCGCCCCGTCTCTCTCGCTCTGCCTTCTGCCCTCCTCTCCCTATCTCCCCTCCTCCGCCTCTCTCCTCCCTTTAATTACGGTGACGCTCTGAGATGGGGAAATGAGTTGCCTGGCAACAGGATGCAGTTGGACCAATAGCATTCTCCCAAATGACTTGACTGTAATGTGGTTAAACAGAGAGAAGGAGAAGGGGAGGAAGAGAGGAGAAAGATGGAGGTGAAAAGAGAGGGAGGAGCCTGTCAAATTCATTACACAGAGTTTTATGGGGAGGAGAAAGAAATGGTAGGGGGGAAAGCGAGAGGGAGAGAGAGAGCGGGAAGCGGAGGTCTGTGTGTCTGCGGCAGACAGTCTGTGTCTCAGTGGAATCTATAGGATGTCAGGTTTCATACAACAGAGAAAGAGACGCACATACTCACACCCCAATGCCCTCTGAATAACACGCATGCAGTGTGTACAGTGCCCTCTGAATAACACAGAAATATACAGAAATGCACACTAATGCATTAAATAACAGCCCACCCTGGGAGATTTAGTCATCTCTATGAGCAGATTTCACACAGGCACAAAGCAGTCTGCACTCTGTATTCATTTTTAATGGGCTGACTTGGAGATGCAGGTCATGCACTCTTAGCTGGGGGGAAGGGGTTACATTGTGAAAGCACATGTGTCTAAAGCGTGAGTGTGTGAGACAGAGAGGTAGAGAGAGTGTATTTTGAAGGTCGGGGGAAAGAGGAGAATTGGAACAGGTGCTTTACGGTAGATGAACACTGTGTGTGTGTGTGTGTGTGTGTGTGGCTTGTTTTCATGCAGGTGGTATAGCAGCCTTCATGATAATGTCAATAAGGGGACACTCATCAATATCCCACTAAGTGCAAACCAGATGGGATGGCGTATCGCTGCAGAATGCTGTGGTAGCCATGCTGGTTAAGTGTGCCTTGAATTCTAAATAAATCACAGACAGTGTCACCAGCAAAGCACCATCACACCACCTCCTCCATGCTTCACGGTGGGAACCACACATGCGGAGATCATCCGTTCACCTACTCTGCGTCTCACAAAGAGACGGCGGTTGGAACCAAAAATCTCAAATTTGGACTCATCAGACCAAAGGACAGATTTACACCGGTCTAATGTCCATTGCTAGTGTTTCTTGGCTCAAGCAAGTCTCTTCTTCTTATTAGTGTCCTTTAGTAGTGGTTTCTTTGCAGCAATTCAACCAAGAAGGCCTGATTCACGCAGTCTCCTCTGAACAGTTGATTGTGATGTGTCTGTTACTTGAACTCTGTGAAGCATTTATTTGGGCTGCAATTTCTGTGGCTGGTAACTCTAATGAACTTATCCTCTGCAGCAGAGGTAACTCTGGGTCTTCCTTTCCTGTGGTGGTCCTCATGACAGCCAGTTTCATCATAGTGCTTGATGGTTTTTGCGACTGCACTTGAAGAAACGTTCAAAGTTCTTGACATTTTCCGGATTGACTGACCTTCATGTCATAAAATAATAATGGACTGTCGTTTCTCTTTGCTTATTTGAGCTGTTCTTTTCATAATATGGACTTGGTCTTTTACCCAATAGGGCTATCTTCTGTATACCACCCCTACCTTGTCACAACACAACTGATTGACTCAAACGCATTAAGAAGGAAAGAAATTCCAGAAATTAACTTTAAACAAGGCACACCTGTTAATTGAAATTCATTCCAGGTGAATACCTCATGAAGCTGGTTGAGAGGATACCAATAGTGTGCAAAGCTGTCATCAAGGCAAAGGGTGGCTACTTTGAAGTATCTCAAATATAAAATATATTTTGATTTGTTTAACACTTTTTTGGTTACGACATGATTCCATATGTGTTATTTCATAGTTTTGATGTCTTCACTATTATTCTACAATGTAGAAAATAGTACAAGTAAAGAAAAACCCTTGAATGGGTAGGTGTGTCCAAACTTTTGACTGGTACTGTGTGTGTCTGTGCGTCCAGAGAGAAAGAAAGACAATAGATATATTAGAAAGGGCTGAGAACAGAAAGAACAGACCAGAGTAATTGAAACCTAGAGAAATTAAACAAAGCAACCGAGAGATGGAGCTGGTGAAAAGTAAAGATGTTTGTGTGGCGGGGATGGGATGGGGGGAAGAGGGGGGGATGTGTGCAGCGTGTCTTCACAGGATCAAAGAAAGAATGGTTTGGGAAAATATTTAGTTTGAAGTAAACAAGACAGTCACACGCCTCCAGTTTTTCCCCTGGTACAGTATGTGAACTAACTCACTTGTCGCTCTCCCTCTCTGTCTCTGTATCACTCTCTTTTTCCCCCTCTCTCTGTATATCTTTCTGTCTCTCTCTCTATGTGTAGGTATGTGAACACGCTGCTGAAGCTGGTGCCCCAGGTCTTGTCCCTGCAGGAGCAGCTGAGAGATGCCGTCCAGAACGGAGACATGGAGACATCACACGGAATCTGTCGCATCGCTGTCGCACTGGGCGAGAACCACTCCAGGTGTGTTTGTTGGTCCCCAAAAGGTCCTCACGAGTACACTAAAATACAGCTGTGTGTGAGTGTGCGCTGTCCCCTCTAAATCATCAACCAATCATTCCTTTCACTTCCCCTTCTCACACTCCTTGGTGACAATTGATGCTTCTGGATTAATTCTCACAAACCAATCAATAAATAATCGGATAAGATGATGTGTTCAGTTTCAAGTGCAGGCCCACCCTGGTAAACAAGCTGTTTGTTATTGTGTTATTCTGCAGTGTCTCCCAAGGCCTCATGTCTCACTGTATATGTCAATATCTCCAGTCTTAACCTTTCACCTGTCACTTTATCTAGAGAAACAGCCCTGCCTGTCCCACCTCACCTCACTCTATCAAGAGAAACAGCCCTGCCTGTCCCACCTCACCTCACTCTATCTAGAGAAACAGCCCTGCCTGTCCCACCTCACCTCACTCTATCTAGAGAAACAGCCCTGCCTGTCCCACCTCACCTCACTCTATCAAGAGAAACAGCCCTGCCTGTCCCACCTCACCTCACTCTATCAAGAGAAACAGCCCTGCCTGTCCCACCTCACTCTCCTTAACTACTGACCTAGTTTACCTGGCTCTGTCCGTTTCTCTCGCTCTCTCTCCCTCAGGGCTCTTTTGGAGCAGGTAGAGCACTGGCAGGGCTTTCTGGCTTTGGTCAACATGATCATGTTCTGTACTGGGATACCAGGACACTACCCAGTCAACGAGACTACCAGCTCCCTCACACTCACCTTCTGGTACACACTACAGGTATGCACCCTAACCCCTATACTGTAACCCAGACCTCTACACTTTAACCCCGGGCACTAACATTACACCCCAACCCCAACTACCCTGTTCAGAATACCACCACTTAACAGCACACACTCTCTCTCTCCAGGACGACATCATGTCGTTTGACTCCGAGAGACAGGCGGTGTATCTGCAGGTGTATAGACCAGTGTATTTCCAACTGGTGGATGTTCTGCTGCATAAAGCCCAGTTCCCCTCCGACCAGGAGTATGCATCATGGTCCTCAGATGAGAAGGAACAGTTCAGGATCTACAGGTACAAGAGTGTGGATGGGGATGTGTGTGTGAGAGAGAAATGTGATTTGCTGACAGGTCTATTGGTCAGCAGATGAGCGTGTCTGTGATTGTAACAGCCTGTAAGTGAAGTGGCAGCTGAGAGGGCACAAATGTCTGATGGATGACAACGTTTGTCTGAGTAACAGATCATCAGATGCTCAGAAGCACATTACTTAACAGCACAGTATAAAATCATGCCCTGCTGTTAGTCCCTGCACAGTTAAATGGTGCCTTCTATTTCACTTGATTTCAGGTGTAAACACAAGATTTGTACATATTAACTCAATAGAAAAAAGCAGCAGACCCAAAACTGAACCTTGTGGCACACCACTTTCCCTCCATAGTATTGATTGTTCCCCCTCCATAACAAAACCTTGCCTTCTGTTGGTGATATGCGTTAAACTTCTATCTTCTAAGACTTAACACGTGTGTTCCAGGGTGGATATCTCAGACACTCTGATGTATGTGTATGAGATGCTAGGAGCTGAGCTGCTCAGTAACCTGTATGAGAAACTAGGACGAATACTGACCAACACAGAACAAGCCTCGTCATGGCAGGTACATATCTCACACACACACACACACACACACACTGAACACCCACACACTGTCTGAAGCCGTTTGTCTCTTCCAGCATACAGAAGCGTTGCTATATGGGTTCCAGTCGATAGCGGAGACAATAGATGTCAACTACTCTGATGTCATCCCAGGCCTGATCGGACTCATCCCCAGAATCAACATCAACAACGTCCAACTGGCAGACACCGTCATGTTCACTATAGGTATTGATACGGTCATAGCTGTCTTTTTTTTGTGTGTTTTGTTCATCCAGGTAATAACAAAGAGAGAAAAATGAAAAAAAATTAACAGGAAAAGCATCAGTCTCCTGTAGGGTACAGTGTTACTGTCTTTTCATCCACTCTATTTTTCTCCTCCCTCCCTGTAGGAGCTCTAGCAGAGTGGTTGGCGGACCACCCAGTGATGTTGAGTAGTGTTCTACCTCTGGTACTCCAGGCCTTGGGAAACCCAGACCTCTCCGTCTCCTCTGTCTCCACACTCAAGAAGATCTGCAGAGAATGCAAATACGACCTGCCACCCTACGCTACCAATATAGTGGCTGTATCACAGGTGTGTGTATACTGTATATCATATTTTATGTTTAAAAAAAAATGTTTTATTACATTTGAGTCAATGTAATATAATTCTACTGATACTTCTACTACCCTCTTTTCTTCGCAGGAGGTGCTGATTAAGCAGATTCACAAGGTCAGTTCTAGTCCTTTCTGGAAATAATTCAAGCCATAACCCCAATGTGCCAACTCACTGAACCCACTCGAAACATGTATAGTGAAAGTCTGGGACAGAGTCAAAATTCAAATAACTTTATTATCTGCGCATTTGATACATGCAACAATGAGCGTATTCAATACATTTAAATAAAGCACAGAGAGTGTACACCAGACCATAGAATGAGTCAGCTCATTCAGTCATGAAAACAAAGAGCAAGGTTAAAGCTGATGACAAGACTGATGGATGGCAGCTAGCAAAGAGCACTTACACAAAGAGTCACATTATCTTTCAATGGCCTGGAAATGTATAATGTTCTCTCTTCCTCCTCTCTCTCTTCCTCCTCAACCTCTCCTCCTCCCTTCCTCTCTCCCACTTCAGACCAGTCAGTGTATGTGGCTGATGCAGGCCTTGGGCTTCCTGCTGTCTGCTCTGCCTGTGGAGGAGATACTGAGGAACCTGCACTCCCTCATCACACCCTACATACAACAACTTGAGAAACTAGCTGATGAGACGGTACACACACAAACACACACACACACACACACACACATACACACACACACACACACTGTGGTAACAGTGTTAAAGTGGCATACTTTCCTCTCTCTGTTGGACTGGGGCCATATGAACAGACCTTGTGTCTGCATGGATGCACCACACACTCACACATATATATGTATTGCACACACACCACACACACGCTCTCTCTCTCTCTCTCTCCCTGTTGGACTGTGTCCATATGAACAGGCGTTGTATATCTGTGATGCTCCACTGTAGTTGAACATTTCTCTGTGGGACCAGATTGGCTTGATCACTACACCATGGGCTACTGAATCACAGGGACATAATACACACTCACTCTGACACAGCACACACACACCAGATTCTGACTTTATTAAATGTCAGGTCTAATGAATCCGGGCCTTCATATAGGAGCTAAAAATAAGGATTTGACATTTTCTCAAAATAAGGAGCTGACATTAACTAAAAATAAGGATTTGACATTATCAGTGTTGAATTCGTTTCTCTCCCCTGATCTATTGTTCTGGAGTCAGCAGAGACCTGAGTGTCTGGGTGAAAAGAGATGTCAGTTCAAATGAAGAGTTTCCTTTCTTTCTCTCACTCGCATACACTTTCTCACTCACTCTCTCCCCTCTGCCTCTCCTCTCGCTGCCTACCTGTCTCTTTCTCTCCCTTTCTACCTGTCTGGTTGTGTGATTTATAGCCATGAAGTCAGACTAGGAATCAGGTTGTCTGTGCAGCCTGACAAACACTGGCACCTTGAGGCAAGAGGTGAAACTGCACCTCCACTATATTATAAGCTACAGTACAACCATGTCTGTTTTTATGCATTTAGGGTGGTATTCTGATTTAAGATCTGTGCACTTCACTCAAATTTTCGCCCATTGACGTCAATTAATGATTTAGGCATAAGTCCAAGTTGCACACACCTATCTCAACTCTGAATTGTGTATTGCATCAGTGTGTGTGTGTGTGTGTGTGTGTGTTCAGTAGCAACATGACACATTGCTCATTAAGTGAAGGGAGTCAGCCCAGCTGCATTACGCCTCCCTTGTACGCCACAGTTCCGTTGTCATGGATACAGAGCGGTGATTAAATGGGTACTAGCAAAGCTTTAATTAGTGTTGTCACCCTGGAGAGCGTGTGAAATCTGCAGAAAGATGAAGCCATCAACTGACTGACTCACCCAAAATCATCTCTTCTCTCTTTCACTTCTTCAGAAGAAGTTCTGTCCTTTTCACGTCATCCCTCTCTTTCATGTTCTTTCACTATCTTTCTTTTTGTAACACACGTTAAGACGTTAAGACATGGCTCCCTAAAGGTAATGACTTACTTTCTCTTCTCTCTCCCTCCCTCATCTCTCTCTCCAGCCCAACCCGTCCAATAAACTAGCGATAATCCACATCCTGGGTTTGTTATCCAATCTCTTCACTACGCTGGACATCAGCAAGCAGGAGGACGAATCAGGAGAGGGCACCGCGCCACCCGTCAAAACAGCCCCGCCACCACCAGGACCTAACCCGGTGAGAGACACCATCATCATCACCATCATCAACACCCAGCCACACACAAGCTCAGTTGGAGTGTTTAGCGTTTTTATTGTGGGAATGTTTAGCGTTGTCTAAGTTACTCAAACTAACCTGTGTGTGTTCTAGGTGGTGGTGGTCCTACAGCAGGTCTTTGCTCTCATTCAGACGGTCCTCAGCAAGTGGCTCAACGACTCTCAGGTGGTGGAGGTGAGACACAAGCACACACTGAACAGACCAATAGTGATGTTTTAATATATGAAGCTTAAAAGAATCCAACTTGAACCAGCTGAAAATAAACAGTTATTACACTCTCCCCCTCCTTTCACCGTGCCCTCCCCCTCTCTCTCTCCCTCCCTCCTCCCAGGCGGTGTGTGCTATCTTTGAGAAGTCGGTGAAGACTCTGCTCCATGACTTTGCCCCCATGGTGTCTCAGCTCAGTGAGATGCTAGGACAGATGTACAGTACCATACCACAAGCCTCAGCACTGGACCTCACACGACAGGTACACACACATACACTTAAACACGCACACACACTTGAACACACTCACGCATACACGATACACACTCACACGCATCAGAGGCACACACACACTCACTCTCACAGAAACACCTTGACCAGTGTGAAACCGTCTGTGGTTGTGTTTGACAGATGGTCCATATATTTGCCAGTGAGACGGACCACTTCCCTCCAATCAAGGCTCTATTTGAGCTGGTTACCTCTGTAACACTCTCCATCTTCCAGCAAGGTAGGGGGTCCTGCAGGGGAGGGGGGTGATATTTGTCTGTTTTTCTTTTGGGTGAATTTGATTGACAGGCAAACCTACACACACTCCTGCTTTCACCTGAGAGCAGGAGAACAAGGACCATGGAGAATGAACATGGCTTCCATGAGAAATGCTTTTTGCGTGTGTGTCATCTAATACCTGCATAGCAGCAGAGGAAATACAATGGCTGCATCTCAATAGTCTAAAGTCCTCGTCTCCTCTACTTGGAGCTGGACAGTTGAAAGCACCTGTTGCACCATATTGCTTTAACCTGCCCTGTGTTTTTAGATGAGTACAGATGAAGGGGAGGCGATGAGGAGAGGAAGTCACATTAGACTATTGAGATGCATCCTCTGTCCTCCTGTGCTGCTATGGAGAATTAGATAAGAAAAGGCATTAGAAGGAAGTTTTTGTTTTTCACACTGATAATATCCAGTGGTTGTTTCTGAATACTGTCTAGCCCTCTCTCTTCTCCCTTTTTAGTTCTCCTCTCATTCCCCCTCTTCTGCTTTGACTGTGTTTGATTGATAATGGCTGCCTCTCCTCCTCTCCTCCCTTTCTTTAACTCTTTCTGAGCAGGTGACCTTAAATGTTACACTGTGGCCTGTATCTTATACAGTATGGTGCAACGTTACAAAACATTACAGAATGTTGTTGCAGAACAACGTTCATGTAGAAATGTATTGTGTAGAACAGACAGCCCTCTCAGTTTTACAGAACAGGGAATTGTGTGGGCTCTATACATTGCATTTCTATTTGGGTTGCACCGACTGAATAAGCCTGTAAGGTGGGGGCTTGTATGGGGGTGGGGGATGGGGTCTTTTTTGGAGTCTGGGAACAGCGAAGGGAAGGGTTGCCTCCCAAGTGTTCACCTTTTGGGGGGTGGGGGGGGTAGGGGTCAGGGGTCAGGGGTGCTATTGACCCAATCCCAAATTGACCCCCAGCCCCTACCCCCTTGGCACATGGATGGTTGTAAGCCACACAGAAAAATATAATCTCGCCTATCGTATGACAAGGTGGCGCTATAAGCAAGCCCCTAGGGTGTAGAGTCTAGGGGAGATGCCTAGGGCATAGGGGCTAGTCCAGGGGAAGGGGGTAGAGGCTAGGGTTTGATTTGGGACTGGACGCCCCTTTTTCTCTGAAGCGTCACAGTAACAGAGGTGCCTCCTGGGTTCCCCACTCCAAACCCACTTTTGTTATTTTTAGGTTTGTTCCTTCTCTTGTTCCTTCTTTCTTTTTGATCTCCAAATGGAACCCATGTCTTCTCTTTCTCTGCCTGTTTTTTGTTCGTTCAACCGCTCACTGTTTTTCTGAGACTCTTCCAAAGCTTCACACGCCCCTCCCTCCCTCTCCCCTTTGTTTGTGTTTTACTCACGTGTGACAATTATTTCAATGAGATCTTTTCTGTTCTCTTTTCTTTCCACATGACTGTTGAATCGGTTGAGTTGCTGTTTGTATATTATTATTCTACTCTTTATTCTTTATGATTTGTTAAGTTTCATCTTTATTATATTTTAGGACCCAGGGATCATCCTGATATTGTTGATTCATTTATGCAACTCCAAGCTCAGGTGTGTTTTTGGTTTCTTATTTCATTCACTTTGGGTTTCTCTCTCTCTCTCTCTCTCTGTCTTTTTATCTCTAGCTCTCTCTCTCCTCTCTCTCTCTCTGTCTTTTTATCTCTAGCTCTCTCTCTCCTCTCTCTCTTTCTGTTCTTTGTTAAAAAGGGTCATAGGGCGACCCATCATAATGGCAGGGCAGAGAATAGACAGTAGGTGGCGCTATTGAAGGACAGACTGTCTTCTTCAATACTCAGGGCTCTAATCAGCTCTAACCTTTTGTCTGATGATGAGGGAGTTAGGGTCAGAGTTCACCAAGGTCGTGTCCAGTAGGCATAAAAAATGAGAAAATGTTTTGAAAGGAGGAGGGACTACCTGAACGTGTCCAATAAGAAACATTTTCATGTTCAGTTGTCCTACTGAACACGACCCTGGGAAGTAGTTCCCTGTGACCTCACTGGTTAGAATCCCAGAGCCACGCCGCTTTTCTAATGTCATTCCAGCCCAGAGCCAATCAAAGCCCAAATTAATTAATATGCCATTAATTAATCAATTCAGGCGAATTGGTTGCCCTCTGTTTTTTTTCTTTTTGTCTTCCTTCTACATTCTTCTTCCTTTAATCTTTGGATAGATCTGATCTCCTCCTCTCCTCTTCCCTCTGTCCCTCTCTCCTCCTCCATCCTGAATGAGTTCATTACAGTATCAGTTGTATTTATCCGTACATGTACCTTACTTACTTACTTATGTTGCATATTCAATCCAACCAGGCCAAAAAAGGGAGAAAAAATAGTGTATCAGAATGAAATTGATACAAAAGCTACAGAACCATCACTGCCTTTTAGTTTGATTTAAGTTTTGAATAATTTTCTATGTTTGTTTTTCTCCAGTTTGTTTGCTGAGTTTGCATTGGAGCAGAGTTGTGTACTTACTGTATGAGTGGCAGTTTGTCATAGGGAGAGTGGAGTAGTCTAGCCTGGTAGCTTCATCTGTTTACCTGCTCTAGACAACTCCTTTAGCCCAACTCACATTCACTCCCCTCAAGGATTTAAAAGCATTGGATTGGTGTAAGAAACACTTTGTCTACACCAATCCAATGCTGTTAAATCCCAGAGGGGGAGTGAACAAGATCACACTTCAGGGAGAAGGGGGAGAATCAGAATTTGCCTCTTGCTGTTCAACTAGGGCTAGAAGTTGTTCCTGACCTTGTGGGTAAACAGTTGAACATGGCAATGACAAACGAGTTGTCTAAAGCAGACACAGTTCTGTCTACGAGGCTAGAAGAGTGGGGGGGGGGGGCAGTATATTCTGGGGTGGGAGGTAGGGGGGCAGAGAGATGGTGTACCCCTGGAGTAGGGGAACAGACTCCTGCCCTGTGTCATGCTTCTGTCTGCCTCCTACTGTAGGCCCTCAAACGGAAGCCAGATCTCTTCTTGTCTGAGAGTCTTGACGTGAAAGCTGTGTTCCATTGTGGTAAGTGTATGTTTCTTTGCTCCCAACACACACTGATCATTGTGTGTGTTGCCGCGTCCCTCTTAACACACACACACACACATACACACCTCGTCATTCATTGTGCCTCAGAGATCCCCAGAGATTGTGCTGGAAACATCTGAAGAGTAAAACTGTTAGAAAGTGTTTAAAGGTCAACTGCCCCTTAGGCCATTTCAATCCAGAGTTGGTTCTATGTGGCATGGATGTGAGTCAGAAACATTCATTATAGTGTCATAATTGACTACAAAGTGTAAATAGGATAAATTTGGACATGAGGTCAGTCTCGTCCAAAACGGAATTTTGTAAGTGAGTTTGTCACGACTTACTGGAGGGTTTACGATCATGCCCACTTGCCCAGTGCTCACTAACACGAGAGAAGCAGCTGTGCTGATTAAGCTCTATCTGCTAAGCACACTCTATCCAATCATAGCAGCCAGAACCTCCAGACAAGACAGTGAGACAGACCTGCCCATTACGCAGCGCCTCAGACTTGTTTACATAAGAAAATAAATTGCCAATGTTATGTTGAAATAACCTTAAGCCCTTTATTGAGTGGCCACTTGCTGATGTTTAATAGTGTTAATCACTCAAGTCTGCCACTTTTTTAAAATTTTTAATCATTTAGCAGACGCTCTTATCCAGAGCGACTTACAGTTAGTGAATACATATATATATATTTTTTTTTCATACTGGTCCCCCGTGGGAATTGAACCCACAACCCTGGCGTTGCAAACGCCATGCTCTATTAACTGAGCTACATCCCTGCCGGCCATTCCCTCCCCTACCCTGGACAACGCTAGGCCAATTGTGCGCTGCCCATGAGTCTCCCGGTCGCGGCCGGCTGCGACAGAGCCTGGATTTGAACCAGGATCTCTAGTGGCACAGCTAGCACTGCGATGCAGTGCCTTAGACCACTGCGCCACTCAGGAGAACTATGGAGACAGAGCGCATTTGTATCCTAACTGCAATTCCAAAACCCATTTGCGAGCATCTTGTCCCCCGCGACCTGCTTTGTAACATGATTCCCTATGAAACACTGCCAGACAGACACACTCTGGTAATACATAGTGAGAAAGTTGTAAAAAACAACGGCACTGAAGTATACACGTTGCCACTTACCCGTGATAAACACAGAGTTGGAACTTAGCTTGCAGGTGATTTGGGGTACTGATAAACAGTGTGTAGCTTGTGTTTTATGTACTATAGTTTGACAGCTTGCAGATGAAGTTGTAGACATGTTATCGTTCTCAGAAATCAGTCCTGAGAAAGTTTTTCATGTAAAAAAAAAAATACTTGAGAAATACTGCACCAAACACCTTAGCTAGATGTAAAATTGCGCGACTAAGACCTGCTCGGCAAAAACTTCTACATGAATTACAGATTTCTTGATTTATCTTAGATTAATTCTGACTATTGATAGAAGTGACTATTTTGAGGAAGAGTATATGTTGTTGCCATGCTGACTCAGGAGGGACAAACAACAGTACCTGCCAGGGTAGGATATGTGAAAATAACACACCCAGATCAAACCACACCCCCAAGACAACTCTTGTTTGTCTTCAGTCATGGCCTCTAGCATTTCTTAGTGAGCAATCTTCCAAACGAGGCCAAATCAGGAAGTGCAGTCGCCCTTTAAATAGTTTAAATAGAATAGTTTCTTTAATGCCCTACCCCCCCTCTCTCTCTCCTGTAGGAGTGCTGTCACTCAAATTCCCAGAGGCTCCAACAGTCAAGTCTACCTGCTTGTTCTTTGTGAGTGTACACACACACACACACACACACACACACACACACACACACACACAGTAAAGCTAAAATGTTTTAATTTGGCTCTATACTCCAGCATTTTGGATTTGAGATCAAATGTTTTTTAGTAAAGAATGTCACCTTGTATTTGAGGGTATTTTCATATCTGTTTTCCGTTTAGAAATGAAAGCACTTTATGTACATTAAACTGCAAATGCATCCATCAAGTTTGTAGTCAAAAGCTTGATGTAGTCATTACGTGCTAGGAATATGGGACCAAATACTGAACTTTTGACTACTTTAATAAACAATAAGTGAATATGTCCAAACACTTATGACACCTTCAAATGGGGGGACTAGAAACATAAAGAACCTTCATTTTTAAACGTTAAAACAGATATGCATGAAAATACCCTCAAATAAAAGGTGACATTCTGTAATGTCGCCTCATTTGAAACACTCCAAAATGTTGGAGTATCGAGCCAAAGTTTTAGCTTCACTGTCCAAATACATACGGAGGGGATTGTATGTTTTTGGTTAACCAAGGAAGATCTTGTTGATGAGATGTGATCTTAGTTTTGTGGTTCTCTCTGATTGTCCCTGTGTGTGTGCCGTAGACTGAGTTGTTGCCCCGCTGCTCAGATGTGCCCCCAGTGGCCAGAGTGGTGCAGGAGGATGGAAAACTACTGCTGCAGGCCGTACTAGAGGTAAACCTACATACATCGTCGCTAATGTCTTTTAGCTGTCCTACTGTATACTGAAACATCACCTTACTGACTGGTCTTTCCGTCTCTCTCTCCAGGCAATCGGTGGAGGTTCATCTCGTAGTCTGATGGACCAGTTTGCTGAGGTGCTGTTCAGTCTCAATAAGCACTGTTTCCCTCTTCTCACCGTGTGGCTGAAAGAGGCACTGCAGGCACCAGGCTTCCCGTCCACTAGGGTCACCACAGAACAGAAGGACACCTTCACCCAACAGATACTCAGGTACCACACACACACACACACACACACACACACACACACACACACACGTACTTGCTCACTCTCCTCACCTAAGCAATGCTGTTGTTAGCTTTTCTGTCTCTCTGTCTGACTCTCTCTCCTCCCGCTCTCCCTCTAGAGAGCGAGTGAATAAGCGGAGGGTGAAGGACATAGTGAAGGAGTTTACACTAGTCTGCAGAGGGCTTCACGGGACCGAGTATGCCGCTGAATACTGACCCTGACCTTGCCACAACCTCTTCCCCAGGCTGGACGCCACGGTACTACAGTACCCACAAACCCCTCAACACTGGAGTTTCCATTGGACGATTGAAACTAGACCCTCCCCCCTAGAACAGAAAACAGCTCCCCATACAGGCCAGCCATCGGACGAATGGTGCTCTGTCACACCACTCAGCGGTCTGACGAAGGCTGCTCTCCTTCTTTCCCCCTCTCTCTTTCTCTCTTTCTTTCCTTCTGTGACTTCAACTCCCAGCATGCCCTCTGTTCACCTTCTTTCTCTCTTTTCTCTCGCTCTGTCGTTCCATTGGGATCTTCCGTGGCTCAGAGGCTGTTTCCCTGCTGTTTCCTGGTTGTTTAGCATCTGAGACGATAGTGGTACTGTACCTGCCGTACGTAGCTAGCTAGTTTGCCTTTGTATCTTTGGAAAGAAAACTAAATATATATATATATATATATATATATATATACACACATCTATATAACGAAACAAAGGGGGTGCCAGTCCTGCTGCTGCTAAACAGGAAGAGAGAGGGACCAATGATGGGACAGGATTCTGTCGACAGACACGTATATTTACAGCATACCGTATATCATGCAACACCGACTCACGCACCCCTATGCTCTTACGTTTGCCAAAATTATTGTGGAATGTCATGTGAACTAGTCTTCTTTGATTTATGATATTTGCCTTTATGGGGAATTATGTGCTGATTGAAGGTTGAACCACTGACTAACTAGACTAAAGCAGAAGATTATACTGTCTGCTCTCCTGCCCCTGTCCAGTGCTACACACACAAAACTGTAGTTTCCTCATGAATCTAGAATGTCCGATGATCGATCAATGAGAGGAGGGAGAAAAGGTGAGGGAGAGAATGATAGAGGTAGGATAGATGAGTGTTGTGAGGGGAGGGAAAGGTATAGATGGGGGTGTGTTGTCCTAGCTGTGGACTGTAATCGTGCAACTCTAATCATGTTGTGCTTAATAAGTCACTGAACACTTCCTTGTGTGTGTGTGTGGGCGCGTGTGTGCAGTGTTGATGCAGTGTGCGTGAGTGTGAACAAATGTCTGCCTCCCCACTTGCTGAGTGCACTTATATCGGACCTTCATCACTTTCTCCTACCAAACACACAGAACCCCCCCTCCCCCTTTAAACACGGACCCCATCCTTCCATTTGACACTCTCTTAGTCCTCCCCTACATACAGTACATGTCCTGAGTACTCCACTTAAGTGTTCTCCGCTCACCACACACAACTAACGTTACAACAGTCTACTAACCTCCATATTTCATGGATTGACTTACCAGTCCTAACCAATGACTAGATGAACTCATTCGTATGATCTATAAACCTGTAGAACAAACTACACACCGTACTGCTCTTAACCGGTGCTTGTCAACAAGCAACCTGAGTCCTATCACCCAACCGGGTGCCTGTCTAGAACAAGACCGGGGGGGGGGGGGTAGTCAGTGATAATCATAAAGATTATTCAGGAAGTATATTTGCACTGGGAGCCAGATGGAATGGAACTCTTCTCCGTGAATGGAACTGAGACTGCGTCTGAAATGACTTTATAAGAATAAGGGGCAATTTTAGGACGGATGAAACGATTGGAGCAGCTGGCTCCCATGTGTAATTCCTGCTTCCTTATGACATCACCTCTGTCCAATCCCTCTTTGTGTCACTAGGTGCCTGCAGACATGTAGCATGTGTGTGTTTTTGGGGTACAGGGTGGGGGGGGGTTGGGAGATTATGAAATACTGTGGGAGTGTGACACTGTTTGAGAAAATGCTTTGGGTAGAAGTTGGCCATTAGACACAGATCTAGGATCATCTTACCCTCAGTGGATCCTCAACTTAACCATTATGGGCTGAAGATGCAAGACTGACTTTGGATCAGTATCTACGGTTGACTTCATCCTATGGTCAAGGGAACTGTCTGAGAATGTTCATCACTGACAGAGAGAGAGGAGGGGGAGAGAAGGAGGGTTGGAGCTGGGATGAAATGTACATGGTTTCTTTTTTGTACCTTGTTTTAATTTATTAAATATATCTGAGATGGCAAGTCCTTTGACATTGACTCTGTGTGTAAAAGTTTCCATTTCACACCTTCATGCACTTCCTACTGGCCAGTATTTTAGGTCTGTGTTGCCTGTAATGAAAATGAAAAAATGCAGAAAAGAACGGTAAATGTGAGGAAAAACATCTGTAACAGGAATATGGCACCAAGCTGTATTCATTAATCATTTTCATCTGCATCTTCCTAATTTCCCAAAGAGAAGAAGAGAATACAAAAGTTTTCAAGAAAATGTACAACCAGGATCATACTAAAGGTTTACAGCAGAAGCACGCATGCGCTGTGTTATCCTTGTCCGCGTGTGATGGCGGGTTTTGTGAGTCCTCACACGTGGGGTTCTCTACAATCTGTGGTCTCTGCCTGTCAGACATTCAGAAGAATATCTACATTTGGACTTAGAAGGTAAGCAGCCTTTTGCTAAGAATGTTTTCCACAAAACTTTGGCTCATATTTTACTCGTTGTTGTAGCGAACTACTAGCTAGTTAACTATTCGTATTGAAATATCCAGCTAACTGATGAATTATCGCTAGCTAGCGTTACTGTAGCTAGCAGCTTGCAACTTTGTAAGTAACGTTACCTATTAAAGTTTAGATTTGATGCCGATGTTATGTCCAGTGCACGATTTTATGTTATATTGTTGCAGGAAGTAGAACACTTTAGAAGAAGAAATCACTTTACGTGATTCTTTATCTTGCTAGCTACTTTGTTGCTACAACAATCAAATCCGAGTTTGATTTCATTCTTGCTTGTTTGATTTTGTTACCTAGTTAGCTAACCCAATTACTTCCAATATCTCTGGCTAAATTGCTAGCCGACATCAGACGCTTTGTTGTGATGGCGAACTCATCATAGCTAACAAAGCATTCTTTTCATATGGAGGACACTGGTTATCAGTTAACGAAATACCCCTGATCGAGCCCGAGCTGCATGCCTTGTGATGCAACACGCAAATAATAAAGTTGACCCAGTATGATTACTTTCCGAATGCCTGTATAGAGAGGTGAGTGGAATGGGAATCGGCATCATGAACCATATCAATTTAGCGAGCTAAAGTGAACACATCTTTCTACCCTGTATTTTTGTCTAACTTTTTATAACTTAGTTACAGTTGGGGCAGGTTATGCAATGCAAAGAAACTGCAAATTTAGCTGAACAGCTAGGCTGCCTTGTCTCAGACTAGCACTATATTCATACGTGACAGTATCAGTGGACCTCAAATGCTACAGTAAACATTCCTTTGAGGGTCATTATTGTGGTCAGAGCATTGAGACACCGTTAGAACCCAAAGTGCAGTGTGTAGCAACCCGCACCAATAAACCAACAGTAAGGCTACACTTACAGACACGTATTTGATCTCGCACCAATATGCAGCTTTGTAAAATGTCCTGTGTTTAGCTGACAGACACTAGTGTCACAAAAATAAAGCACACTGTTCTGGCTACTGAGTTTACCTCTGTCCAGGGCATGATCAAGTGAAAGGTCAACACAGGGACAGGTCTGGAGTCAGTCCTTATAGATTATCTATTGATTGTGTTTAATCTAAAGATGGTTAATGTTCAATTACTCTTCTGTCACGTGACCTCTACTATGTGCATAGTGATGTATGTGCTATGTCACCATTGGGTTTTGAAATGCAGTTGTTTTTTTCCCTCATCTTCTCTAGTTATGGCAGTAGTGAGGTTCTACAGTAAGGAGGCTGAGAGGGGGCGGGTCTTACAGACCGCTGCTCAGCTTCAACCCCAGCTGTCAATCACCAGTGAGCTCTGCTACAATGTTGAGCTGACAGGTGAGTGTGTTTGTGCATGTGTGTATAATGTATATGAGTGAAAGATACACACAAATACTTAGGCTGACTGGCTGTCGCTATCTGGAAGGCCAAAGTTAGTTACTTTAAGGAGCAGTTCTCTCTGTGGGTCTAACCCCAAGAAGTTCTGGACAATGGTGAAGGAACTGGAGAATATTCCCTCCTCCTCACAGCTGCCCATGTTCCTTAATGTTGATGATGTGGTTGTTACTGACAAAGAGCACATGGCTGAGCTCTTTAATCACCACTTCATTTGACTCAGCCATGCCTCCTTGCTTGTCCAACATTTCCTCATCTCCCAGTCCTTTAATGCGACTATCCCTGATGCTCCTCCCTCTTTTTCCCCTGCCCCGCTACAAAGTTTCTCCCTGCAGGCGGTCACGGAGTCCGAGGTGCTAAAGGAGCTCCTTAAACTTGACACCAAAAAACCATCTGGGTCAGATGGTTTAGATCCTTTCTTCTTTAAGGTTGCAGCCCCTATCATCGCTGAGCCTATCTCTCACCTTTTTAACCTGTCTCTCCTCTCTGGTGAGGTTCCCATTGCTTGGAAGGCAGCCACTGTGCGTCCTTTATTTAAAGGGGGAGATCAAGCTGATCCTAACTGTTATGGGCCAATTTCTATCTTGCCCTGTTTATTAAAGGTGTTTTGTCTATATTGTCTATAAAATTTGTCTATAATCAACTGACTGGCTTTTTTAATGTCTAGTATTCTCTCTGGTATGCAATCTGGTTTCCGCTCAGGTTATGGATGTCACTGCAACCTTAAAGATCCTAAATTATGTCACCATTGCCCTTGATTCTAAGCAATGTTGTGTTGCTATTTTTATTGACCAAAGAGTGCAGTGTATAAAGTTAGAACATCTGCTATCTCAGCCACTGCCTGTCACCAAGGGAGTACCCCAAGGCTCGATCCTAGGCCCTTCTCAATTTACATCAACAACATAGCTCAGGCAGTATAAAGCGCTCTCATTCATTAATATGCAGATTATATAGTCTTCTACTCAGCTGGCCCCTCCCTGGATTTTGTGTTAAACGCTCTACAACAAAGCTTTCTTGGTGTTCAACAAGCTTTCTCTGCCTTAACCTTGTTCTGAACACCTCCAAAACAAAGGTCATGTGGTTTGGTAAGAAGAATGCCTCTCTCCCCACTGGTGTGATTACTACATCTGAGGTTTTAGAGCTTGATGTAGTCACCTCATACAAGTATGGCTAGATAGTACACTGTCCTTCTCTCAGCACATATCCAAGCTGCAGGCTAAGGTTAAATCTGGACTTGGTTTCCTCTATCGTAATCGCTCCTCTTTCACCCCAGCTGCCAAACTAACTCTGATTCAGATGACCATCCTACCCATGCTAGATTAGAGATGTAATTTATAGATGTTCTTTACCATTCGGCCTTCAGATTTGCCACCAATGCTCCTTATAGGACACATCACTGCACTCTATACTCCTCTGTAAACTGTCCGTCTCTGTATACCCGACGGAAGACCCACTGGTTGATGCGTATTAAAAAAATAAATTTGAAATGAAGGTAAACAAAAAAAAGTGTCTTTAGCAAATATTAGACTCTAATTCTCTCTCTCCCGTCCTCCCTCATCTCTCTCCCTTTCCTCCCCTAGGTGCTGAGTCTCTGAGTGCAGAGCAGAGGGAGGTGCTGCTGTGGCTGTTCCGCCCCGCTTTGCAGACAGAACAGCTGTCTGACAAACCATACCTGACAGAGGGAGAGGGAGGAACACTGGTGGAGATTGGACCTAGGTACACACACACACCCGCGGGCCTAGAGTATAGTGAAATGTTCAAATCAACCCTTGCGCCCCACTGTTGATGTGTTGTGGTCTAATGTTCTTTGTTTGTGCTGCCCCCTCTAGGTTGAACTTTTCAACTGCATGGTCCACTAACGCTGTGTCCATCTGTCAGAGTGCTGGACTGACCAGCGTCACCAGAGTAGAGCTGTCCAGAAGACTGCTGATACAAGTACACAAATACACAGACACACACAATTTAGGTGCAATTTCTCAGGCTGCCATATCGCACAAGGGGACAACTCCTGGGTCAATTCTAACTCTCCTGTCCCTTTCTCTCTCCTCCCTCCAGCCCAAGGATGGACAGAGTGAGACAGTGCTGGGTGGAGAGGTGGAGAGACTGGTCAGCAGTCTGTATGACGGTATGACTGAGTGTGTGTACACACATCCCATCTCCTCCTTCACTGTGGCAACCAAACCACAGGAAGTGTTTGAGGTAGACATCCTGGGGAAAGGACGAGCTGCCCTGGAGACCGCTAACGACGAGCTGGGTGAGTACACACACGCACATGTTAACGTTAGATATCTCATCAGGTCTTCTATCTGTTCCTTCCTGTCTACAGTTTTCTTTATTTTCTCACTCTTTTTCTGATGTCAGCTATCTCTTGTTGTCCTCTCTAACATTTCCTTTTCCCTCCCCCTCTCTCATTCTCCAGTCCATCTCCTTATGGGAGTATGCCTACTTTGTCACATGATGTGTAATCTAATGACATAGATGGTTGAAGTCACAGGACTGTGACAGTGTCATTGATTAGCTCACGTGTGTCTGTAATTACACTAAGGCACACTTTGTGTGTTTGTGTAATTAGATTAAAGCATGCTGTGTGAGCAGTGATTTAACCGTTTGCAATATCAATGTGTGTGTAGTAAATTCAATCCCTCACACTTTCTGAGAGGCCTGTGGAGTTGAAGGCTGAATAACAAACTCACCCACATGAACAGCTTTCCCTTGATCACTAGTCTTATTTTTTGAATTGTGGCCTTGAGGAAGTGAGCTCCCTGTTTCATCTGTCATGTTTCATTGTTGATCCAAATAACATATTCAAGTGTGCGTGTGTGTAGGTCTGGCCTTTGACTCGTGGGATCTGGACTACTACACATCGTTGTTCCAGAGAGTGAAGAGGAACCCCACCAGTGTGGAGTGTTTCGACCTCGCCCAGTCCAACAGGTAGGTGTGTTTTGTTGGTGGTGTACTCTTTATTCTTCCTTCAGCCTAAGAGAAAGTATTTGGTATGTAGTAGTTGCCGTTTTTTCATTTCCTGTCTCTGTGCCGCCCCTCCCTCAGTGAGCACAGTCGTCATTGGTTCTTCCGGGGGCGTATGGTGATTGACGGACAGGAGCAGAAGGAGACTCTGTTCAGCCTCATCATGGACACCCAGCGTCATAGCAACCAGAACAACGTCATCCAGTTCTGTGACAACAGCAGGTAGGAGAGATGGTGTAAGGAAGGACTCTTTTACAAAATGTCACACAATGATGGTGTGACATTTCATAGCGTGTGTGTGTGTGTGTAGTGGTATAAAGGGGATGGAGGTGGAGTGTATGTACCCCAGAGACCCTTGCCAGGCCAGTTCCTACGAGTTGAGACGCTCTGAAAGACACGTCATCTTCACTGCTGAGACACACAACTTCCCCACTGGTGAGAACATACGCACACACTCACACAGGTCAGGAGCATGTTAAAGAGATCTTTCATACATATATTTACACACCTTTTTGAAATCTCCTCTCTCCCTGCCTTCCCCCTTCTTTATTTAACCCCAGGTGTCGCTCCGTTCAGTGGTGCAACCACAGGGACAGGAGGGCGTATCAGAGATGTGCAGAGTGCTGGGCAGGGCGGGCACGTTGTTGCTGGCACCGCCGGATACTGCTTTGGCAACCTCCACATACCTGGTAAGTGTCTGGAGAGATGTCTATCTGTACCTGCCTCTGTCTGTCGTGAGGATCATGGAAATGGCTGGAAACTTTGCTTGAGTAAATTATGACCAATTGTCCATCTCATCTTCTCCCCCCATCCTTCTCATCTCTCCCCCCATCTCATCTTCTCCCCCATCCATCTCCTCTCTCCCCCCATCCATCTCCTCTCTCCCCCCATCCATCTCTTCTCTCCTCTCTCCCTCCACCCTTCTCCTCTCTCCCCCCACCCTTCTCCTCTCTCCCCCCACCCTTCTCCTCTCTCCCCCCACCCTTCTCCTCTCTCCCCCCCACCCTTCTCCTCTCTCCCCCACCCTTCTCCTCTCTCCCCCCACCCTTCTCCTCTCTCCCCCCACCCTTTTTCTCTCTCCCCCCACCCCGTTTCCTCTCTCCCCCCACCCGTCTCCTCTCTCCCCATCCTTCTCCTCTTTCCCCCCACCCCGTCTCCTCTCTCCCTCCACCCCTTCTCCTCTCTCCCCCCCCCATCCTTCTCCTCTCTCCCCCCCATCCTCCTCCTCTCTCCCCCCCATCCTTCTCCACCCTCCCCAGGTTACAGCCTGCCATGGGAGTGTAAGGGGGAGGGGTGGGAGTACCCCCCCAGCTTCGCCTCTCCCCTGCAGGTGGTCATCGGAGCCAGTGACGGAGCGTCGGACTACGGCAACAAGTTTGGAGAGCCAGTCCTGGCAGGTACAGACACGATCACTGGAAACAACAGCAGCATCTGAAATTGCACCCTAGAAGAAAAGTGCTCAAAATAGCCCACGTTAACATATGTAGCTTAAGAAACAAGGTTCATGAAATCAGTAATTTGCTAGTAACAGATTACATTCATATTCTGACTATCTCTGAAACTCACTTAGATAATTCCTTTGATGATACAGTGGTAGCAATACAATGTTATAACATTTACAGAAAATATAGAAATGTCAATGGTGGAGGTGTTGCTGTTTATATTCAGGATCTCATGTTAAATACTGTTGAAGTAATATGGCTACAGGTTCATCTGCCTCACCTAATGCCCATTCTGGTGGGAAGCTGCTATAGACCACCAAGTGCTAACAGTCAGTATCTGGATAACATGTGTGAAATGCTTGATAATGTATGTGATATCAATACAAGAGGTATACTTTCTGGGTGATTTAAATATTGACTGGCTTTCATCAGGCTGCCCACTCAAGAGAACGCTTCAAACTGGCGGCAGGTAGCTTAGTGGGTAAGAGCGTTGTGCCAGTAACCGAAAGGTCGCTGGTTCTAATCCCCGAGCCGACTAGGTGAAAAATCTGTCGATGTGCCCTTGAGCAAGGCACTTAACCCTAATTGCTCCTGTAAGTCGCTCTGGATAAGAGCGTCTGCTAAATGACAAAAATAAATAAATAAATAAATAAAAATAAGATAGAAAAATGATAAAAAATATATTTCCAAAAAAAATAATGTAACCGGTGCCTGCAACCTAGTTCAGGTTATCAGGGTAGTTACAAACAGTACAGGAATGAAATCATCAACATGTATTGATCATATCTTTACTAATGCTGCAGAGATTTGTTTGAAAGCAGTATCCAAATCCATTGGATGTAGTGATCACAATATCGACAACAAACTTTCAGCAGGCTTATAGAGAAGGACATTCAACAAGCACAGCACTTACACAAATGACTGATGATTGGCTGAGAGAAATTGATGGTAAAAATATTGTGGGGGCTGTTTTGTTAGATTTCAGTGCGGCTTTTGACATTATCGATCATAGTCTGCTGCTGGAAAAACGTATGTGTTATGGCTTTACTCCCCCTGCTACAGTGCCTTGCAAAAGTATTCATCCCCCTTGGCGTTTTTCCTATTTTGTGAAATGTCAAATGTCAGAATAATAGTAGAGAATGATTTATTTCAACTTTGATTATTTTCATCACATTCCCAGTGGGTCAGAAGTTTACATACACTCAATTAGTATTTGGTAGCATTGCCTTTAAATTGTTTAACTTGGGTCAAACGTTTCGGGTAGCCTTCCACAAGCTTCCCACAATAAGTTGGGTGAATTTTGGCCCATTACTCCTGACAGAGCTGGTGTAACTGAGTCAGGTTTTGTAGGCCTCCTTGCTCGCACACGCTTTTTCAGTTCTGCCCACAAATGTTCTATAGGATTGAGGTCAGGGCTTTGTGATGGCCACTCCAATACCTTGACTTTGTTGTCCTCAAGCCATTTTGCCACAACTTTGAAAGTATGCTTGGGGTCATTGTCCATTTGGAGGCCTATTAGCGACCAAGCTTTAACTTCCTGACTGATGTCTTACATTTACATTTTAGTCATTTAGCAGACGCTCTTATCACGAGCGACTTACAGGAGCAATTAGGGTTAAGTGCCTTGCTCAAGGGCACAGACAGATTTTTCACCTCGTCGGCTCAGGGATTAGAACCAGCGACCTTTCTTATACTGGCACAACGCTCTTAACCACTAAGCTACCTGCCGCCTGAGATGTTGCTTCAATATATCCACATAACTTTCCTTCCTCATGATGCCATCTATTTTGTGAAGTGCACCAGTCCCTCCTGCAGCAAAGCACCCCCACAGCATGATGCTGCCATCCCCGTGCTTCACGGTTGGGATGGTGTTCTTCGGCTTGCAAGCATCCACCTTTTTCCTCCAAACATAATGATGGTCATTATGGCCAAACAGTTATATTTTTGTTTCATCAGACCAGAGGACATTTCTCCAAAAAGTACGATCTTTGTCCCCATGTGCAGTTGCAAACCGTAGTCTGGCTTTTTTATGGCGGTTTTGGAGCAGTGGCTTCTTCCTTGCTGAGCGGCCTTTCAGGTTATGTCGATATAGGACTTGTTTTACTGTGGATATAGATGTCTTGGAATGGCCTAGTCAAAGCCCAGACCTCAATCCAATTGAGAATCTGTGGTATGACTTAAAGATTGCTGTACACCAGCGGAACCCATCCAACTTGAAGGAGCAGGAGCAGTTTTGCCTTGAAGAATGGGCAAAAATCCCAGTGGCTAGATGTGCCAAGCTTATAGAGACATACCCCAAGATACTTGCAGCTGTAATTGCTGCAAAAGGTGGCTCCTACAAAGTATTGACTTTGGGGGGGTGAATAGTTATGCACGCTCAAGTTTTCTGGTTTTTTGTCTTATTTCTTGTTTGTTTCACAAGAAAAAATGTTTTGCATCTTCAAAGTGGTAGGAATGTTGTGTAAATCAAATGATACAAACCCCCCAAAAATCCATTTGAATTCCAGGTTGTAAGGCAACAAAATAGGAAAAATAGTCCAAGGGGGGTGAATACTTTCGCAAGCCACTGTATATTGTGGATACAGAGTTACCTGTCTAACAGAACACAGAGTGTTCTTTAATGGAAGCCTCTCCAACATAATCCAGGTAGAATCAGGAATTCCCCAGGGCAGCTGTCTAGGCCCATTACTTTTTTCAATATTTACTAATGACATGCCACTGGCTTTGAGTAAAGCCAGAGTGTCTATGTATGTGGATGACTCAACACTATACATGTCAGCTACTACAGCGACTGAAATGACTGCAACACTTAACAAAGAGATGCAGTTAGTTTCAGAGTAAGTGGCAAGGAATAAGTTAGTCCTACATATTTCTAAAACTAAAAGCATTGTATTTGGGACAAATCATTCACTAAACCCTAAACCTCAACTAGATCTTGTAATAAATAATGTGGAAATTGAGCAAGTTGAGGTGTCTAAACTGCTTGTAGTAACTCTGGATTGTAAACTGTCATGGTCAAAACATATTGACACAACAGTAATTAAGATGGGGAGAAGTATGTCCATAATAAAGCGCTACTCTACCTTCTTAACAGCACTATCAACAAGGCAGGTCCTACAGGCCCTAGTTTTGTCACACCTGGACTACTGTTCAGTCGTGTGGTCAGGTGCCACAAAAAAGGACTTGACTTCATCACTACTTGTATTTATTAGAGGTATTGACATGTTGAATGCATCGAGCTGTCTGTTTGAACTACTGGCGCACAGCTCGGACACATGCATACCCCACAAGACATGCCACCAGAGGTCTCTTCACAGTCCCCAAGTCCAGAAAAGGCTATGGGAGGCGCACAGTACTACATAGAGCCATGACTACATGGAACTCTATTCCACATCAAGTAACTGATGCAAGTAGTAAAATTAGATTAAAACAACGGATTAAAAAAACACCCTATGGAAGAGCGGGGACTGTGAAGCAACACAAACATAGACACATGCATACACACACACGGTAACATATGCGCTATACACACACGTACACATAGGTTTTGTACTGTAGATATGTGGTAGTGGTGGAGTAGGGGCCTAAGGGCACACAGTGTGTTGTGAAATCTGTGAATGTAGTGTAATGTTTAAAATTATATGAACTGCCTTAATTTTGCTGGACCCCAGGAAGAGTAGCTGCTGCCTTGGCAGCAGCTAATGGGGATCCATAATAAATACAAATATAGTGCTGCTGAAGTACTTCAATAGTAGTGCGCTATATAGGGAATAGAGTGCCATTTCATACACCCTGATCAAAAGTGGTGCAACGTCTAGGGAATAGGGTCCCATTTCAGACTTAACCAACATGAGAGAAACTTTTTTTGTTGTTGGTTGAAACCACAGTAGGTAAACTTGCTCTCTGTCTCCATCCAGGCTTTGCTCGGTCCTTCGGCATGCGACTGGCCAGTGGGGAGAGGAGAGAGTGGATCAAACCAATCATGTTCAGCGGTGGGCTGGGCTCCATCGAAGACGCACATGTGAAGAAGGAGCAGGCGGAGAAAGGTGAGATCTTTGGTTAGAGCTGATTGGTCAACGCGTGGAAATCGACTAGGTCATTTATTGACATTATATGATTATTTTAAACATCATAGAATTACTGCCAGTCTGTAAACACAACTGTTACTTGAGCTGTTGTGTTTGTCAGGAATGGAGGTGGTGAAGATCGGGGGTCCGGTTTACAGGATCGGAGTGGGGGGGGGGGGCTGCCTCCTCTATCCAAGTGCAGGGTGATAACTCCAGTGCCAGAGACCTGGGGGCGGTGCAGAGAGGAGATGCTGAGATGGAACAGAAGATGAACCGGGCTCTCAGGGCCTGTCTGGAGAGAGCGGGAGGAAACCCTATCTGTAGTATACATGACCAGGGGGCGGGGGGCAATGGTAAGGAGAGTGTGTGTGTGACAAAGCTGAGGAACGGAAGTCTGAGTTGTGATTGATTGTGTATTTGTGTGTTAGATTTTGTAGTTGTGTGTTGGGTGTGTAGTTGTGTGCTGGGTGTTGGATTAATGTAGTTGTGTTGTAGGTAACGTGTTGAAGGAGCTGTGTGAGCCGGCGGGAGCTGTGATCTATTGCAGCAGGTTTAAGAGAGGAGACCCCACCCTCAGTGTGTTGGAGCTGTGGGGGGCGGAGTACCAGGAGAGCAACGCCATGCTCATCCGCCAATCAGATCACTCCTTCCTGGAGAGGGTGTGTCAGAGGGAGAAGTGCCCTGTTGACTTTGTAGGAAACATCACCGGAGATGGAAAGGTAAAGAGAGGGAGGGAGGAAAGGGGAGAATTTCTGCTCACAACTGAATCACATTCTTTTTCATTTTACCACACAACTTTCAAATGGGTTGTGAGTGATCTTAATAATGGTCTCTCTCCATGTGTAGATAGTGCTAGTGAATGATGTGGGTGTTGGTGCAGGAGAGGACAAGACAGACAGAGTGCGCTGTCCTGTAGACCTCCATCTGGACTGGGTGCTGGGGAAGATGCCCCAGAAGGACTTTGTCATGGAGAGGATGACCCCTGACCTCAAGCCTCTGTCTCTTCCCACTGGGCTGGGTGTAAGAGATGCCCTAGACAGAGTCCTACGCCTGCCCGCCGTCGCCTCCAAACGCTACCTTACTAACAAGGTGTGTGTGTTTTAGGGATTTCACTCTCAGTAGTATTTGATCCTCACGTTAAAAACATTAAAAAAATTAAATTAAGGCCGTTAGGTTTAGTACCGTAATTTTCGGACTATAAGCCGCGCCTTTTTTCCAAATTTTTCAACCCTGCGGCTTATATAACGGTGTGGCTAATCTATGGATTTTTACAGCTAACGGCCACTAGAAGACCTCCTAAATCTATGGATTTTACAGGTTACAGTCCACCAACTTTAACTCTATGGGCTCTATGACCGGTCTGCGCCCCCCACCTTTAAGTGGCGGGCTCCAGCAGGAAAAGCTGGAGGCCGGAAAAGAGTGAGACGGGTAGCGCGCAAAAGTAAAAGTGGAACCGAGAGTGGTACGAGAGACAGAACGAGAGACAGAACGAGAGCAAGACAGACATTACGAGAGCGAGACAGTTTGTCTCTTTCCCGACAATCCCCTCTGTGCACGAACCCTTACATATGGTAATTAAACATTAAAAGACCTGCGGCTTATATATGTACACATCATTCAATATCATTCAATTTAGCTGCTGCGGCTTATACTCCGGTGCGCCTTATAGTGCGGAAAATACGGTAAATAAAATGTTTTGGTAGAGAGAGAAGCTCTGAGCTCGTTTTGTATCCTCTGTCTCCCTTAATCTCTCTCTCTCTCTTCTGTGTCTCCGTCCCTCCCTCTTCTGTGTCTCCGTCCCTCCCTCTTCTGTGTCTCCATCCCTCTCTCTTCTGTGTCTCCATCCCTCTCTCTTCTGTGTCTCCATCCCTCTCTCTTCTGTGTCTCCATCCTCTCTCTTCTTGTCTCCATCCCTCTCTCTCTGTGTCTCCATCCCTCTCTCTTCTGTGTCTCCATCCCTCTCTCTCTGTGTCTCCATCCTCTCCTTCCCTCTCTCTTCTGTGTCTCCATCCCTCTCTCTTCTGTGTCTCCATCCCTCTCTCTTCTCTGTCTCCATCCCGCTCTCTTCTCTGTCTCCATCCCGCTCTCTTCTGTGTCTCCATCCCTCTCTCTTCTGTGTCTCCATCCCTCTCTCTTCTGTGTCTCCATCCCTCTCTCTTCTGTGTCTCCATCCCTCTCTCTTCTGTGTCTCCATCCCTCTCTCTTCTCTTCTGTCTCCATCCCTCTCTCTTATCTTCTGTCTCCATCCCTCTCTCTTCTGTGTCTCCATCCCTCTCTCTTCTGTGTCTCCATCCCTCTCTCTTCTGTGTCTCCATCCCTCTCTCTTCTGTGTCTCCATCCCTCTCTCTTCTGTGTCTCCATCCCTCTCTCCCCTCCCTTTCTCAGGTGGACCGGTCCGTTACAGGTCTGGTTGCCCAGCAACAGTGCGTTGGTCCTCTCCACACCCCATTGGCTGATGTCGCTGTCGTTGCTCTATCGCCATTCGGCCTGAAGGGGGCGGCAACCGCCATCGGGGAACAACCAATCAAAGGTCTCGTTTCCCCGGGGGCGGGAGCTCGCATGGCCGTGGGGGAAGCGCTGACCAATCTGGTGTTTGCTGAAGTCACAGCTCTGAAGGTAATCGAATATAACAGGGGCACGGTTAGAATCACAGCCCTGACAGGAACAGAAAATTATAGGCATGCAATGATCACAGTAAGAGATAATTATAAGGGTGCAATGAAATTGACCACAGTCAAAGCCCTTCAGAAAGACAGAAAACTTAGCAAAAATCAGCACCAGTCTCTCTGTGCTAAGTGCTGACTGTGTGTGTGTTCTCAGGATGTAAAGTGCAGTGGTAACTGGATGTGGGCGGCAAAGCTCCCTGGTGAAGGGGCATGTCTCTGGGAGGCGTGTCAGGCCATGTGTGATGTCATGGGTCAGCTGGGTGTGGCCATCGATGGAGGGAAGGACTCACTGAGCATGGCTGCTAGAGTTGGGACAGAGACTGTCAAAGCACCAGGTACATTGTGTGTGTGTTTAGGGGTCTGTGTGTGTGTTTGGGACAGGCAGTGTGTTTTTTAGTACAGTGTGTGTTGTGTATAAATCTGTCTTCTCTCTAGGTGCTCTGGTCATCTCTGTGTATGCTGTGTGTCCTGACATCACGGCTACTGTTACCCCTGACCTGGAGAACCCTGACGGCCAAGGTACGCTACTCACGCATACACACACACACTCTTGAACAGACACATTCACACAGCACATCACAATACTGACACAGCTCAACATTTAAACCTTTTCCACACACACACACCTCTCTAACATTCCTCCTCTCCAGGTGTGTTGCTGTGGGTTCCCGTGAGTCCAGGTCACTACAGACTGGGAGGGTCAGCTCTGGCCCAGTGTTACGGTCAGTTAGGTGACCACTCACCTGACCTCGACCGCCCGGAGCTACTGACTGCCTGCTTCAATACCACACAGATCCTTCTACACGGTCAGTCACGCTTTATATCAGTATGTCTAATATACTGTAACTGTACTGTCTGCTGAGTGTATCATACCAGTGTATTATAGTCAGTATTGTATCATACCAGTGTACTGTCGGAGTGTATTGTAGAAGTGTGTTATGTGTGTTGCAGACCGCCTGCTGAGTGCAGGACATGACATCAGTGACGGAGGGCTCCTTTCCTGTCTGCTTGAGATGGCGTTCGCAGGGAATCGTGGGATAGACGTGGACCTGCCCTCTCTGGGTGCTGGAGGTCAGTATGACAGAGAATTCCATTACTTTATTTAAACCCCTAAGGGGCAAGGAAGGCATCAATATTCTCTATATGCAATACATACAACACAGAGCTCTCTCACTTACCATCTCTCCCTCTCTCTATGTCCCCTCCCCCTCTCTTCCTATAGTCCTGGAGGTGTTATTCAGTGAGGAGTTGGGCTTGGTAGTGGAGGTGTGTAAGAGGGACGTGGAGAGTGTGTGTCAGAGGTACACACACGCTGGACTACAGTGTCACCGCATCGGCACCACCCAAGGCTTCGGACCAGAGTCCATGGTGAGACAGACACACTATTTATATCACTATTGTTTGTCTTGGATGATCATATCGTGCAGAATCCTAAGTTAGATACTTAAGCAGTAAGGCCCGGGGGGTGTGGTATATGGCCAATATACCATGGCTAAGGGCTGTTCTTAAGTGCCTGGATACAGCCCTTAGCTGTGGTATATTGGCAATATACTGTACCACAAACCCCCAAGGTGCCTTAATGCTATTATAAACTGGTTACCAACCTAATTAGAGCAGTACAAATAAATGTTTTGTCATACCCATGGTATATGGTCTGATATACCACGGCTATCAGTATTCAGGGCTCGAACCACCCAGTTTATAATATAGAATTGAGCACTTGACTCAAACTCAGATAAGTAATGCATTGATATCAATGTTTTTTGGGGGATGTTGTTTAATTTTTGTTGTTGTTGACATTGTCCTTCCTCTTCCTGTCTCAGGTCAGAGTTCATGTGGACGGACAGGAAGTGCTGAGAGAGCGTCTGCCCAGCCTCCGGGCGTTGTGGGAGGGCACCAGTTTCCAGCTTGAGCGCCTGCAGGCCAATCAGCTGTGTGTACAGCAGGAAGAGGAGGGGCTAGCCTCACGCACACAGCCCTACTTCAAACTCACCTTTGACCCCATGGAGAAACCCAGCATGAACGGTCTGGGTGCAGGCCAGCCTCGCGTGGCTGTGGTCAGAGAGGAGGGCAGCAACGGAGACAGAGAGATGGCCGTCTCTCTCTACATGGCTGGCTTTGAGGTACCGCGCACACATACACACATACACATACATACACCTAATTTGTTTGTGACACGTCTCTCTCTCTGTGTCTATATCTAGGTATGGGATGTGACCATGCAGGACCTGTGTTCAGGCTCTTTAACTCTAGAGATCTTCAAGGCTCTGGTGTTTGTAGGAGGATTCAGCTATGCAGACGTCCTGGGCTCAGCTAAAGGTAAGCACAAAGGCACACGCATACAACATGTACACATACACACTCATATTCGCTTTAACCCTGTGTGTGTCTGTCTCCTGATAGGCTGGGCTGCCACGGTGACCTATAACCCCCGGGCCAGGGCGGAGTTTGAGCAATTCCGCCGTCGTGACGACACGCTGAGTCTGGGTGTTTGCAACGGCTGTCAGCTCCTAGCCCTGCTGGGATGGGTCGGAGAGGGGGAGGAGGGAGGAGGTGGTAGGCTAACCGTTTGGCTTTGGTGTCTACTTACTACAGTTTTCTTCCCAGAGAGTGATTCAGCAAGACAAAGATTAATTTGAAGACTCTATTTTGAGTACTGTTCCCTTAGACATGACAGTCCCACTCACCCTCTTGCTGTGTGTTTGTCTCTACAGAGTCTGAGGTGGTCCTGACCCATAACCAGTCCGGCAGGTTTGAGTCGAGGTTCGTCAGTGTGGGGATCAAGGCCTCTCCTTCAGTCTGGCTCCGGGGCATGGAGGGCTCTGCCCTGGGCGTCTGGGTGGCTCACGGGGAAGGTACAATAATCTTTAAATAATCTTCAGCCTATCGAGCGTCATAGACAACTATTGCAATTTTCGACATGATAAATGTTGGCAATGATGCACGAACACCAAGGGTCATCCAACTGAAACAAGGTTATCTGTAAACGGTGTCCTTATCCTCCCTCTCCATCTTCTCCCTCTCTCCAGGTCTGGTTCAGTTCCGTTCCCCCCAGGTTCAGCAGCGTATCATCTCCTCCAGCCTCGCCCCCCTCCGTTACCTAGATGACACGGGCGCACCCACTGAAGTGTACCCCCAGAACCCTAACGGCTCTCCCCAGGGCCTGGCGGGGCTGAGCTCCAGGGATGGGCGCCACCTGGCCATGATGCCCCACCCGGAGCGCTGTACCTTGGGCTGGCAGTGGCCATGGGCCCCAAGGGAGCTCCGGAGCTCCCTCAGCACCACCTCTCCCTGGCTACGCATGTTTACTAACGCTGCTGCCTGGTGTAGTCATCAACAGTGAGGGAGCTAGCTAGACAACACCGCTCTTTCACACTGTAGTCCAACTGTGGAAATCAGAATTGGGCTTGAATGTCAGTTGCACTGCTGAAATGGTCAAACATTCCTATTACTACCCCACATCATTACACGTTATTCACTGTTCTGTTTTAACTGAACGCTGAAATCAGTCTTTGTGTCATTGTGACTTAAAATAGTATTTTCTGAAACTGAAAAGTATTTGCATAAAATGTTTTACATTCCAGAGAATCAATGCTGAAACAGACCCCACCAATCACTGCACCGTGGTCAAAAGTATCTGATCAATCACTTGAGCTGTCTTTAACATTACAAAGGTCACGGTACTACTAACACAGTTTGATTGGTCCTCTGTTTATCACTGGTACGGTTCAATTATATTGGGAGATTTTGTAATTTACTGACAAATTGACAAATGGTTTAAGAACTGTTATTTTCTATCAAACTGAGAACTAATTAAATATATTTCAAAGTGGAGATGGAATAACTGATACAATGATAATGTATATTTTAATGTGTAGTTGAATGTCTATATTGTATTTTGATGTGTATTGTTCTGCTAAACAGGGCTCAATAGTCATTGGTCTCAGCATTGACTCCCTGTTCAATAAGGACGAAGAACAAACTTTCAGAACAATAAATACATCATTTATAGAATTTTACAAGTATTCACAATATTAATATCAAGTATTTACAGTTTCATTTTATAGTACTGACATCACTGAGAAACCGCAGGGTTGCATTGAGCAGGGTGCAATATAATAGGTCTACATTTAAGCTGCACCCCCCTGAACAGACCCCAGGCTTCATTGAACCACTGAAGGCCATTGATAACGATGATAACACGGTCACCAAAATAAAGGCTACAGGTAGGGTTGCAAAATTCCAGGAACGTTCAATAAATTCCCTGTTTTTTTTCCTACAAATCCTGGTTGGAGGATTCTGGATTTCCTGCTTATTCCCTCCTGATTCTGGGAATCTTCCAACTGAGATTTAGGGAAAACCTGGGAATTTATTGAAACTTTCCGGAATTTTGCAACCCTAGCTACAGGTACTGTAGGAGTAGAAAGAAAAACTACACAAAAAAACATTGAAATGCTACATGAATTAAAAATCCATAATAAAACATGCCACTGGAGGAGGAGAAAGTAGTTGTGTAGGTTCCACCATGTTGCTTTCACCAGCTCAGTGGTCATGAAGGAAAGAAGGCTAGTTGTATGACACTTGAGACTCACTTGTATTCAGCAATGCATAAACTGGGCCTCTGGTTAGACTTACCACTGTTGGGCTGTAATTTGCTGAAAACCTGAACACGTCTCTGCTAGTGCTACAATGAGTCCAAAACCTGGGGTGTAATCATTAGTCCAAACTGTTTTGCAACAAAAACGAGAGTTTCTATTAGACAAATTCAGTTAGATCCCTCTCCATTTGGTTCCTAGTGAATACTCCCCTGTTAACCCCTGGATGAAAACCAGCAGACACTCTGCTTACTTCTTGCTAGGTCTCGCTCTCAAAAAATAGGTTCTTCACCTCAAGAGATCTCCTGTTGAAATGAAGGCTAAATCACTGCTGGCCATCATTTCTGCTGCTCGCTCTACAGAGAGTTACTGAACAGGCCTACCCCCTGTGTGCTCTGATGAGTTCCCACTATCTGGTGCCATCTGCTGGTTGATGTTGATAACACAGATGAGCAGCAGGAAGACCACCACCAGGTCATCCAGGACCCCCAGGAGGCCAGACAGGGAGGGTGGAGCATCCAGGGGGGGCGTGGAGAAGGACACCACAGTCCCCAGACAGCAAAGCGCCACCCGGAGGAAGAAGAGACACACTAGGCCCCCCATGGTGACCAGGCGACGGACTAGCAGCTGCAGGAACAGGGGCGTGTCACACAGGTAGTCTGTCACCTAAGGGACAGACGACAAACAGGGACACAGGTGTGAGTAGAGGGTGTCACGGTCACCTCGCCTGGCTTCAGGTGGGACAGAGAGATCTGGCTCTTGTTCAATAGAGCAGGGGTTTCCAAACGTTTTGGGGCTGGGATTCCTTTGATAGCAAATTCATCAGTGATTTAAAAATAGCATACAAGGAGTTTTACTACGACATCTGCAGTGCATGACTGGACGAACCAAGTCCTGGGCCCAGTGAAAGAACATTTGAAAGGCCCTTCTGTTGTTATTGGAGAGAAGAAATGGATGTCTTCAAGCTCATTTCCTACAATTCTACACATTTTGCCATAGGCAGAGTGCATTCAGTGCATTCATGTTCAAAGCATCATTTTTGAGGAATACAAGAAGTATTGAGTTGAAAATGTGATAATTGGTGGAGAACTGTAGATACCAATATCCCAGGCCCATGTTGCCCATGGTTAAGAACATACATTGTAGATTAATAATATTTGTGTTGGGGAGTAGTGAACTACATGTAGTTCAACTACCCGTGCGTCAATCTAAGTAACATAATAAAAAAATCCCCAGCAAAATCTGTCAATTTAAGCTAGAGATATCTGGGGGTTTTGCATGGGCTTCGTCTCATCCACCACATCTGCAGTGGAAGGTGGCCGAGCTGCAGCGGTGTTTGTCAGACCATGAGACATCCCGTAAATCGGTCAACAAAATAATATGACCACTATGTGGAAAGGGGAGACTCTCACGAACACGAACTTGATGGTCTTCTCTCCCCACGGGTGTCACGGGACTCATCTGAAGGTAACCCATACAAATGAATTGAAGTAAAGAGGTAGTTTTGTGCCAACACAAATAAGGGGTTAAATATGTGTCCCAAAAAATATATAGTCAGAAGTTTACATACACTTACAGTGGGGAAAAAAACTATTTAGTCAGCCACCAATTGTGCAAGTTCTCCCACTTAAAAAGATGAGAGAGGCCTGTAATTTTCATCATAGGTACACGTCAACTATGACAGACAAAATGAGAAAGAAAAAATCCAGAAAATCACATTGTAGGATTTTTAATGAATTCATTTGCAAATTATGGTGGAAAATAAGTATTCGGTCAATAACAAAAGTTTCTCAATACTTTGTTATATACCCTTTGTTGGCAATGACACAGGTCAAACGTTTTCTGTAAGTCTTCACAAGGTTTTCACACACTGTTGCTGGTATTTTGGCCCATTCCTCCATGCAGATCTCCTCTAGAGCAGTGATGTTTTGGGGCTGTCGCTGGGCAACACAGACTTTCAACTCCCTCCAAAGATTTTCTATGGGGTTGAGATCTGGAGACTGGCTAGGCCACTCCAGGACCTTGAAATGCTTCTTACGAAGCCACTCCTTCGTTGCCCGGGCGGTGTGTTTGGGATCATTGTCATGCTGAAAGACCCAGCCACGTTTCATCTTCAATGCCCTTGCTGATGGAAGGAGGTTTTCACTCAAAATCTCACGATACATGGCCCCATTCATTCTTTCCTTTACACGGATCAGTCGTCCTGGTCCCTTTGCAGAAAAACAGCCCCAAAGCATGATGTTTCCAGCCCCATGCTTCACAGTAGGTATGGTGTTCTTTGGATGCAACTCAGCATTCTTTGTCCTCCAAACACGACGAGTTGAGTTTTTACCAAAAAGTTATATTTTGGTTTCATCTGACCATATGACATTCTCCCAATCCTCTTCTGGATCATCCAAATGCACTCTAGCAAACTTCAGACGGGCCTGGACATGTACTGGCTTAAGCAGGGGGACACGTCTGGCACTGCAGGATTTGAGTCCCTTGCGGCGTAGTGTGTTACTGATGGTAGGCTTTGTTACTTTGGTCCCAGCTCTCTGCAGGTCATTCGCTAGGTCCCCCCGTGTGGTTCTGGGATTTTTGCTCACCGTTCTTGTGATCATTTTGACCCCATGGGGTGAGATCTTGTGTGGAGCGCCAGATCGAGGGAGATTATCAGTGGTCTTGTATGTCTTCCCTTTCCTAATAATTGCTCCCACAGTTGATTTCTTCAAACCAAGCTGCTTACCTATTGCAGACTCAGTCTTCCCAGCCTGGTGCAGGTCTACAATTTTGTTTCTGGTGTCCTTTGACAGCTCTTTGGTCTTGGCCATAGTGGAGTTTGGAGTGTGACTGTTTGAGGTTGTGGACAGGTGTCTTTTATACTGATAACAAGTTCAAACAGGTGCCATTAATACAGGTAACGAGTGGAGGACAGAGGAGCCTCTTAAAGAAGAAGTTACAGGTCTGTGAGAGCCAGAAATCTTGCTTGTTTGTAGGTGACCAAATACTTATTTTCCACCATAATTTGCAAATCAATTCATAAAAATAAAAAAAATTCTCAGTTTGTTTGTCATAGTTGACGTGTACCTATGATGAAAATTACAGGTCTCTCTCATCTTTTTAAGTGGGAGAACTTGCACAATTGGTGGCTGACTAAATACTTTTTTCCCCCACTGTAGGTGGAGTCATTAAAACTTGTTTTTCAACCATTCCACAAAATTCTTGTTAACAAACTATAGTTTTGGTAAGTCGGTTAGGACATCTACTTTGTGCATGACACAAGTAATTTTTCCAACAATTGTTTACAGACAGATTATTTCACTTATAATTCACTATCACAATTCCAGTGGGTCAGAAGTTTACATACACTAAGTTGACTGTGCCTTTAAACAGCTTGGAAAATTCCAGAAAATGATGTCATGGCTTTAGAAGCTTCTCATAGGCTAATTGACATAATTTGAGTCAATTGGAGGTGTACCTGTGGATGTATTTCAAGGCCTACCTTCAAACTCAGTGCATCTTTGCTTGATATCATGGGAAAATCAAAAGAAATCAGCCAAGACCTCAGAAAAGAAATTGTAGACCTCCACAAGTCTGGTTCATCCTTGGGAGCAATTTCCAAACGCCTGAAGGTACCACGTTCATCTGTACAAACAATAGTATGCAAGTATAAACACTATGGCACCACGCAACCGTCATACCGCTCAGGAAGGAGCGTTCTGTCTCCTAGAGATTAACATACTTTGGTGTGAAAAGTGCAAATCGATCCCAGAACAACAGCAAAGGACCTTGTGAAGATGCTGGAGGAAACAGGTACAAAAGTATCTATATCCACAGTAAAACGAGTCCTATATCAACATAACCTGAAAGGCCGCTCAGCAAGGAAGAAGCCACTGCTCCAAAACTGCCATAAAAAAGCCAGACTACGGTTTGCAACTGCACATGGGGACAAAGATCGTACTTTTTGGAGAAATGTCCTCTGGTCTGATGAAACAAAAAAAGAACTGTTTGGCCATAATGACCATCGTTATGTTTGGAGGAAAAAGGGGGTTGCTTGCAAGCAGAAGAACACCATCCCAACCGTGAAGCACGGTGGTGGCAGCGCTTTGCTGCAGGAGGGACTGGTGCACTTCACAAAATAGATGGCAACATGAGGAAGGAAAATTATGTGGATATATTGAAGCAACATCTCAAGACATCAGTCAGGAAGTTAAAGCTTGGTCGCAAATGGGTCTTCCAAATGGACAATGACCCCAAGCATACTTCCAAAGTTGTGGCAAAATGGCTTAAGGACAACAAAGTCAAGGTATTGGAGTGGCCATCACAAAGCCCTGACCTCAATCCTATAGAAAATGTGTGGGCAGAACTGAAAAAGCGTGTGTGAGCAAGGAGGCCTACAAACCTGACTCCGTTACACCAGCTCTGTCAGGAGGAATGGGCCAAATTTCCCCCAACTTATTGTGGGAAGCTTGTGGAAGGCTACCTGAAACGTTTGACCCAGGTTAAACAATTTAAAGGCAATGCTACCAAATACTAATTGAGTGTATGTAAACTTCTGACCCACTGGGAATGTGATGAAATAAATAAAAGCTGAAATAAATCATTCTCTCTACTATTATTCTGACATTTCACATTCTTAAAATAAAGTGGCGATCCTAACTGACCTAAGACAGGGAGGTTTTACTAGGATTAAATGTCAGGAATTGTGAAAAACTGAGTTTAAACGTATTTGGCCAAGGTGTATGCAAACTTCCGACTTCAACTGTATATGGTCCCAGTAAAAAGTTTGGACACAGCTACTCATTCAAGGGTTATTCTTTATTTTTACTATTTCCTACATCGTAGAATAATAGTGAAGACATCAAAACTATGAAATAGCACATATGGACTCATGTAGTAACTAAAAAAGTGTTAACCAAATTCAAATATATTTTATATTTGAGATTCTTCAAAGTAGCTACCCTTTGCCTTAATTACAGCTTTGCACACTCTTGGCATTCTCTCAACCAGCTTCATGAGGTAGTCACCTGGAATGCATTTCAATTAACAGGTGTGCCTTGTTAATTTCTGGAATTTATTTCCTTCTTAATGCGTTTGAGCCAATCAGTTGTGTTGTGACAAGGTAGGGGGGGTATACAGAAGATAGCCCTATTTGGTAAAAGACCAAGTCCATATTATGGCAAGAACAGCTCAAATAAGCAAAGAGAAACGACAGTCCACCACTACTTTAAGACATGAAGGTCAGTCAATACGGAACATTTCAAGAACTTAGAAAGTTTTTTCAAGTGCAGTCGCAAAAACCATCAAGCGCTATGATGAAACTGGCTCTCATGAGGACCGCCATAGGAAAGGAAGACCCGAAGTTACCTCTGCTGCAGAGGATAAGTTCATTAGAGTTACCAGCCTCAGAAACTGCAGCCCAAATAAATGCTTCACAGATTTCAAGTAACAGACACATCTCAACATCATTGCTGCAAAGAAGCCACTACTAAAGGACACTAATAAGAGGAATAGACTTGCTTGGGCCAAGAAACATGAGCAATGTTTATTAGACAAGTGGAAATCTGTTCTTTGGTCTGATGAGTCCAAATGTGAGATTTTTGGTTCCAACTGCCGTGTCTTTGTGAGACGCAGAGTAGGTGAACGGATGATTTCTGCATGTGTGGTTCCCACCGTGGAGCATGGAGGAGGAGGTGTGATGATGTGGGGGTGCTTTGCTGGTGACACTGTCTGTGATATATTTAGAATTCAAGGCACACAACCAGCATGGCTACCACAGCATTCTGCAGCGATACGCCATCCCATCTGGTTTGCGCTTAGTGGGACTATCATTTGTTTTTCAACAGGACAATGACCCAACACACCTCCAGGCTGTGTAAGGGCTATTTGACTAAGGACGAGAGTGATGGAGTGCTGCATCAAATGACCTGGCCTCCACAATCACCCGACCTCAACCCAATTGAGATGGTTTGGGATGAGTTGGACCGCAGAGTGAAGGAAAAGCAGCCAACAAGTGCTCAGCATATGTGGGAACTCCTTCAAGACTGTTGGAAAAGCATTCCCTGCGAAGCTGATTGAGAGAATCCCAAGAGTGTGCAAAGCTGTCATCAAGGCAAGGGGTGGCTACTTTGAAGAATCTCAAATATAAAATATATTTTGATTTGTTTAACACTTTTTTGGTTACTATTTGATTTCATATGTGCTATTTCATAGTTTTTATGAATGGGCCAAATTTCCCCCAACTTATTGTGGGAAGCTTGTGGAAGGCTACCTGAAACGTTTGACCCAAGTTAAACAATTTAAAGGCAATGCTACCAAATACTAATTGAGTGTATGTAAACTTCTGACCCACTGGGAATGTGATGAAATAAATAAAAGCTGAAATAAATCATTCTCTCTACTATTATTCTGACATTTCACATTCTTAAAATAAAGTGGCGATCCTAACTGACCTAAGACAGGGAGGTTTTACTAGGATTAAATGTCAGGAATTGTGAAAAACTGAGTTTAAACGTATTTGGCCAAGGTGTATGCAAACTTCCGACTTCAACTGTATATGGTCCCAGTAAAAAGTTTGGACACAGCTACTCATTCAAGGGTTATTCTTTATTTTTACTATTTCCTACATCGTAGAATAATAGTGAAGACATCAAAACTATGAAATAGCACATATGGACTCATGTAGTAACTAAAAAAGTGTTAACCAAATTCAAATATATTTTATATTTGAGATTCTTCAAAGTAGCTACCCTTTGCCTTAATTACAGCTTTGCACACTCTTGGCATTCTCTCAACCAGCTTCATGAGGTAGTCACCTGGAATGCATTTCAATTAACAGGTGTGCCTTGTTAATTTCTGGAATTTATTTCCTTCTTAATGCGTTTGAGCCAATCAGTTGTGTTGTGACAAGGTAGGGGGGGTATACAGAAGATAGCCCTATTTGGTAAAAGACCAAGTCCATATTATGGCAAGAACAGCTCAAATAAGCAAAGAGAAACGACAGTCCACCACTACTTTAAGACATGAAGGTCAGTCAATACGGAACATTTCAAGAACTTAGAAAGTTTTTTCAAGTGCAGTCGCAAAAACCATCAAGCGCTATGATGAAACTGGCTCTCATGAGGACCGCCATAGGAAAGGAAGACCCGAAGTTACCTCTGCTGCAGAGGATAAGTTCATTAGAGTTACCAGCCTCAGAAACTGCAGCCCAAATAAATGCTTCACAGATTTCAAGTAACAGACACATCTCAACATCATTGCTGCAAAGAAGCCACTACTAAAGGACACTAATAAGAGGAATAGACTTGCTTGGGCCAAGAAACATGAGCAATGTTTATTAGACAAGTGGAAATCTGTTCTTTGGTCTGATGAGTCCAAATGTGAGATTTTTGGTTCCAACTGCCGTGTCTTTGTGAGACGCAGAGTAGGTGAACGGATGATTTCTGCATGTGTGGTTCCCACCGTGGAGCATGGAGGAGGAGGTGTGATGATGTGGGGGTGCTTTGCTGGTGACACTGTCTGTGATATATTTAGAATTCAAGGCACACAACCAGCATGGCTACCACAGCATTCTGCAGCGATACGCCATCCCATCTGGTTTGCGCTTAGTGGGACTATCATTTGTTTTTCAACAGGACAATGACCCAACACACCTCCAGGCTGTGTAAGGGCTATTTGACTAAGGACGAGAGTGATGGAGTGCTGCATCAAATGACCTGGCCTCCACAATCACCCGACCTCAACCCAATTGAGATGGTTTGGGATGAGTTGGACCGCAGAGTGAAGGAAAAGCAGCCAACAAGTGCTCAGCATATGTGGGAACTCCTTCAAGACTGTTGGAAAAGCATTCCCTGCGAAGCTGATTGAGAGAATCCCAAGAGTGTGCAAAGCTGTCATCAAGGCAAGGGGTGGCTACTTTGAAGAATCTCAAATATAAAATATATTTTGATTTGTTTAACACTTTTTTGGTTACTATTTGATTTCATATGTGCTATTTCATAGTTTTTATGTCTTCACTATTATTCTACAATGTAGAAAATAGTCAAAATAAAGAAATATCCTTGAATGAGTAGGTGTGTCCAAACCTTTGACTGGTACTGTATATTTCCTAGATATATGACAGACACTTCAAAACCATTTTTTGCCATTTATGAATGTGTTATTCAATGTGTTTCTGTGGGCTATAGTAGTAAAGGCCAAATTCAATATTTTATCAAATCATTTTTGTATTTATTAATTTTATAACGTAAGGGGTCCTAAAATTCTAAATAGCTAAATGATCCATGGTATGTCCAATCTTAAAATAATTCCATATGTTAGCTTAGTAGAACCCCTTAGTAGAACTAGATTGTAGTGTGGTTGTAGCATGTTTTAATAAAGGTTATTTTACATTTGACATTTTAGTCAATTAGCAGACGCTCCTATCCAGAGCGACTTACAAATAGTGAGTGCATATATATATATATTTTTAAAGGTTTTGTGTGTTACTAGGTTGTAGTGGGGTTGTAGCATGGTTTGATAAAGGTAATGAAACGGTTTTGTATGTGACTAGGTTGTAGTATGGTTGTAGCATGGTTTGATAAAGGTAATGAAAAGGTTTTGTATGTGACTAGGTTGTAGTGGGGTTGTAGCATGTTAATAAAGGTTATAAGAAGGTTTTGTGTGTGGTACTGACCTTTCGAGGGGCTCCTGAGTAGCGTTTGTTGTAGTCTGTGATTTCTCCCAGAACCTCCCTCTCTTTTCTGTCTGACCAACCCTCACTGAACAGACGATACATGACCCTGACCTAAGAGAGAGAGAGAGAGAATCCATTCCAGTTACATTCAATCAATTCTGAACCATTATTCATCACTTTTATTCAACTTAAAGGGATAGTTCACCCAAATTACAAAATTGCATGTTGGTTTCCTTACCCAGTAAGCTGTCTATTGACAAGGTTTGACAGCAATCCATGCTTTGGTTTAGTTCCCTGGCACTGTTTCCAAATGCTAACGTTTTAACATTTGTGGCACAAATCCCATTCAAGTCATGGGACCAATATTAGCATTTTTTGCACATCATGTCCAAATCATCCAAAAGTATCTAAATTTGATTGTGAAGCTCACAAAAGTCACTTATAGATGATTTGAACATAATGCGTGAAAAATGCCAGGGAAACTAAACCAAAGCATGGATTGCTGTCATAACTTGTACATAGACTGCTTCAGGGTAAGGAAACCAATGTGCCATTTTGTAATTTGGGTGAACTATCCCTTTAAATAATTTTGCTCCATTTCTTGTCAGATAACAAGTGTAACATCATGGTAATAATGGCTGTTTCTACAGTTGGGTGTATCTTGCTTACCTTTTGTCTACACAGAGGGCAGCTTATGGCATCCAGCCAGGACCCATGTCTCCAGTAAGAGATCAGACAGGGAGCTGCAGACAGAGAAACAAGGTAATATAAATAAATACTCAATCACTTCTATTTTCATTAATATTTTTACCCCCAAAACAACGATTCACCATTAAGAAAACACTGTCATATTGCTAGTGTAGTGTGTTTATATTATTGTGCGTGAGGCGGAAATGCGGGTATGAGCAAAATGCTGACGGCAGCATTAGAAGCTGTTGTAGTAGTGATATGACCTTGAATTAACACACACTTGGATGGTGTTTAAGTGTAAAGTACAGCTCCTCTCTCTCCCACTCTCTCTCTCTCTTACTCGCTCTCTCTCTCTGAGGGGAAGGCAGGGTTAAGTGTGGCAGGTAGGGTGGAGTAGTTATTGCATCACGTGATGATGACACAGACAATGGTCAAGGTTAGGTGAAGGAGAGGGAGAGGAGATTGGCCGTTGCTACTATCATTATCAACCACTATCTTAACCCACCACTGATATACAGTGCATTCAGAAAGTATTCATACCCCTTGACTTACAGTGGCTTGCGAAAGTATTCACCACCCTTGGCATTTTTCCTATTTTGTTGCCTTACAACCTGGAATTAAAATTGATTTTTTGGGGGTTTGTATCATTTGATTTACACAACATGCCTACCACTTTGAAGATGCAAAATATTTTTTGGGGTGAAACAAACAAGAAATAAGACAAAAAAACAGAAAACTTGAGCGTGCATAACTATTCACCCCCCCAAAGTCAATACTTTGTAGAGCCACCTTTTGCAGCAATCACAGCTGCAAGTCTCTTGGGGTATGTCTCTATAAGCTTGGCACATCTAGCCACTGGGATTTTTGCCCATTCTTCAAGGCAAAACTGCTCCAGCTCCTTCAAGTTGGATGGGTTCCGCTGGTGTCCAGCAATCTTTAAGTCATACCACAGATTCTCAATTGGATTGAGGTCTGGGCTTTGACTAGGCCATTCCAAGACATTTAAATGTTTCACCTTAAACCACTCGAGTGTTGCTTTAGCAGTATGCTTAGGGTCATTGTCCAGCTGGAAGGTGAACCGCCATCCCAGTCTCAAATCTCTGGAAGACTGAAACAGGTTTCCCTCAAGAATTTCCCTGTATTTAGCGCCATCCATCATTCCTTCAATTCTGACCAGTTTCCCAGTCCCTGCCGATGAAAATCATCCCCACAGCATGATGCTGCCACCACCATGCTTCACTGTGGGGATGGTGTTCTCGGTGTGATGAGAGGTGTTGGGTTTGCGCCAGACATAGCATTTTCCTTGATGGCCAAAAAGCTCAATTTTAGTCTCATATGACCAGAGTACCTTCTTCCATATGTTTGGGGAATCTCCCACATGCCTTTTGGCGAACACCAAACGTGTTTGCTTATTATTTTCTTTAAGCAATGGCTTTTTTTCTGGCCACTCTTCCATAAAGCCCAGCTCTGTGGAGTGTACGGCTTAAAGTGGTCCTATGGACATACTCCAATCTCCGCTGTGGAGCTTTGCAGCTCCTTCAGGGTTATCTTTGGTCTCTTTGTTGCCTCTCTGATTAATGCCCTCCTTGCCTGGTCCGTGAGTTTTGGTGGGCGGCCCTCTCTTGGCAGGTTTGTTGTGGTGCCATATTCTTTCAATTTTTTAATAATGGATTTAATGGTGCTCCGTGGGATGTTCAAAGTTTCAGATATTTTTTTATAACCCAACCCTGATCTGTACTTCTCCACAACTTTGTCCTTGACTTGTTTGGAGAGCTCCTTGGTCTTCATGGTGCCCCTTGCTTAGTGGTGTTGCAGACTCTGGGGCCTTTCAGAACAGGTGTATATATACTGAGATCATGTGACAGATCATGTGACACTTAGATTGCACATAGGTGGACTTTATTTAACTAATTATGTGACATCTGAAGGTAATTGGTTGCACCAGACCTTATTTAGGGACTTCATAGCAAAGGGGGTGAATACATGTCCACGCACCACTTTTCCGTTATTTATTTTTTAGAATTTTTTGAAACAAGTTATTTTTTTCATTTCACTTCACCAATTTGGACTATTTGTGTATATCCATTACATGAAATCCAAATAAAAATCAATTTAAATTACAGGTTATAATGCAACAAAATAGGAAAAAACGCCAAGGGGGATGAATACTTTTGCAAGGCACTGTATTCCACATTTTGTTGTGTTACAGCCTGAATTCAAAATGTATATATGTATATTATTTTTTTACCCATCTACGCACAATATCCCACAATGACAAAGTTATGTTGTTATACATTTTAGCAAATCAATTGAAAATGAAATACAGAAATCTCATTTACATAAGTATTCACACCTCTGAGTCAATACATGTTAGAATCACTTTTGGCAGCGATTACAGTGCTGAGTCTTTCTGGGTAAGTCTCTAAGAGCTTTGCACACCTGGATTGTACAGTATTTGCACATTATTATTAAAAAAATTATCCAAGCTCTGTCAAGTTGGTTGTTAATCGTTGTTAGACAGCCATTTTCAAGTCTTGCCATAGATTTTCAAGGCGATTGAAGTCAAAACTGTAATTAGGCCACTTAGGAACATTCAATGTAAACTTGGTAAGCAACTCCAGTGTATATTTGGCCTTATGTTTTCGGTTATTGTCCTGCTGAAAGGTGAATTTGTCTCCCAGTGTCTCTTGGAAAGCAGACTGAAGCAGGTTTTGCCTGTGTTTAGCTCTATTCCATTTATTTTTATCCTAAAAAACTCCCTAGTTCTTACCAATGACAAGCATACCCATAACATGAGGCAGTTGCTCAGTGTTGGATTTGCCCCAAACATAAGACTTTGCATTTAGGCCAAAAATTGTATTCCTTTGCTGTGTTTTTTTTTACAGTATTACTTTAGTGCCTTGTTGCATACAAGATTGTTGGATTTGCCCCAAACATAACACTTTGTATTCAGGACATAAAGTTAATTTTTTTGCCACAATTTTTGCAGTTTTACTTTAGTGCCTTATTGCAAACAGGATGCATGTTTTGGAATATTTGTATTCTGTACAGGCTTCCTTCTTTTCACTCTGTCATTTAGGTTAGTATTGTGCAGTAACTACAATGTTGTTGATCCATCCTCAGTTTTCTCCAATCACAGCCATTAAACTCTATAGCTGTTTTGAAATCAACATTGGCCTCATGGTGAAATCCCTGAGCGGTTTCCTTCCTCTCCGTCAACTGAGTTAGGAAGGACACCTGTATCTTTGTAGTGACTGGATGTATTGATACACCATCCAAAGTGTAATTAATAACTTCACCATGCTCAAAATAATATTCAATGTCTGCTTTTTTACCCATCTACCAATATGTGCCCTTCTTTGTGAGGCATTGGAAAACCTCCCTGGTCTTTGTGGTTGAATCTGTGTTTGAAATTCACTGCTCGACTGAGATACAGGTTACAGAGATTAGGTAGTTATAAAAAATCTTGTTAAACACTGTTCTTGCACACAGAGTGAGTCCATGCAACTTATTATGTGAATTGTTAAGCACATTTTTACTTCTGAACGTATTTAGGCTTGCCATAACAAAGGGGTTAAATACTTATTTACTCAAGATATTTCAGCTTTTCATTTTTTATTAATTTGTAAACATTTCTTAAAACATACTTCCACTTTGACATTATGGGATATTGTGTGTAGGCCAGTGACACAGAATGTAAATGTAATCAATTTTACATTCAGGCTGTAACACAACAAAATGTGGAAAAAGTCAAGGGGTGTGAATACTTTCTGAAGGCACTGTAGCTGTCTTTGACTGTTGTCCCACTTCTGTAATGAGGTTATGGTCAAAACAGACAGTTTTGCCTACTCAGGGATAGCAAACAGAACTGGATCGAAAAGGTATTTAAAAGGTGTGAAATCCCAGGTACTCTTGATTTAGCAAGCTTGTATTTTGCACTTTTGGGACTATTTCATTGGTTCTATTGAGCCTGACAAACTAAGTATTTAAATTGTACATTTGTGTTCGACCCAGGTACGATAGCAAGACAACGACCAGACTGGCAGCCAGGTTGTCATAACAATGCCATAGGATCACCATACCCTAGGACCCTTTTAGACCATGGATGGCCTGGGGGGAGTTTGCACACGCATGCTAAAAACGTCCTTCCTCTTTTCCATGGTTTCCATAGTGACCCTACGTGACTCTGGCTAAATGAGAGAGATGTGTGTGAATGAGCAAAGCCTGAGTGTGTGTGATCTCCGTCAGGTGGGAGCCACTATAGCAATGGTTGTGAAATACTAAACCCCCCCCACCCCACCCAGGCTAGACAGGTCTTGGGGCTCTCATCATGTTATACCGATAGAAAAACGGATGCTTCGTTGGCCAGATAGATGGACAGACAATAGAGTTAAATAGATTCCCCCTGACCTGCTGCTGTAGTCAGTGTGTTGTATGGCACTTTCATATGTAATGTAAATGTTAATATGCTACCTTCTGGGCTCTAAAGAGCTCTTTATCTCTGTACAAGTCTCTCTTAACCCTTGGATAAATCCGATCATGTGCAGGTGGTGGTGATGGTAGTCATGGTGCTGTCTTACCACAGAAGAGATGGCCACAGTTGGTCTGTACGGGGAAGCTGGCAGTTTGTAGACACACAGGGCAGAGCCAGTCTCTGTGGCCCGCGGATGGACAGATCTGAGAGGAGTTCTTGGGAGAGAGAGGAATAAATTGGTACAGTTAGATAGGTAAGTATAACACCAGTTTCTGTTTCTCCTCTGCACTTAATTGATCACTAAAGAGAAAGGCAGTCCCATGTCTAAAACTGGCAGACACTGTGGCCTTCAGGAACATGAGATACACACCTCTGGAATAGCAGTGAAATAACAGAAACATGCACCAGGGAAGAGATGAGGCCAAGGTCCTATAAATGGACCTCAGTGGACCTCATCATAAGGAAATATCAGCTCTGAAATGATCAAGGTCTAAGTTAGCTTGCCAGCTGGAGGGAGCCCTACCATCCCCTCCTTCCCTCCAGACTGCCTCTCTTCTAAGCATTATTAATAACAGTAATTGTTATTTGTAAGAGTAAGAGTTATTATCAGTTAATAACATTAATCACAATAAAACAACTAACAACAATAACAAACGAAGACAGTGACATTACTCCGACATAACCAGGAATCATATGGGTAGAGCATCTAAACTTCTCTGTCCAAAAGAACCATGTTCTGTTATGAATGTAACAAAAAGTACAATGTAATTACACTGGTCTTTGTAGCTGCAATAATTTTAGCACTATGGAAAGTATGGCCACTATTTCTCCTGATTCGTTACAGACAGTCATTTATAAATACAAAAGACATGCAGCAAAACTTTGCTATACTAAAATCAATGTTTTCTAATGTCAAAAATGATTGACATTGTGGCATGCATCGATTGACACTGCAGTGTGATTGTAGTGGTTGTCACATGAGGGCTTAGAACCCTGCCCCCTAGCATTCTTAGATGTTAGGGGTCATCCGTAATTGACCCAGTGTGTGTGTGTGTGCGTGTGTGTTTGTGTGTGACCTCACCTTGCTGTAGGTCACATGTTTGAGGGATGTTCGGTCCTGTGTGTGTTCTGAGGATGATCCTAGGTGACCCTGACCCACTGTGACCTCAGGGAGAGGGTCACATCTGGAGGAGGTGGGGGTGGGAGAGGAGATTGGGGAGAGGAGGAGGGGGGGGACATGAATTATATTGTGTTAAGGCTCAGACTGGCCCCACTTTAAATGGATTTACTCGGTGCAGCCAAATTCTGGCGTGCAACAATTCATTTAACAAACTATCAGCCACCATAGCTGTACAACTTGTTGCTTGTTGGAAGTTGCAGTTGACACTGAATGAAGTCAGTAGATAGTTTGTCCAACATCTATACATTGTCTATAGAGGACAATACACATATTTTGCAACCAAACTGGGATCTTGTGGCTATTTGCCCAGTGCAAGTTTTGTTAGTTGGTAAAAAGCTAGTAACCAGATACTAGATACCCCATCATGTTCCCCCTATACCAAGTACCCAAACTAGTTAACTGTGAAAACCATCTGGATTCCAGATACACACCACCCCAAGCTACCAGACCTTTACAGTCTATTTACCAGACACCCAACCACACCTATACTAGCAGCCTCTGTAGTGTGTGAGTGGATGGTGTGTAGAGGAGAGGGTACAGACCCCCTGTTTATATCCAGAGAGAAGAAGACTTACCTGGGATGAGAGCTGTGTGAGGTGTGCATGGTCTGATTCATCTGGCAGCTGGAAGTGTAGGTCTGGTAGCTGTAAACAGACAGTGAGTGTCTCCTAGACACTCATGAGAGTGTGTCTCTGTAGAGTGTGTGTTTCCCGGAGAGGCTAGAGAAGGAAATGCTTCCTGACTGCATCACTGTACACAATAAATCTGACTGGTCAGTTAATCATTAACACGGCTGCCTGCCTGGAAGAGACCTAGAGACCACCAGTGCACGTTATTGATTGCAGTGAATGTCAATGTACTAGGATGACATAACATAAAAGCAGATTCTCTAATATGTGATAGATGTGATTGGTAAATGTTATTATAACATGAAATCAAAAAGGGCTCTAAACAAAAACCAGGCAGCGTTTCCGTGGCCATTCCCATCTCCAAATTCTATTTTGATCATGAGACCACCCACACAAGTTCAAAGCTATCCTGTTTGGCCCCTCCTTTTCAGTCTTAATAGGTTAGTGCCAACTTGGCAATGATTTACTGTAAGTTTACAGAGTTTAAAGCCCCGGCCCACATACTTTACCATAAAATACCAGCTCTGTGGTGAAATAGAGTTGTGAAAAACCTTATTGTTGTCTATCAATCCATTTGTATTGGACTCATAGAGATGTATAGAGATCTTTACTTTGAAATAAGCTGTTTTAGCATGGACATTGCCATTAAGGGCTTCCACCATTTTAAAGTAGTCAACTGGGTGGGTATTCCTATGGGTTGAAGCAATCAGCCAATGATCAGAGCATTGTCATCTTCTTCAAATTGGGTTGTATGGTTTGTATCTGGCTTTAAGCAATATCAGCGCCATCTAGTGGCCACAATAAATGAATAACACAGAAGAGTTGGTTCAAGACTCCTGCACTGCAAGTCCTGGTAAATCACCAATTGCTTTACACTTTTTTAAAACACAAGGGAAGAAGAAAATTGACTACTTTAAAATTAAGAATGCCTCAATGGCGCTGCCCATGCTTTCACAGATGCCATAATGGCACAGATACAAAGTTGAGACCTCTTTCCATCTCTTTGAGGAGCACCCCAGTTGAAAGGAATATCAAACCCTCTAAATTCACTAGGATTGGTACAAATGTCATCATAATAGTCTTAATACGTAGGTCTGTCACATTCGTACTGGTAAAGATACCGTAGATACAGATTAGCATTGCCCAAGGTCAAGATTACAACTGAATTCCCACAGTCTGCCAAGCTAATGAGTAATAAGGAACTGTTATCAGCAAGCGTATGTTTGCAACGTGAAAATATTCACGTATAATGTTGAACTGTTTTGTCTGTTACAGCGCTTCACAGTCTGCGTCCTTGAATTCTGCAAAAATATGCCAGCAAACATTTACACAAACGTTCACCCTACACTTCTCGATCTCAAGGACAGGATCAAAATGCCTCAGAATGTCTAAAAATAGCAGGAGTCGATCGATGTGGCAGGGGTCAGGGGTCAGGGGGTGAAAGCTGAGCTAACAGGCTAAGAGTGACTTTGTTCTCCCTCTGACACAGGGAGAGAGAAAGAGAGAAGGAGAGAGAGAAAGTGAGAGAGGGAGAGAGGTTCTATTCTAGCTAGATGGGCCACTGGAGGTGGCTTAAATCCAGTGTCATGTCACTAACACACACACACACACACGCAGTTTGTCCCACATTCCTTACTAAGGCATCGTGGCTGGCCATCGAGTCCAAGTCAAATAAACACATGACATTACAAAAGACTAAGCATGCTCAATAGAGAACCTCAAATGAAATCACTTTTTAGTCCAGGAGTAGACTTAATCTGGGTCTGGGAACCCGGTCCTATAGGTGTCAGCAGCTGATAAACAAACAGGCAGTGATCTGTTGAGTCAGATAAAGTATATTAACTGAGTATGAGTTCAAAGCCTTTACCTATCTACCATTAAGATTATTTTGGGGGTCAAGTGCTTGAGGAAAACACTTCAGTGGGTCCACATTTTGACTCATGGGGTCTGTGCCACCAGGTATGGTAAAGGAAATAGACCCTGATTTTCTTGTCATGAAACCAGAGTTTCCCTCCTAATCTTAACTGTGTCAAATTAGACTGTAATAAAAAGTTAATTCCTCACATAAGAACACACACACACACACACACACACACACACACACACACACACACACACAAGTGAGATTCATTAACCATTAACATGAAGAATAGGATTGTGGGTAGCTGACTCAAACTACTCCAGGGTAGTTCAACTAGCCATTCCTTTGAATTTGTCTACACCTGACCTCAGGTTTATTGTACAGGAAATGCAATGTATGAGAGGTTATGGTAAAACAGAGATTCAAGTGTGACACTTTCACAGTGCTCTTCATGAGAATCATTCTAAATGTAAATCATTGGCTTACCTGTTCACTTTAGATTTGCCATTCAGATGTCACTAACCAGTCACTAACATATACACACAGTATCCCACACACATACTGGGTTCCTTCTTGCTTTACTTTCTGACTTCCCTAGTGAATCTTACTTGATTGGATAGGTAAGCTATATGGTAAAGGCTCTATATTACCCATATGATTTTAATATCGACCAAGTAGCCTAACTATCACTGTTCAATATCGGTGAAGAGAAGTCGTGAAAATACCGAGAAAAGGCAGCAAGGTTTTAGAATGGAATCCAGCTCAGATAATTGAGGCGTTCAGCAAATCCTTGATTCCGCTCTGTGATTGGCTCCACATAGACCTGTCAGTCAGTCAGATATTCAACCTGATTGGTCTGTCTGTTCCAGTCAGAAGACACCATTGGTGTTTCATTCCTCGTTCTTGGGTTCTTGCGCTCTTTATCGCTTCAATCCCCATCCGTCTCAACAGAAAACGTCAAAGCGCGAGGCAGTTATTCACGTAGAAACTCACGGTGCTTTTACAGCGCAGTGACCAGGAAACATATCCATATTACGCAGTTAGCGCTAGAGATGCAACCACCGCAGGTGAGGTCAAATGCAGAGGGAAGGGGAACCGTGTTGTTGTTGATGGCAGGTGCATCGGACATATCTGGCCAAACCTGACCGGGAGAAATGGAGACAGACAAAGCTGTGTTGTGTGAGAGCCTTGTTATATGGGTGAGTGATGTCTGTGATGTCCTCTGTTCATTCCGAGAGCGCTTTAAAGCGTCTGATTGCATGAATGTTTACTGTGTTGATCGATGACTGTATCGTTTACCTGTGGCAGGTAAATTAGTGTCAGGACAAAAGCAATCAGGAAATGGGACACGATTTGGAAATCCACCTGTTCTCTCCTATTTATAATAATTTAGGCCTACAGTAGCCTAATGTTAATGTATTGATAAACCATTGTCGATATACTACGTCAGCTAGGCTATAAGAATAGCCTGTATAGAGTATATACGCAGATTAGCCGGATTAAACTCAACGATTTATGATGGAGTTGAGCGGCGACTAGTGTGGGCGGACTGGACCGTCGACGTATTTATCAAAAACTAGGCTACTGATTTCAGTACCCAAAGAATAGCCCGTAATTACACACGACATTGTTCTGTTTAATTGCGGTCTATTCTTTGGGGGCTGAAATCAGTAGTTGTGTTTTTTTAAATTTAATTTTATGCGAGGTTGGAGCTCCAGTCCTCCCACACTAGTAGTAGTTCAACTCCATCATAAATCGTTGAGTTTAGTCTGCTATGCGCAGATTGGATATTTTATCTCAAAATCTACAATGCACAAAATGAGCGTTGCCTTGTTTCCAGTTTTGTCTTTAGTTCTTCGACACACAAAGAAAGACAACAATATCCCTGAATTCAGTTGATCCTCATCCGATTTAGGGAGCTAATCTCATTAACTGCTAGATATTTGTGGAATGTTGCTCCTTCGATTATAGGCCACTAGCCAGTGGCAACTCATTAATAATGTACCTTTCATTTGGGTTGATCCTAAACGCCAAATGTGAATTGTAGCACCTGTAGGCTACAGTTTTATTATGCAACCTTATTCCTTACATGGCTTGTAATAATTGAGTAACATTTGAGATAATGTCAATTTGACTTGAAGTCAGGTAGCCTACTAGGTGAGATTAGATTGTGTGCCAAGTGTTACAACATGTCTCTCTCCTGTAGTGGAGCATTCCCTCCTCCAGTCAATACAGGACAGAATAGGACTAGGGCTGCATCCCAATAGACCGAAGTGGCTTCCTCTCGTTTTGGGCTATCCTCCCCTTTATCTGCAGTGACATGAGAGATCGGGCCAAATGAAAGCTCCTTCCTGTTGGGCATCCACCCACCATTGTTTTCAAATCTTCTGTGACTGAAAATGAGTGTAAAAGAAAGAGAGGGGACAACAAAGACACTATTAAGATGCATGATCTTCCTGAACGCTGCGAGGATATAACCAGTACAGGACACACAATGTCAGAGAGTATAACCAGTACAGGACACACAATGTCATTGAATGAATAACCACGTTGACTGTGTTTACACAGGCAGCCCAATTCTGATATTTTTCCACTACTCAGAATCAGAATGGGCTGCATGTGTAAATGCAGCCATTGAGTTGTGGGGAGCACTACAGTTTACTAGTGGATGCTAAAGTATAAGTTGAGGGCACAGGACTGGGAAGGCAGTATGTATATTGTATTGGAGGTAAAAAGTCCTGATTGCAGTACTTGGTGTGGCAGTTTTGTAGTGAGTTCTCACCAGACACCATGGAGACACAGTCCTGTAGGATTACTTATTCACAAGTCCATCATAGCAGAGTAGGGCCTAGACTAGAGTACTGATGTCTCTCTGGGGCTGTCGCTCTCACAGTGACCATACACATACACACACCTTTCTTTCTGACCTCATATGGCAACCCAACGTTTTAACCATTAAACCAAGAGGAAATCCTCATGGTTTGAGGACGACAATTGGGCTTGTGTGTTAGGTAGGGCTACTCCGTTACATGTGCACGCCCATTAAATCTTGTTTTTGATGGTTCATGACAGGGTTTTCTGTATGATCAATGCATGTGGAGATGGATTTCAGTGCCTCCAACTGACTCTGTCTCATTTATTTCCCAGTGTCTCCCGTCTGTACTCTAATCTGTCATTCTCTTTGTTTGAATCCACCCTGTCTCAGCTCCAGACCTTTAACACTGGGTCACCATGTACAACTGTAGCGGAGCTGACCACTGGAGCTGCCATGTCTCAGGCCTTGCATCAGATGTGAGTAACGCACAAACACACGCTGAATTAATCTAAATGTCTTCCCAGTGCAATGTGTTTTCTCTGACACATGACACACACACATTAATACGCGCCCCTCCGGTGACTCCGGAGACGTGCTCTGACCAACTACTGTCTGTCATATGCACGCAGGCAAATGAGATCATGCTGCAGGCATCAAAGAGAAGAAATAGACATGTTTACATTTTTAGTCATTTAGCAGATGCGCTTATCCAGAGCGACTTACAGTTAGTGAGTGCATACATTTTCTTTTTTTCATACTGGCCCCCCCGTGGGAATCGAACCAACAACCCTGGCGTTGCAAGCGCCATGCTCTACCAACTGAGCTACACGGGGCCCAGAACTGATTGTTTAGAACTGATAATTGATCGCATGGTGCAAGAATTAATACAATTAATTGATTATTGAATGTTATGATGGACGCAGCTTTGTAGAACCAAAACATACACAGCCTCTGCTCAACAAACTCAAACTCGAGAACGATATTTAGCTTAACACCCTCACGGCAGTCAAGCAATGCATTCCGCTAAGAGTCGTTCACAACTTGTTTCAAATGTACCAAGAAATGATCGTATTTGTATGCCTAGCAATCAACAAATGTACATTGTTTAAAGCATGATTTTACAAGTTTCAGTCACAAATGACAGCTCCAATAAGCCCCTTATGGTGAACGACGTGAATGAGTGGCTTGTAGAATCATGACTATTTCAAGTTTTCACTTCATCGTTCGCTGGTAGGGGGTCCTGCGTGCTCTGGGCATTACTGACTCAAACGAACAAAATGAGTCGAAAGATTTGTTCTTTTGACTGAACGAGTTGAAAAGATCAGTCAGTAAAAAGAGCCAAACTTCCCATCACTAAAATACATTATTAATTTATACTGTCTTCCCCTGGCTGAATATGTGTCAGATTTTTGGGTTTGATATTTTCTGATTTGAATATGGTTGTTTAGCAGACGTTTTCTGTCCAATGCTTATGCATGTGTGTTGTGCTTTGCAGAGATCCAGCGTGGTTCAGTAAAAGTTGGCTCGGTCGCATTAAAGAAGATGTTGGGGATAACTGGAGGCTCAAAGTACTGAACTCCATACTTACCTCTTTCTGCCCATCCCTTTTCTCTCCTCCTCCCTCTTTCTCTCTGTACTTCCATTCCTAATTCCCTTGCTATCCTTCCTTTCTTCCCTTACTGACCTAAAAACCAGAGTGACTGCTCTCTGCTGGCCCTGTTAGTATTTTAGCCAACCATTAGCCTTTCAATGCTATCATCCTCACACCAGAAAAGACTCACTCAGAATTTCTTTGAGGTGTACACTTTGTTTATCTAGAGTGAAGACTTTGTAACTTCTTTCTCCAGATGAACAACCTGAAGAAGATCCTTCAGATGATGGTGGATTACTACAATGAGGTAGGTAGAAAGAAACATGTTGAGTTATGTCTGGTTATAACTGTTCTATTCTTTCTATGGCACTAGGTTGTAGCCCAGCAGATCTCAATACTTCCACAGTTTGGTTATGAATGGTTAATACCATGGCAGCCTCACAATAGATGTTCTATTCACTTGCGTCACTTGGTCCTGAGCCAGCAGATCTGACTTCCTCCTGCCAGACCTGGTCCAGGTTATAACCCTTTATGTCTGGTTATAACTGTTATATTCTCTGTCTGTGTCACTAGGCCCTGAGCCAGCAGATCCAGGAGTTTCCCTTGCCAGACCTGGTGAAGGTGGCAGAACAGTCCGACCCTGTAGAACTGGGACGACTGCTGCAGCTCATACTGGGCTGTGCTGTCAAATGTGAACGAAAACAAGGTAGCGCCCACACACACACACGGTGCAGTCCCAGAGGCTGAACTAGAATGGTTCAACAACACTATATTGTTGCCTTGCCAAGACAATGACAAAGGAGTCAGCTAAATCTGTAACAGACTGGCACCCAAAACAGAAACTGTGTGTGTGTAATTCCCCCCCCACCTCACTTTCTCTCTCTTCATCTTCTTCCATCCTCTCTCTCTCTCCCCCTCCAGAGTACATCCAGGTCATCATGACTCTGGAGGAGTCCGTACAGCATGTGGTGATGACAGCCATTCAGGAGGTGAGGCTTGGCCTGACCAGGGCCATTCTCTCTGATTGATTTTAAATAGTGTGACGTACGGTAGGATCTTAGAATTGCCTATATGTATTAAAAAGCCAGTTACCAATACTGTGATGTTGTTAAAGTACATCCATGACTTCTCTTTGGCTTTAGAGAGAAAGTCATGTTAGACCACCTGTTGTGTGTGTGTGTGTGAGAATGAGTAGGAACGAAGTTGTCTCTAAGCAAACATGTACCATGTCTCTCTCTCTGTCAGCTGATGAGTAAAGAGAACATGGCCCAGTTTGGAGCAGAGCCACCGGGGGACGTAGAATCACAGGTGAGAGGAGGAGATCCACTGTGTTAGGCCTCTAATAGTCTATATATATATATATATATATATAGTTGTTGCTGACTGTGCATGTCCCTCTAGTTGACACTGGAGGACCTGGAACAAGAGGTGAGAGGTGATGCACTGTGTTATAGGGATCTAATAGAATGCTGTTGTCTGTATTATAGTTGTTGTTGATTGTGTGTCTCCGTAGTTGACCGCTTGTCTTAGACTAGTTAGTACTGTGATATTGCTAGTCTCTCCCCGTGCTTGCTGAAGTAGGCTGGCTGTAGAGAAGCTAGCTATTGTTAAGTGTGTGTGTGTGTTTACCAGTTGAAGAAGGCTCTTGAGGACCTGGCGGATCTGATGGCAGAGAAGGAGGAACTAGCCCAGCGCTGTCAGGAGCTCGACGTACAGGTACACACATGCACAAACCCACTTTCTACAGGCCCCCAAACCGAAGCATTGACTAAGCTCGCTGCACACAGTCTAGACTAAATGAGTTCGATCAAGGTTACTGGAGTGGATATTACACTTACCATCCATGAGATTTAGCTGTCACACACAACCCTGGTAGAGTATAAACTAGTGATGGGGGGGGGGGGAAATTGATAGTTACATATCATTATATTATTTTTGGACGATATCATATCGATATTTGACTCCAAGTATCGATTTGTTGTTTGTTATTGCTATTGTAGGTAGCATTAGCTAGCGCTAGTCAGCTGTACCTGCGGCAATACTCAGGTATTCTTTTATCCTATAGCTTGTTCTCCATCTTTTTTTTAAATAGCGAGTCAACATGTTTTCATGATCAAAACTTGTTTTCTCATTTTCTCTGCAGCAGTGGGCAATATGTTTGGAACATCAAATCGCAATAGAATTGCAGTATCGAATCTCAATACATATAGAATCGTAAGAATCGCAGTACATATCGTATTGGCACCTAAGTATTGGGATAATATTGTATCGTGAGGTCCCTGGCAATTCCCAGCCCTATTATATACTGGGTCTGTTTTATGTGCTATGATGCCATTGTCTGTGGCTGGTGGAGCTGAAGGGCTGTGGTTTTACAGACTGGGCCACTCTGCTCTCCCCCTGCCTGCTCACTCTGCCGTATCCTGCTATGCCTGGCTGGGGAAAACACAGGACAGGACAGAACCCTGCTGCTGGTTACTGATTAGGTCAAGTTCATAATAGTCAAATCTATGTAAAGGTACTGATGCTGTTGAATGGGTCTATCGTCTCGTGTCTACAGATTGAGTTGTTACAGTAGATCACCAGTTTCTCTCTTCACGGACACACAAAGGTAAGTTCACATGGCTGCATGGCTGCTCGTCGTCGAGGTGGACTAAACACATCTAATGGCTGGTTGCTGAGGCTGTCTAAAACATCTGTACCCTCTCTTGCTCTCTGTCACTAACACGTATCACCAGGTGTGAAAGTAAGGCGGTACGGCATCTCGGCAAAATAAATAGTTTGGGTACGCCGTACCAGTAAAACATGAACCTATCACAATAATTAAAACAAAATGTCAACAAAACTCTCGGCTATTACACCATTATTTATCATTACCGCATGTCAGAGGCATGATAAATTAGCGAATGGACTTAAAAACGGGTGGTATAGCCTATGCTCCAAAATGCGATGTGGTTCGACGAGAGCACAGACATTTTGCAGGCAGAGATTAGTGGCCGATGCGCGGACAGTGGATGCATAAATCCTGGCTTAATGACAATCGCCAAATGTCATTACACTTTTTGGTGTTTTGTGTAAAAGATGTCTCTTTCCATTCACCACTGTTTTAAGGCTGGAAATATGTTGGGAGTGGATGAACGTGTCTGGGTAGCCTAGTAAAGGAGCCCTTTTGAAGTGATTGTTTGACAATCGGATGAAAGTGTCATGACTGGTTGTGTTTATGCAACAATAAAAGGTAATACATTTTAAAAGTTAAATGACAAATCTTTGACTAGGCCCACAGAGATCCTATTGACTTAATAGGGATTCTATATGTAATTCTATGATTAGGTGGCAAATATAAAGATCCAGTCCACCTAAAAAACTGGAGGCCCCTTACACTTCAGTGTAGTGATGCCAAAATTTTAGCAAAATGTATAGCGCTTAGAATTAAAAAGGTATTGTCAGATATTATTCATCTTAATCAGACAGGTTTTTTACATGGACGATACATTGGAGATAATGTAAGACAAGTATTGGAAACAATAGAACACTGAAAAATCTAGAAACCAGGCCTGGTATTCATAGCTGATTTTGAAAAGGCCTTTGATAAAGTACGACTAGAATGTATATATAAATGTATGGACTAAAGGGTTAAAGTTATGTGTACTGTAGTAACCCCAGGTGTAAAATAGTAAATAATTGCGACTTCTCAGAAAGTATTAAACTGTCAAGAGGAGTAAAACAAGGTTGTCCACTATCTGCATATCTATTAATTATGGCCATAGAAATGTTAGCTATTAAAACCAGATCCAACAGTAATATCAAGGGGCTAGAAATCCAGGGCTTAAAAACAAAGGTGTCATTGTACGCTGATGACTCGTTTCCTTTTAAATCTGCAATATGGATCCCTGTACAGCCTCAGAGGATCTAGATAATCCAGAGAGGTTAGAGAAATTGTGTACTATATTATGTATTGGATCACTTCAAAAAAGTTAAACTTTTACATTACCGTGTAGTTTACCAATAAAATGGTCTGACGGTGAAGTGGACATACTCGGTATTCATATCCCGAAATAAATGGGTGAAGTGGACATACTCGATATTCATATCCCGAAATAAATAATGTCAATACAATACATTTGAATAGAAAGTTAGCACAAATAGATAAGATCTTGCTACCATGGAAAGGTAGATATATAAATACTTGTCTATTTGTGGAAAAATCGCCTTGATTAATTATTTAGTCATATTGTTTACCTATTTACTGATGGCCCTGCCTATACCGGACGACTTGTTTTTAATATTATGAGCAAAAAATGGCAGGCCAGACACAATTAAACTGGCATATTTACAGTGCATTCGGAAAGTATTCAGACCCCTTGACTTTTTCCACATTTTGTTACTTTACAGCCTTATTCTAAAATGGATAAAAATCATTTTTTTCCACTCATCAATCTACACACACCCATAATAACGAAGGTAAAACATTTTTTTTTGAAATTTTTGCAAATGTATTACAAATTAAAAATGGAAATATCACATTTACATAATTATTCAGACCCTTTACTCAGTACTTTGTTGAAGCACCTTTGGCAGCGATTACAGCCTCGAGTCTTCTTGGGTATGTCTCCCAGTCCCTGCTGCTGAAAAACATCCCCACAGCGTGATGCTGCCACCACCATGCTTCACCGTAGGGATGGTGCCAGGTTTCCTCCAGACGTGACACTTGGCATTCAGGCCAAAGAGTTCAATCTTGGTTTCATCAGACCAGAGAATCTTGTTTCTCATGGTCAGAGTCCTTTAGATGCCTTTTGGCAAACTCCAAGCAGGCTGTCATGTGCCTTTTTGTTACTGAGGAGTGGCTTCCATCTGGCCACTTTACCATAAAGGCCTGATTGGTGGAGTGCTGCAGAGATGGTTGCCCTTCTGGAAGGTTCTCAAGAATGTGGAAAAAGGGAATACTTTCCGAATGCACTGTATATAATGAATATGAATTCGGAGAGCTACAATTATTAAATATTAAAGCATTGACCCTCTCACTAATGCTTCAATCATATAAAAGTTATACTTTAAATCCGAACTGGTTCTCTAGCAGGTTAGTAAGAATGGCTCACCCAGTGTTAAAACATTTCCTTTTTCCATTTATTCAGATTACAAGTTCTCTCACTTTTGGTTATTTGAAAATGAAATCCTCTCCAAAATATCACTATTTTAAAACAAGCCATAGAAAGCTGGTTGCAATTTCAGTTTAATCCACCAGAAAAGACAGAACAAATATTATGGTTAAACTCAAATATACTAATTAATTTAAAAAACGTATGTTTTGATTTTTTTTTCAAAACAGTATAATCTTTGTTAATGATATCATAAATAGGACTGGTGGAGTTATGTCACACATGCAGCTAACAAATACAGTATCTCACAAAAGTGAGTACACCCCTCACATTTTTGTAAATATTTGAGTATATCTTTTCTAATTGGGCCCAATTTGGACATTTTCACTTAAGGGTGTACTCACTTTTGTTGCCAGCGGTTTAGACAAAAATGTGAGGGGTGTACTCACTTTTGTGAGATACTGTATATAGAAATGTCTGATTGCAGCATTACGGCAAAATTGGAGGTGGAAGGGGGAGAAGGTAAAGAACTTGTTTGTCGGCCCTGCATTAAAGACCAAAGCTGGTTAAAATGTTAAATGTTACATGTGGTTGCTGAGGCTTCCAATCTGGATACCCTGTGTGCTGTGTTATCAGTAGATGCAGAGAAAGCCTTTGACCGCTTAGAGTGGGAATATTTATGGCTTGTTCTACCATACAACAAGGATGTAAACAAGGTTGTCCCGCCTCCCCTATGCTATTTGCTCTTTCTCTTGAACCGCTGGCACAAAGCATACGTCAAAATTCGGCTTCCTCACATATCAAAATCAAACAAACTGAACAAGCAATTTCTCTGTATGCAGATGACATACTGCTCTACATCGCAAACGCTCAGAAATCCCTCCAGCCAATAATGTCTATTTTCACAGCATTCAGCTCATGGTCTGGTTACAAGATCAACTGGTCTAAATCAGCTCTACTACCTCTTAACTCGGCTATGGGAAGTATGCAACTACCACCTCAGCTATGTAACTACCACCCATGATCCCAGTGAAGAAACAAATCACCTACTTAGGCATTACCATATCCCCCTCTATTCACACTACTTGCAGGAAGAACTACTTAGAAACCTTTCAAAAGATCCAAAAATACATATACATTTTTTGCTTGCTGGAATCTCAATGATCAATTATTAAAATGAATGTCCTCCCTCGTATCAATATGATGAGTTCCATGTTACCACTGCCTCCTATAGACTATTGGTCTAAACTTGACTCTGTCATAAAGAAGTTCATTTGGGGGAGAAAGAGACCACAGATTAAATATGCGACACCTATCATTCCAAATGAATTTCCTGGAGACCTGGTTAAACCCAGACCTGGTTAAACCCAGACCTGGTTAAACCCAGAGGCTTCTGTTCCTTGGCGTGCTATAGAAGAGTCAATAGTTTCACCAATTTAGATTACAAGATGTATTATTTTCTGGATTGACTCCTAAAAAATGTGCATTAGTGTTTGGACCCATTATAGCATACTCAGTAAATGTGTGGAAAGCTACAGAGAAGCATATGAGATCTAATCTGAAATGGCATTCATACTTTCCAATATGGCGTAGTAAAGAATTCTTAGCGTGTAAGAAACCATTTATCAGATTCTTGGTCTAAGAAGGGTATTTATACTTTCAAAGACATATTCAATTTGAATGGACTCCTCAATTTCCAGGAAATCCGCCAGTGTTTTAATGTCCCAGGTTCATCATTTTGTCTTTACCTTCAACTCCACCTATCCATGCGAGCCTATGGGGTCCTCTGGGGAGCAGAACTAGCAATACACCCATTGGTCAAACTTCTAACGGACAGACGTCCCTCAAAAGGAGTTGTTTCTAATATCTATAGTCAATTAATTCTAGTAGCACAAAAACCATTAACTCTATCCACTGTATGGGAAAATTATTTTACACTTGCTGACAGACAAATCAATTGGGAGACAGTATGGAAAAATATATTTGGATCATTTAGAAACCCCAATCATCAATTAATTAATTTAAAAATGTGCCATTGAACCTATCTAACACCTCAAAAAAGACATCACATGGGTGTTAGTCCGTCGCCATTATGCGAGTTCTGCACCACAGGGGACCTTGGTACTTTTCAGCATGTGCTGTGGAAATGTCCAGGGGTGGTTGAATGTCATCTCTGTACTTGTAGATAAAATACTGCCATTAGATCCAATAGTGATGTTGCTTTGTGATGACTCTGATTTGCACTTGTCAGAACGCCAACGGAGAGTGTGGTTGGCAGGAACCACAGCTGCTAAGAAAATGATTGTACAAAGGTGGATTCCACCTCATCAGTTACCATTGCAAAAATGTCTGCTCACATTTTAAGGAAATTGTACTTATGGAGCTCTCCATGGCCAGAATCAACAGGGCCAAGGTGTCCACTCTGGACACATGGAAAAAAGCAGCAGTGGACATTTTTTTAACTCTTAACCAACGGGCCTTTACATCCATTAATTTGTCACTATCTGAGACAATATGATGTATTGTTCAGCAGATTTACTATGTAATATTAATGTATTTGTTTTTATCTCATGCTATCAGATTGCCGGGAGGGGGGGGTTGAAAAATATATATATATATATAAATGTATTGTATGAATTTAAATAATAACTTGATGTAAAAAAAAAAGAAAAAATGGTTAAAGAAAAATTTATAAATAAAAAAAGTATACCTGTTCCATTTTAAGAACCAAAAAATAAACAGCTATGCCTTACAGGTTGCAAAATAGTTGGGAAGAGATTGTGCCGATTCCATGGCACAGGGTTTATGAACTGATACACAAAATGACGCTGGATTCAAAACTTAGTTTTTCAATTTAAATTATTATACAAAATTCTTGCAATCAATAGAATGTTATAATAATGGTGGATACAACCATCCCAGCTCTGCAGATTTTGCTCCGAAGAGACAGAATCATTAGATCATTTGTTTTGGTACTGCACATGTGTAGCTAGTTTTTGGTCTCAGGTTCAGGAATGGCTGAAAAATCAGATTTACTTAAAGCTATCTATGCAAATAGCACTGCCGGGTGACTTAAAGCCATGGTCAGTCGATCAATACTATAATAGTACTTTTAGTGAAGGTGTTAATCTTTGATTTATAATCTGTGGAAACTGAGAATAGAAAGGTTCAGAACTTTTGTGAAACATCAGAGCACAGTTGAAAAATATCTGGCAAGTGGAAGTCAAGACTGGATGGTTTTTAGAGATAGATGGGAAGGGTTGATGGTAGCTGAAGGGTGGGATAAATAAATAGAGAGCACTAATGTAAAATGTACTGGGTCTGTAAAATGTATATAGTATGCGTAAGCTGGAAGTAGAAGCCTAAGTATTGTTGTCCATTAGTTTACTCCAATTAGGGGAGGGGAGGTAGGGTTAGAGGGAAAATAATGGGAAAAATATATATATTTTTTAAAAGATATGAGTGATTGGAAATTATGCAAATTATAACATTGATAAAACCCACAATCTGCAATATTAAAGCTGATCTAACCCCCCCCCCCCCAAAAAAAATAAATAAAAAAAGATGATTAGTCCCATAAAAATGTTGGGGTGCATAAACAAGCGTGTGCACACAGGAGGTCCCGTACCAGGAAGAAATTACATCTACTTTCACCCCTGCATATCACTGACATAAACTACACTGTGTTCATTTGTAGTTTTTGGGAACAGGTGGAGCGAAGACGCTGAAAATAATTTTGTTGTTTTTAATATATACACACACATACATATACACACACACATATACAGTTGAAGTCGGAAGTTTACATACACTTAGGTTGTAGTCATTAAAACTCGTTTTTCAACCACTCCACAAATTTCTTGTTAACAAACTATAGTTTGGCAAGTCAGTTAGGACATCTGCTTTGTGCATGACACATGTCATTTTTCCAACAATTGTTTACAGACAGATTATTTCACTTATTCACTGTATCACAATTCCAGTGGGTCAGAAGTTTACATACACTAAGTTGACTCTGCCTTTAAACAGCTTGGAAAATTCCAGAAAATGATGTCATGGCTTTAGAAGCTTCTGATAGGCTAATTGACATCATTTGAGTCAATTGGAGGTGTACCTGTGGATGTATTTCAAGGCCTACCTTCAAATTCAGTGCCTCTTTGCTTGACATCATGGGAAAATCAAAAGAAATCAGCCAAGACCTCAGAAAAAAAACTGTAGACCTCCACAAGTCTGGTTCATCCTTGGGAGCAATTTCCAAATGCCTGAAGGTACCACATTCATCTGTACAAACAATAGTATGCAAGTATAAACATCATGGGACCACGCAGCCGTCATACCGCTCAGGAAGGAGACGCGTTCTGTTACCTAGAGATTAACGTACTTTGGTGCGAAAAGTGCAAATCAATCCCAGAACAACAGCAAAGGACCTTGTGAAGATGCTGGAGGAAACGGGTACAAAAGTATCTATATCCACAGTAAAACAAGTTCTATATTGACATAACCTGAAAGGCCGCTCAGCAAGGAAGAAGCCACTGCTCCAAAACCGCCATAAAAAAGCCAGACTACGGTTTGCAACTGCAGATGGGGACAAAGATCGGACTTTTTTGAGAAATGTCCTCTGGTCTGATGATACAAAAATAGAATGACCATCGTTATGTTTGGAGGAAAAAGGGGGACGCTTGCAAGCCAAAGGACACCATCCCAACCGTGAAGCACGGGGATGGCAGTATCATGCTTTAGGGGTGCTTTGCTGCAGGAGGGACTGGTGCACTTCACAAAATAGATGGCATCATGAGGAAGGAAAATTATGTGGATATATTGAAGCAACATCTCAAGACATCAGTCAGGAAGTTAAAGCTTGGTCGCAAATGGGTCTTCCAAATGGACAATGACCCCAAGCATACTTCCAAAGTTGTGGCAAAATGGCTTAAGGACAACAAAGTCAAGGTATTGGAGTGGCTATCAGAAAGCACTGACCTCAATCCTATAGAACATTTGTGGGCAGAACTGAAAAAGCGTGTGCGAGCAAGGAGGCCTACAAACCTGACTCAGTTACACCAGCTCTGTCAGGAGGAATGGGCCAAAATTCACCCAACTTATTGTGGGAAGCTCTTGGAAGGCTACCCGAAACGTTTGACCCAAGTTAAACAATTTAAAGGCAATGCTACCAAATACTAATTGAGTGTATGTAAACTTCTGAACCACTGGGAATGTGATGAAAGAAATAAATGCTGAAATAAATAATTCTCTCTACTATTATTCTGACATTTCACATTCTTAAAATAAAGTGGTGATCCTAACTGACCTAAAACAGGGTATTTTTTACTAGGATTAAATGTCAGGAATTGTGAAAAACAGAGTTTAAATGTATTTGGCTAAAGTGTATGTAAACTTCAGACTTCAACTATATATGCACACACACACACTCTATTCCCAGGTATTGTCTCTGGCATAAACCATAACTAATGAACATAGTGTGAGGAAGGTGAACTAACCAGCCTTTCAACCTATTAATTACCATGATGATGTTTTCTGACGGTGCAGAGTGACTTCGCTGTACTGTACTTCCAGGCTCTAATAATGATGCTATGTTTGTTGAACAGTTGGTGATAATGGGGTCTTTCCCACTGGAGATGAATTGATGCTTATCACTTCATCTCAGACTCCTCTAGCTCCCTTTCTCCTCATTCTGTAGGCATATGTGAACATTTGTGTGGTACCACCGTATTGGATGGACTGTAAAAAACTATGGATTTGATAGTTATGTTCGCGTTACTCATTTTGGGATTGAGACACAGCCCACCTCTGACCCTGGTTTGACCCTGGTCAGGTGACTGTCCTTCAGGAGGAGCGGAACAGCCTATTGGCTGAGAACGACGTGCTGACGGACCGAGCCAATCAGCTGGACTCGTTTGATGATCCAAGCACGCCCTCTGGACGGAAACACAGCCAGCTACAGATACAGCTAGAGACACTACAGGAGGAGAACTTCAGGTGTGTGTGTGTCAATGAAAACACATTGCACTGGGATGATGCTTAGTCATTCAGCACAGCGCTTACAGATATCTCCCTCTGTCTGTGTCTAGGCTGGAGGCAGCTAAGGATGACTACCGGATCCACTGTGAAGAGTTGGAGAAGCAGCTGATCGAGGTTCAGCATCGTAACGACGAACTTACCAGCCTGGCCGAGGAGTCACGAGCACTTAAAGACGAACTCGACATCCTCAGGTGTGTGTTTGGTGGCATTCCAGGTCGTCTTTATTGCAGTTGTGCTGCATAGATGTGCATCACACCGGCAAAATGACAACCTGGAATGACTCCATCATATCTCTTTTAATCCTATCTGTAATCTGTGCTGTTTGCATTGGCTAACAAGCTAATCAGAAGCCCCTCTCATCAATTGAGTTGATTGAATACTGGTGTATAAATGGGAGTGGGAGACAGGAAGTGGTTAGTTAGAAGCAAGGGTAGACCAGTGAGAATGTTTGTGTTTTGGTCCTTCACGGTGCCCGTTTTATTTATTTCTCTTTATAAATTGAATTAAATGCAATTCTCTCGTTTGTGTGTTTTTTGTGTGTAGGAGCTGTTCAGACCGTGCTGTGAAGCTGGAGGCGTCAGTGGAGACATACAGGCGTAAACTGGAGGACCTGGGAGATCTGAGGAGACAAGTCAAACTGCTGGAGGAGAAGAACATGACCTACATGCACAACACTGTCAGTCTGGAGGAGGAGCTACGCAAGGCTAATGCTGCCCGCGCACAGCTAGAGACATACAAGAGACAGGTGAGACATATCTGAGAATATACTGGAGACAGGAACATTCTTAAAGTTGTCCCCTCCCTTTTGCACTATAGGTCTGACAGCACTGGGTTGAGGAAAGCTACATGGTGGAACTCTGAAGCTTTTGCCCTCACCTACCAAGTTGTCTCTGAGGAGACAAACAGCCAATCAGGGGGCTTACTAAAGCTATTTCCTGTTTCCTGCCAGGTCCAGGAGCTGCACCGGAAGTTGTCAGAGGAGTCTCGGCGGGCAGACAACCTGGCCTACGAGATGAAGAAGTTTGAGGAGAAATACGACGCCGTGATGAAGGAGAAAGAGGTACTGACTGGATCCCAACACTTTCTACTGCAACCTACCTGGTCCCTCTGATATGCAAACACAGTAGGGGAAGGAACTAAGGAATTTTTTCTGACAATAATCTACTATTGGCTTATCTCCTCTCTCTGTCTCCTGATGTTGATGTCATCAGAAGATCATCATTGAGCGAGACTCTCTGAAGGAGACCAATGAGGAGCTACGCTGTAACCAGGCTCAACAGGACCAGCTCCGACAAGCAGGTAGCTCATTGGAACATCACACTGACTGTTTGGTGCTGAATATGATTGGAAAGTAAAGGTTTCTTTGATAAACGGTGTGGGCGTATTCGACATTGCCGCTGACTTTAAAGGCGAGTTGAGACAGACTGATCTCCAAATCACCTTGCATCATAAATAACTACTAATGGTATTTGTAGATCACAATCAGTCACAGATACATCATGGTTTTGATGCTCTCCCACACGGCCTGTGTCTCTGAGGCTTACAAATACACATGGTTACTGATCTCCTCTCTCTCCACAGGGATGGCAGGGATGCCAGCTGGCAGTCCAAGCCATGATAACCTTGCTGCTGAAATCCTACCTATAGAGTACAGGTAATAATTTAATAATTGTGTTGGTGTGTGAGACGCTGACTGCACTAACTGTGTCCTTGTCCGTACAGGGAGAAGTTTATCCGGCTCCAGCATGAGAATAAGATGTTGCGTGTGCAGCAGGAGGGATCAGAGAATGAGAAGATCTCTGAACTACAGACACTGCTAGAGGAGGCACACCGAACACGCTCTGAACTGGACACTGAGAACAGGTGCGTGGTGTGTGGGTGGCGCTAGCTGGCACCTTTTCACTTATGCGGTCTTGGATGTTTTACTTCCTAGTTGACGGTAATCTACTTCCTGTGTGTGTGATGTACTTCCAGGTTAAACCGGGAGAGAGTCACTGAGCTGCAACAGCAGGTAGAGGATCTACAGAAAAGCCTACAGGGCCAGGGGGCCAAGACTGATGATGTGAGTTACACACTATACAGTACATGCATAGACTTTACACATACTGCTATGTCAAACGTTAACCCTACATACTGTCTCATATGTACAGTAGCAGCTCTAAGGTAACGGTAGCTGTGTTCTCTCTTGCAACTGCTCTTTATTTTCAGTCTCACCTGAAGAGGAAACTGGATGCTCATATGTAAGTATGGTCCATACTGCTTTGTGAGACCTCCATGTTACTCCTAAGAGAGAGATGTATAAAGTAAGGTGTTTTATTACACAGGGTGCAACTGAACGAGGCGCAGGATGAGATCATGAAGAAGAAAGAACTGCTGGAGGACCTGCAGCCAGACAACACACAGACCTGTGAGTACAACTAACACAACCATAACATGACCACAACATTGGCGGTATAGTTTTCAGAGTAACCCTAGTGAGCGTCGTCTGTCTCTGTCCCTTAGCTCTGAGACTGGATGAGCTGATGGCTTCTCTGAAGAAGAAGGATGACGACATGAGAGCAATGGAGGAGAGATACAAGATGTATCTGGAGAAGGCACGCAATGTGAGTTGTCATTCCTTCGTCTCTTATCCAACTAGCAGCTGGACAAAAAGTGTAGAAAAAGGTAGTGTCTCTATTTGCTGCTGCTCCCACCAGTGACGTCTGATGAAGCCCTCGGTCTCTGTCTGTCTCGGTGCTGTAGGTGATCCGTGCGTTGGACCCCAAGCTGAACCCAGCCACAGCAGAGATCCAGGCTCTGAAGAACCAGCTGTCGGACAGAGACAAGAGGATCCTCAGTCTGGAGGTAACGCTGACCTTTAACCCCTGGCCTCTCTCCTTAACCCTCAGCCAGGAGGCACTCATTCACAGGGGGATCCATAGTACTTATCTCACAATGCACTCTCGACCTCTGGTATTGATAGTCTCTCTCTGTCTCTGTGTGTAGAGGGAGTGTGAGCAGGCAAAGCTGAGAGAGTATGAGGAGAAGCTGATTGTAACAGCATGGTACAACAAGGTTAGAACATGAAATCAGAATAGACACACCTCATATTTCCTTTGAAAATAAATTAAGGAATGTAAAATGTACATACGTTATATTTATCTTTTGTTCCAACTTAAATAGACATGCATGTTGTGTCTCTTCCACTCCAGAGTCTGAGCTTCCAGAAGCTGGCGATCGAGGCCCGTCTGGGGGGTCGCTCCACCTCCATGGTGCCCCCCGGTCAGTCCTTCCTGTCCCAGCAGCGCCAGGTCACCAACGCCACCCGCAGGACCCTCTCTGTCAGCGTGCCTGCCACCACTGCTAACTAGACCTGGGATGGGTGACTGCTGAGGTGGGCCACTGTGTATACAGGCTTCTGCTGTTAAAGTTAAACCATGATTAGTTCAATCAGGTGTGTTAGTGCTGGGCCGGAACAAAAGCCTGCTGACACGGCGGCCTACTAGGACCGGGGTCTCCCACATCTGAAGTAAACAAACAAATGGCTCTTCTCTCGCTCCCTTCCACAAGTGCACACTCAAGTGACCTTAAACACACTAGCTCTCGGCCCCTGGGGAGGGGACAAGCATGCACTGACTGACGTGAACATGAGCACTTGGTCTAGTCCGTGTTCCCTCTTCCTCACTGATGCACTGTACAGTAATATACCGCACAGTACCATACAACAGCACTGCTGCTTATAATCACCTGGAATGAGTTTGGTCTGAGTAGGCAACCCTACCCACATGCTTTATTAGCCTTAGCCTAGCACATAGCACTGACTGAGCCCTACAATATACCTGTGTTAGCCTAGCTAGCGTCAAGCTCTGACTGGAATGCCTATTGAACTAACCTTGATTCTTAATCTCGACTTCCTGACATGCTGTATATTGAGTCAGGGATATATATATATATATATACATTTCTTCAGTCTATGAATGCGCAAAAAACTACAATTTGGAGCTTATAAGAGAAATGTGGTCTTAAATGGCTTATTTGAATGCTGTTACCAACCACACTATGCAGTTAAAGGATGTAACTAACACCCTATCAACCATTGGACTACAGAGCGAGTTTGACCTCTTCTTCCTCCTCTGTGTTGTCACAATCACCAGGGATGAATGGAGCATAGATAACTGAGGAGAAATAGGTGTATTTGGTGCTGGCCACCAAACGTCCATTACTAGTTTCTTACACAAAAGTAGGAAGTCTATACTGCAGACCTGTGTCAATATCCTGTGATGTCATACTGACACAAACATTTCTGGTGCGGCAACCGCGAATCAATTAATCAAATCAGAAATCCAGGACTATTTATGGTGTAAATTTTCTATGCGCTCAATTGTGATCTGTACTAGAACTTACTGCATGCTCTAACGGAATACTGTTGCGCCTTTATATTGTCTGAATGTCTTGTGTCTAGATGAGTAAGGTTTCAACAGTATAATCTACACATCACTACTGTTATCAGGGTTCAAACACCAGCTTGGTATTTATGGGCCAGTTTCACAGACCCAGATTAAATTATAGTTAGGTTATGAAATATTGAAATGTGGATGAACTAAAGCAGAATTACACCTTGTCCTGGATGTATTTAATCTGCATTTGTGGAACCAGCTCCTAGATTAAATATTCTTCCTCTCTGATGATTCAAAAATGCTGTGACAACCTTTTGAATGTCTTAAATTTGTTTGGGCACATTGACCTTCCTCTGTACCCACAATGCATCTGGGGGTTGAGTTTGATGCGTCTTGGCTTGAGGTGCACTGGGATATCTGAATGAAACATGAATCTCTTTTAAAATAGCTTTCCACTGATGTTATGATCCCTACTGGGTTGGAATCCTAGCCTTATAGTGAGGCTTACTTTAGCTCAAGGCAAACAATTAGCTAGACGTTGGATTTGCTGTTTCGGGAAATTCCTGTATGTCATGTGCTGCTGCTTACATTTTATACACACGCTTCAGCTAAAACTGTGGTCTCTAGACTAGAGCAGTGTACAAAGCTGATTTCACAGCTCTTTGGATTGTTGTTTTTCTTTTGCAGTGGATAGTACTTGTACAGCTACTGATTCACATACAATGCCATGTATACAGAAATCAGAGCAGCACTAGGAAATGAGATCTGATCAACGTTGTTCGGATAGTAGGCTACTTGTTGATTGTGTTAGTGGGAAAATAAGTGTGAATAATAGTTATGAAAAATAAGTCTTAAAGCCTTTTGTTTTCATGTACTGTAAAGAATAAACTCTTTTCAAAGTGTTTTGTTATGGGGTGAGAGTAGCTGGTCACATTCTTGTTGGCCACGAGGGTGGCATATTAATTTTTTTTCTTCTTTTCTTTACTCTCTATTCAAAACCAAAAAGAGTGACCCTCCATAACACAACACATGTAGGCATTGCTCACATTTCTTGTGATCAAAATGTTTGTTTTTTGGTGAAAAAAATAAAATAAAAACCAAACCTTCTTGCCTAACTTCTAACTCGCCAGCTACGCTTTGTTTCTATTACATTGACACTCAGATACAGTAGGCTATAGGCCTACATTTAAACTATATAGAACAGAGATTGCTTATATTGCAGTTGGCAGCTACTCCTCTCTGTTTACATTCCATACTCCTTTCACTATGTACAGTATGTTCAATAGAAACTGATGCTCTTTTACCCACTTTGTGTAATCAAATTATATTTGTCACATGCGCCGAATACAACCGGTGTAGACCTTACCGTGAAATGCTTACTTACAAGCCCTTAACGAACAATGCAGTTTTAAGAAAAATAAAAGTTGACAAATATTTACTAAATAAACTAAAGTAAAAATTAAAAGAGCAACAATAAAATAACGAGGCTATGTACAGGGGGTACCAGTACCAAGTCAATGTGCGGGCTAATCTCATTTCATTGAACATTTGTATCACCATCATTAGCCTGCAATACTAGTACCAGCTCTGGCCCAAAGGTAAATGTGGTAGAGGTGTACCACATATACCTTTTGTACGTAGATGTATCAAATCAAATTTTATTGGTCATATACACGTGTTTAGCAGATGTTATTGCGGATGTAGCGAAATGCTTGTGCTTCTAGCTCCGACAGTGCAGTAATATCTAACAAGTAATATCTAACAATTTCACAACATGTATCCAATACACACAAATCTAAGTAAGGAATTAATTAAGAAGAGCGATGTAAGAGCGGCATGGACTAAGATGGAGTAGAATAGTATAGAAAACAGTATATACAGTGGGGGAAAAAAGTATTTAGTCAGCCACCAATTGTGCAAGTACTCCCACTTAAAAAGATGAGAGAGGCCTGTAATTTTCATCATAGGTACACGTCAACTATGACAGACAAAATGAGAATTTTTTCCAGAAAATCACATTGTAGGATTTTTAATGAATTTATTTGCAAATTATGGTGGAAAATAAGTATTTGGTCAATAACAAAAGTTTCTCAATACTTTGTTATATACCCTTTGTTGGCAATGACACAGGTCAAACGTTTTCTGTAAGTCTTCACAAGGTTTTCACACACTGTTGCTGGTATTTTGGCCCATTCCTCCATGCAGATCTCCTCTAGAGCAGTGATGTTTTGGGGCTGTCGCTGGGCAACACGGACTTTCAACTCCCTCCAAAGATTTTCTATGGGGTTGAGATCTGGAGACTGGCTAGGCCACTCCAGGACCTTGAAATGCTTCTTACGAAGCCACTCCTTCATTGCCCGGGCGGTGTGTTTGGGATCATTGTCATGCTGAAAGACCCAGCCACGTTTCATCTTCAATGCCCTTGCTGATGGAAGGAGGTTTTCACTCAAAATCTCACGATACATGGCCCCATTCATTCTTTCCTTTACACGGATCAGTCGTCCTGGTCCCTTTGCAGAAAAACAGCCCCAAAGCATGTTGTTTGGGGGGGGGGGGGGGGGGGGGGTGGAAACATATTTACTTCAGCAGGAAGGTTACATTCATACATTCATTTATACAGCACATTATAATAAAGATCTAGCGACTGTGATTATAGATGCATAAGGCACTATTTTACACTAAATGCAGAATGCAGCAGATACACTGTATATTTTTTGATCTTGAAAGTGTCCAAACAAACATTGACGTAGATCTGGAAGGGGTTCTAACAAGCCTTGGCGTCGATCTTAAGTGTTCTAACGAGCCTTGACATACAGTCCATCTTGAAGGGGAGGGGTGAAATCGTAGTTCCCACGTTTACCTCTAGACTCAGTTCCACCCCCTCCAACGTGGAGAAACGGAACTTCTGGAACTAACTGACGAAGAACAGGAAGAGCTCCATCCTGGCCAGACCCTCCCCAAGCCACACACGCTTACCTGGACAGACACAGAGGGGATGTGATGTGCTGGGGTTTTCAAATCAAATCAAATGTTATTTGCCACATGCGCCGAATACAACAGGTGTAGACCTTACAGTGAAATGCTTACTTACAAGCCCTTAACCAACAATGCAGTTTTAAGAAAAATAAGTGTTAGGTAAAAAAAAGATAAGTAAAAAATAAATAAATAAAATAATTAAAGAGCAGCAGTAAAATAAAATAACAGTAGGGAAGCTACAGTGGGGAGAACAAGTATTTGATACACTGCCGATTTTGCAGGTTTTCCTACTTACAAAGCATGTAGAGGTCTGTAATTTTTATCATAGGTACACTTCAACTGTGAGAGACGGAATCTAAAACAAAAATCCAGAAAATCACATTGTATGATTTTTAAGTAATTAATTTGCATTTTATTGCATGACATAAGTATTTGATCACCTACCAACCAGTAAGAATTCCGGCTCTCACAGACCTGTTAGTTTTTCTTTAAGAAGCCCTCCTGTTCTCCACTCATTACCTGTATTAACTGCACCTGTTTGAACTCGTTACCTGTATAAAAGACACCTGTCCACACACTCAATCAAACAGACTCCAACCTCTCCACAATGGCCAAGACCAGAGAGCAGTGTAAGGACATCAGGAATAAAATTGTAGACCTGCACAAGGCTGGGATGGGCTACAGGACAATAGGCAAGCAGCTTGGTGAGAAGGCAACAACTGTTGGCGCAACTATTAGAAAATGGAAGAAGTTCAAGATGACGGTCAATCACCCTCGGTCTGGGGCTCCATGCAAGATCTCACCTCGTGGGGCATCAATGATCATGAGGAAGGTGAGGGATCAGCCCAGAACTACACGGCAGGACCTGGTCAATGACCTGAAGAGAGCTGGGACCACAGTCTCAAAGAAAACCATTAGTAACACACTACGCCGTCATGGATTAAAATCCTGCAGCGCACGCAAGGTACTCCTGCTCAAGCCAGCGCATGTCCCGTCTGAAGTTTGCCAATGACCATCTGGATGATCCAGAGGAGGAATGGGAGAAGGTCAAGTGGTCTGATGAGATAAAAATAGAGCTTTTTGGTCTAAACTCCACTCGCCGTGTTTGGAGGAAGAAGAAGGATGAGTACAACACCATCCCAACCGTGAAGCATAGAGGTGGAAACATCATTCTTTGGGAATGCTTTTCTGCAAAGGGGACAGGACGACTGCACCGTATTGAGGGGAGGATGGATGGGGCCATGTATCGCGAGATCTTGGCCAACAACCTCCTTCCCTCAGTAAGAGCATTGAAGATGGGTTGTGGCTGGGTCTTCCAGCATGACAACGACCCAAAACACACAGCCAGGGCAACTAAGGAGTGGCTCCGTAAGAAGCATCTCAAGGTCCTGGAGTGGCCTAGCCAGTCTCCAGACCTGAACCCAATAGAAAATCTTTGGAGGGAGCTGAAAGTCCGTATTGCCCAGCGACAGCCCCGAAACCTGAAGGATCTGGAGAAGGTATGGAGGAGTGGGCCAAAATCCCTGCTGCAGTGTGTGCAAACCTGGTCAAGACCTACAGGAAACGTATGATCTCTGTAATTGCAA